TCACTTTTCTGGAGCCCTCCCAGGAAAGAGTCCCACCCCCATTCTGGTTTACAGGACTTGACAAGGAGGGAGGGGTCAGAGGGGAGCTGAGAGCAGCACCAGGAGGAACAGGTCCTAGTCCCAGCTCTGGACGCCATAAACTTCAGACCAGCAATGTGAAGCCCAGAGAAGCAAGTTGTCCCCAATCCTAACTAATTAGGCCAAGGCCTAGGCAGAAGGCAGGCCCTCGGCCCTCATGACAGAAGGTGGCCACCAAGCTTCAGCAAGCCTTCTAGTTCCCCCCCGACTTGTTAAGTGAGGAGTACAGGCTTGGCACCGATTTTCAATCTGAGGTAGACAGAACCCAAGAGGCCGAAAGAGGCATTTCTGCTAGTCATTTTCCCTCTTCAAGTAAAAAATCTCAATTCTACCTGTTTTATATATCATGAAAAAGAGTCACACAACTGGGCTAGGTGATAAGCCTAATGTCATACCAACTAGACTGTCAGACGAGGAATGACAATAGCCACACTATCACAGAAAGTCCCCTGTAGAGGCCTAACCTGTGGGAGACCACTACAGACCAGACCAGATGGAGGTGCAGAGGCCCCCCCACCTTCTCCACCTCCAATTCTGTGGACCGGCTGTGCCCCCTCATCACCACCCTGACCAAGTACATCTAGGAGGCCGGAGTTCTCATCATCCATGCAATTCTTACTGTCCTCACTTCCAGACTTCCCAAAGTCACCACCAGGCCCAGGGATCTTCATGTGGACAACTTCTTCCACTTGCATCAAGAGGAAGGACCATTTTCTGACTTGTTATTGCCCTACAGCTTCATCATGTCAAGAAAATGGGTCAGCCCAACTGCTGGTGGCTCACACCTGCAATCCTGGCTACTCAGGAGGCAGAGATCAGGATAATCTCAATTCAAAGCTGGCCCAGAGCAAATATTTCTCAAGACCTATCTCAGCTGGTGCAGGGGCTCAAGGTGAAGGCCCTGAGTTCAAGCCCCAGTACTGCAAAAAAAGAAAAAAAAGAAAGAGGAGAGGAATTTTGATCAAGCCTATTTCTAAAAATTTAAGCAGGGCAAGCGCTCCTGAAGACATGTTCTGGGTTGAAAGGAGTCATCTACTGCCATCTCCTGCTCTACGACCTATCCCAACTGGCAAGCACACTGTTCCAGAAGGCCAAGGCTACCACCTTACATTTCTGCAGCAACCAATTCCATCACAAAGGCAAATGTCAAGGCTGGATCAGAGCCTCCATTACCATCAGAGAAATGACAGTCTCTGGAACAGCGGTTCCCACTTAGGAAGAAAAACCTGCGCTTTGTTCTTTCTGCCTCCTTTTTTTGGTACAGAAACTTAGGCTTTGGGCATGCAGAAACTTTGTATGCGGACAGCGATATTAATATTCCAGAACACAAATCTCACATGGATTTCAGGATATTTCATGCACAGTTGTTTTTAGTCTTAATTAGCTGTCACCTTCCCATGAAGAATAAAAAGCAAAACAGCTATTTTTCTACCAACACGGGGAACACAAGATCTGAAATAAATTCAGTGGATTAACCATGACACATTAAGCCAAAGATTCACCACTAAGAACAAACTAAAATTCTTTCTGTCTGTAAAAATGAGAACACATGCTACGTACAGAACATCAAAATTAGCAGACTCTGCTTGTCAGACAACTGAAAATCCTAGGGCTGGGGTCTAGCCAGGGACCTCTTTCAATGACACTGTGATGACCTAGCATGCACAAGGCCCTGGGTTTGGTCCCTAGTACCAAAAAAAAAAAAAAAAAAAAAAAAACCTGTAAAGTTCATTAGATGCAAAACCTTCACTGCCCCGTACACAAATGCACTAACATTTGATGAGTCAATGGTTCAATTCTGTAGATAGCAGTGAATGTTTTTTATTCCAAATGTGTTCACACAGAACTATTTCTAAATAAGTGCTGAAATAAACAATCTGATCATAGCTCAGTTAAGAAATGAAAACTCCTTCCAGTAAATGCTCCTTCACAGCTGGATAGCTGCTTTAATATGTAATTGCCCTAGGCCACAGGAAAAAAAATCAGGCTTCTGATTTACTTAAGAAATAAAATAAATAACCCTAGAACATGCCAAAGGTCCTCTCTCCAAGTTAAGGAAGGAAAACGGTTGTATGGCTTTTCTGTAAAAACCACCTCTGCCCCTGAATGAATTTCCTAAGCCCCACCCCACCAAAAGATCATTGAGGGAAACAACTCAGGAAAGGTAGCAAGCACCACACCAGCCAGTTCCTGGCACCCTTCAACTCTACTCCACTGGGTCCCTCAACCTGCTTGGGGAATGTCAAGAGCCCACCCACACAGCCCAGCACCCCAAGGAGCCTGGAAGCCAGCATGGATCTACCCACAAGCACTGGGCTTCTGCACTTGGGAGTGCCTGCAATACCAGAGGGCAGAAGTCTGAGTGACACTTGGCACTCTGTCTTTCAGCAAACAACCACAGAGTACTTTCCAAATCAAGGCCCTCACCATTTTGAAGACCAGGAAGCTGGAGCCTTCCTGGGGCAGAGGTGAAAAAGAAATAAACCCACCCTGCCAGCCCCTCCCCCGAGGCCACAGTGCAAACCGAAGGCCATTAGAGGAGGCAAGTCTACTTCGTTTGTAGGCCCAGAGCAGTAAACACCAAGTGTGGCCATAATCCCCTGGGATGGGGAGAACTTGAGAACTGGCATTTCCCTCGCCAGGGGTAAAACAAGACTATGACTTGTCAGCTGGAAAAAAACAAAAAAGCACACTCTTAAGTCCTCCCAAGGGGTGCTGGCTTGGAGGTGAAAGAGGGGAGAGGGTGCAACAGTCTCTGCAAGGCGGAGAAAGGAAAGGGAGAGAATGAAGACCTGTGAGCAGCTGTAGCCCCCTTTCTGAAGAACACAAAGCTTTGAAGCCCAGAGACCTGAAGGGGGAGCAAACAGAGCATAGGAAAGAGGCCGGGGGAGCAATGGAAGGAGTTAGACCCTCCACCACTAACCCTGGTACAAGTGGGAGAAATGGGGGAAATGCTGAGACTCCAGAGAGTACTAACCAACCAACCCCCACCTATTTACCAGATCTCACAGGGTCCCCAGGGCCAAAACCCTCAGGGAGGCTTGGCAACCTGGCTGGACGCCTAGAGAGCCCAAGGCCCAACCAAGCCCCTCTGGAGCTGAGAGCTGGGGAGCAGAGCAGAGTAGGGCATGCCTGAACCCGGGAAGCCCTGAATGGGGATGGGCGGGCCACAAGTGGGAAGCCCAGAGAAGCAGGTCTGATGGGAACCAAGTGGAAGAGAGGCCTGACAGGCTACAAGGGGGAAGGGAAAAAGGTGAGGAAGGAGGAAGGGAATTGGAGAAGGGGCTCAAAGGCAGGACATCTCCCAGAGAATTGAGGCAGCTCCAAGGAGGAAAGGGGACATAATAGGAAGGAATGACTAAGACACTTTAATGTCAGATTGGTGGGAAGAGGACTCAAAAAAGAGGCCAGGAGAGGGAGTACAAATACAGGAACAGAGTGGCAACAGCAGGGGGGAGTGTCAGGTGGACAATCGGAATTGAGAGGGACCAGACACAGGACAAGGTTCTAAGACCAGTGTTAGCTACAGTCACCTCAAGTTGAAAATGGGTCAACACATACGCAGGCAAGTGGACAGCTCCAAAAGAGGCTGAGCTGGGGGAGGGGACACTCCACAGACTAGAGGGGGAAATAGGTGGAAGCTAGCTGGGGGCAGGTATAGCAGATGCGAAATGAGAAGGGAGGATGCAGGGTCAGAGGCATCACAGGTTTAGTGAGGTAAGGATAAGTTGGGGAGAGACTTGGGGAGCAAAGAGGCATGCTGGCAGGTCTTCCGCAGAAAGGGACTAGGAGAAGACAGGCTACAGGAGGGGAAGCAAATGAATGGGTCGCTCAGAGGGGTGCCAAAAATGAAGGAGGGACTGAGCTAAGGCTGAGGGAGACTGAGTGGGGAGAGGTCAGGTAAGCTGATGGCAGAAAGGACAGAACTTCAGGGTCAGAGAGGGGGAGGAGGCTGCTTCCTGGGAAGGCAGAGGCAGAAAGCCAGCAGGCTAGGGAGGCCTGCAAGATCCGAGCTCCAGCAAGGGGCAGAGCTGGGAGGGAGAAAGGTCTGGAAGGCAGGAAAGGGTCTGAACGGCACATGGGAGCAAGAGCTAAGAAGGGAAAAAGACAAGCAGGGTGCATCCAAGTCAGAGAAAGGGCCGCAGAAACCGAGGGGTCTCCGGGGATCCAGCAGGTTCTGTGACAAGGCCGGGGCATAAGTGAGGGGAAATTGGACACAAGAGGAAGACAGAATTAAGAAAGGGAGCAGCAGTGCTACCCCAACAGAGGTCTCGGATGGATCTTCAAGAAGATGGAACCGCAGGTCCTAAAGGGACAGCTCCTGTGGGAGGTGGGGGGGTCAAGAGGGGGAAAGGCAGAAGAAAAATAGTAGATACGTCAAAGATGAGGCTGGGGACAGAGCCCGAAGGTGTTGAAAGAAAAACGAGGTAGGAGAAGCTGGGTCACACATCTCCAAAGTGGGCGCCAGAATAAAGGGATGCAGACGGGTCACTGAGGAGGAGGTGGGTCCCACGAGCTCTGCAAAGTCCAGCAGGAGCGAAGGGCATGACTGGGGGAGGAAGAACGAAGGGGGTAGGCGTAGAATTGGAATCAGGGTGGCTAAAGTGGGAGGGCGGGGAGACAGATACCGAGATCCCAACGGGTAGGGGACAGGAGCAGGCTGGAGGACAGCACGGCTGGGGTGGACGAGGGCAAGTCAGGGGCAAGTCCGAAGGGCAGGCGGACCCCGCGGACCGGGCCCCAGCATGAATCGGCGGGGACGGCGGGACCTGGGGCGATGGGGGGGGCCGCTCCCTCCCCTCCCCCTTCGGCTCCTCCATTGTTCGCGGGCTCCGGGCCCCGCCGTCCCCGCCTCCCCCTGGACCCCGCAGCGGGGCGGCGCCCGGCCTCGCCGCCCGGGTCCCGCGAGCTCGCGCACTCACCAGCTGGGCGCTCTCAGCGCGGCCCGGGCCTTCGGGATCCCGGCCGCGGCGGCGGCGGCCCCGGCGCCATGTTCCCCTGCTCCTCGTCCAGCTGCAGCTGAGGCGGCGGCAGCGGCGGCGGCGGCGGCTCCGGCGGCGGGGGGCCGGGCGGACCCTCCCTCGCGGACTCCCTCCTCCGCCTCCTCCTCCTCCTCCTCCTCCCGCCGCACCGCGGCTCTCCCTCGGGGCGGGGAGCGGGGAGGGGAAGGGGGGAGGGGCGGGAACCAGGGGGAGGGCGGACCAGGCTCCCTTGCTCCCTCCCTCCCGCGCAATGGCGACGGCACCTCCTTCCTGCGGCCACTGCTCCCGCGCGCCCCCCCTCCCGCTACTGCGCGTGCGTGGCGAGAGGACCGTTGCAGGGGGATAACGGCCCCCGGGCGCGCGCCCCGCGAGGGAGAATGACCAAGGCGAAGCCTCGGGAAGCAGTGAACGAGCACTAGCGCTTAAGAGTCCTCGAGGTGCTCACAGCCACCGCCGCGGCCAGGGACTAGGAGTAGGAACGGGCGCGCGGAGGGTGCAGTGCGCGTGCGCCCGCCCCCCTCCCCTTTACTCCCAAGAAAATGCCGCTACTGCGGTGCCTGCGGCGCGAGACGGAGCGCGAGGAAACCCGCGAATTGGCAGAGGGAGCTGGGTGGGCAAGCGCGCGTGCGCAGTGGGGGCTGCCAGCCGGCGCGGCTGCAGGCGCAAAGCAGAGGGAGTGGCCCGCGGGAAGCGCGCGTCCCGGCTGGCGCGCGCCGGCAGACGCCGAACCCCTGCCTCGCACTGGCTCTTGGAGAAAGCCAGAACAGAGGCATGGCCAGGCTTTGGGGGGCGGGACGAAGGGCGCGATCCCGCTCGCGCGGGACCTGGTTAACCAATGGGAGGCAAAGGGAGGTGGGTTTGTCGCGCGAGCCACAGCCCCTGGATAACGGGGGGAAGACTGAAGGGGCGACGTAACGTGGGGCGCTGGGGCGGGGCTAAGAAGAAGGGAGCGCACTTAGCGAGGGGATTGATTGGTGAATGTGAGGAGGCGTGGTCCGCTTTAGTCCAATCCCCGCCCTGTAATTTGTCGTCCCGGAAGAAGGGGCGGAGCTAGAGAGCGCGTGCTCTTTCTCCGGCAGTGGAGAAAATCTGTAGGCAAAGCGCGTTGATACAAGTTGCTCATGATTCCAGGATTGTTTGATCCTAGGTCGAAGGAAGACTGGCCACACCTTTGCATACATCCCTGGCCTCCGAGTCACATTGCGCAAATGAATGCAAATCAGATGTATTTGGGGTGCCTGCAAGGGAAATAGTGACTGGAGAGGGCACCGCTGTAACCCTGATTCCTCTGAACCGTGGAGCGGTTCCTCTGGGAGTCGTACGGAAGTTCAGATTGTGGAAGACATTCCGGGCGCCACAAACTACATTTGTGGAATGCATGAAGAAAGCCTGTGTCCTACTCTGGTTTTGCATTTCTTTCCTCAGTCTCTTCATCTATAAAATAGTACCTTCCTCAAAGGGTTGTTTTAAGAATTAATTGCAGTGGTTTCTATGGCTAAGATCTCCAATGGATGCTTGAGTCCTGTGTCGTTTATTTTCCTATACTTATGGTGAAGTTTAATTTACGAATTAGGCACAATAAGGGATCAAATGGAACGATATGCCAATATACTGTGCTGTAATGAGATTAATGTGGTGGTCTTTTGCTTGAAACAGTCAAGACAAATGTTAATTATCCGTCCCCGTTGACCACAAGTAACTGAAACTTCGTTAGGCAAAACGGCTTCAAGGGAGGACTAGTATATTGGTAAAGCGCTAAAAATCAAAACTTGCACCACATAGTTGCTCTATAAGCATTGACAAATAAAATTACATAGAATTAAGTTTTAAAGGTGATCTCATTAAGTAAAGCTTTTTTTTTTAATTAAAGATCGTGGTTTTGTTTTTTGAGATCAGACTCACTACATAGCCAAATGCTAGCTCAGATGTTCCTTCTTTCAGGAGACCCTCCCTGTCTCAACAGGTAGGTCAGGCGGCCCCTGGAGCCTCCTACAGCCCCTTTTGGTCCCCTATCCAAGCCCGGACCACCCTGGGTCATTCCCTTCTGTAATAGATCTCAGGACCAGGCACAAGTCAAGGGCTCAGGCAGTGAGGCAGAGGCTCCGGAAGGAGGTCCTTCCCAGCTCAGCAATTCCTTCCAGTACACAAGAGGGCGAATGGTGGCTGAGCAAGCCAACGACAGGAAGCAGGCTTCCCTGGGGGCAGCCACCCCCGCGCACCCGGCTACCCTCCAGTCCAGGATAAATAAACAATCAAGTAAAACAATTAGCCGACAGAGAGAAGTGCCGGCTGCCGGCTTGGGCCGAGATCAAGATTTCCCAGGCATTGTCCTAGAGGCTGGAATGACTGGAGTCACACCATCGGGAGAGCCAGGGTAGGATCTAAAACATGCACAGATAGAATAATCCACAACAATTTTGCAGAGGACTGGAGGTGTGGCTCAAGCAGTAGAGCGTCTGCTTTGCAAATGCGAAGCCCTGAGTTCAAACCCTTGTCCCCCTCCCCGCCCCCCAAAAAAAGAATTGTGTAGAGAGGACAGAAGTGATGGAACATTCTCTGTCTCCATTCCTGAGAAGCTTAAAGAATTAGAGAGAGGGTGGGGACCAGGTCTGCGTGTGACCAAGTCGGTGAGCCCACAGCGCCGCCTACAAGGCGAACAGAAGAAGTCGCATCTAATTGAAGCCGCCCCTGATGTCAGCGAAGGGTGAGCTCTTCTGCCATTGGCCAGAGGGCAGCCAATCATAAGCAAGGACCGGGAGGCGGGGATCCTCGGATTTGCTACATAATCCCAGCGCACTTAGTCCCACGCTTGACACTTCGCGGGCACTGAATATTTGATGGAAGGATGCGTGATGAAGCTCTCCATAGACTGTTAAAATTGAAGTATGACATATGTGTCGAGAAGGGCACAAATCACAAGTGTACAACTCAAAGAATATTAACAAAGAGAACACATTTGGAGGGCGATCTGGCTGCGACATCTGTCACCCCATTGATCGCCAGGGTTGATTCGTCTGATCTGGCTGGCTAGGCGGGTGTCCCCTTCCTCCCTCACCGCTCCATGTGCGTCCCTCCCGAAGCTGCGCGCTCGGTCGAAGAGGACGACCATCCCCGATAGAGAAGGACTGTTCTTCGGTCAAGGGTATACGAGTAGCTGCGCTCCCCTGCTAAAACCTCCAAACAAGCTCTCAAAGAGAACACATTTGTGACTAGCCTTCAAATATGATTAATCTCAAAATCCCCCGTAGCCAGTCACTTCCCACACCCCACCCCCAAGGGGAACCTTTATCGTGACTTGTATTACTATAGATTCATTTTGCCTGTTTCGGTACTTTGTATAAATGGAATCATAGAGTAAGTACTTTTTTTTTGCGGGGGGGGAGGAACTGGGCTTCGCGATTGCAAAGCAGGCGCACTACCGCTTGAGTCACACCTCCGGCACCATTTTGCTTTGGTTATTTTGGACATGGGGTCTCCCGAACTATTTGCCAAGGCTGGCCTCAAATCGAGATCCTCCTGATTTCAGCCTCCCAATTACCTAGGATATCAGGTGTGAGCCACTGGAGCCTGGCACACACGACTTCTGACCACCATTGCTGGCAAACTTCGTCCACATTACTGTATGTAGCGGCAGATGGTTCTTTTTCGTTTCTTGAACTCAGGACCTTACATTTACAAGGCAGGTGCTCTTGAGCCACACCTCTAGCCCCCTATTTTTACTTCTTTAACCTTTTCCTTCTGAGTCTCTCTCTTTTTCAGTCAGGACAGGACTAATAAACATCTGTGACAAGAGTGGAGTCTCTCCCCAGAGAGCAAAAACCTTCTGATGGTGACAACCAGACCACAGTTTGACCAAGACTGATGCATGCTTCTTGTCTCTCCCTCCCCCACTTCTGTCCTCTCTTATGAAATCTAGAAGCTCATGTGTACACTGCAGACAGACCTCGGGGTCTCTGAAACCCTTTATTTGTCCTTTCCATACTCTCTGCCGTTCACCACTACTCCTTACTAGTTGGCATAGTGAGACGGGTGGCCGAGGCCAGTTTGTTGGAAATCTTGGAGTAGGAAATTTTGCCCTAAACTCTAGTTTAGGAGGATCACAAATTCAAGTTCAGTCTGGGCTACATAGCAAAACACTGTTTCAAAAAAAATTATATATGTATATATAATAATAGTAATTTAAAAACAGGGCTGGGGATACAGCTCAATGGTAGAGAACTTGCCTAGCGTATGTGAGGCCCTGGGTTTATCCCTAGCACTGCAAATGAGAGAGAGAGATGAAAGAGAGAGGAGAAAGAGAATTCAAATAAATAGATAAATAGAGGCCAGGTGCCAGTAGTTCATACCTGTAATCCTAGCAACTCAGGAGACAGAGATCAGGAGGATCGAGGTTCAAAGCCAGCCAAAGGAAATAGTTGGCTAGACTCTATCTTGAAAAAACCTAACACAAAAAAGAGCTGGTGGAGTGGCTCAAGGTGTAGGCCATGAGTTCGAACACCAGTACTGCATAAATAAGTAAATAAATAAAAGTCTGGTGCTGATGGTTCATGCCTGTAATCCTAGCTATTCAGGAAGCAGAGATAAGGAGGCTCGCAGTTTGAATCCACCCCAGGCAAATAATGTAAAAGACCCGATCTCAAAAAAACCCTTTACAAAAAAAGGCAGGGGGCTGGTGGAGTGGCTCAAGGTGTAGGCCCTCTGTTCAAACCCCAGTACCACAATAAATAAACAAATATATGATTTTGCAAATATTTTCTTCCTTTCTCTGAATTGTCTTTTTACTGTCTTCTGGGTTTTTTGTTTGTTTTTTGCAATACTGGGGCTTGAACTCAAGGCCCTGAGTGGCCTATGCCTTGGCCCACTCCACCAGCCCTTTTTTGTGAAGGGTTCTTTCGAGATAGGGTCTTTTGGACTATTTCCCCGGGCTGGCTTTGAACCTCGATCCTCCTGATTTCTCCCTCCTGAATAGCTGAGCTTACAGAAGTGAGCCACTGGCAACTGGCTGGAACTGGGGTTTGAACTCAGGGCTTCGTGCTTGCACAGCATTTGCTCTACCACTTGAGTCACACTTCCAGTCCCTCTTTTTTAATCTCTTGATAGTGTTCTTTGATACAGAGATCATTTTGTTTTTAATTTTTTTTCTTTTTGATGCCCCTAAATTGTATAACTTTTAAAAGTTACAAAGTAGGTTGCTTGTGGTAGTACATACCTATCATCTCAGCTACTTGGAAGGTGGAGATAGGAAGAATCAAAGTTTGAGGCCAGCCGAGACAAAAAGTTAGCAAGACACCATCTCAACCAATAAGCAGGCATGGTGGTGTATACCGCCACCCCAACTACTGGAAGGCATAAGTAGGAGGACCTGCAGTCCTAGGCTGGCCCCAGGCAAAAACGTGAGATGCTATCTGAAAAGTAAATAAAGCAAAAAAGTGCTTGGGGTGTGGCTCAAGTGGTATGGTACCTGCCTAACAAGTCTGAGGTCCTGATTTCAACCCCCACTACTGGCAAAAGAAAAAAAAAAAGTTACACAGCTAACATAATGAAACCCACTAAAAATTGTGAAAAAATAAGGGGGGGAAGGTGGCAAGGGTATGAAAGAATAGCAGGTGAATTTGATTATGGCATATATGATGTATGGAAATATAACATTGAAACCCCTTCATAAGGGCTGGAGGCATACCTCGAAGTGGTAGAACTTTGTGTCTGGTAAGTGGGAGACTTTGACTTCAAACCCTAGTATCACCCCCTCCAAAAAAAAACCCTCTTTCTATTAGATACATAAATGTTAAAGTAACACAGCTAACTAATGCAACTGCCAAATTTGCACACAGTTCTGACTGCCAAAGTCAAAGTCAAGTTCTTATACTGTGTCCCTCACAGGGAAATTCAACTTTGTTTTTTTCGAACCCACTTGCTCCCACTGCGATTCTCCTGATCTCAGCCTCTCAAGTAGCTAGGATTACAAGAGTGAGCACCGGTGCCCGGCTGCCTCAATGCATTTTTTAAAAAGCATTGCGTGAACACAGACAATAGTTAAATTTCTAGGTTCCCAACTCAGTTTCTTACATAAAACTACTATTCCCACACAGGAAATTAATGTGAGTCAACTCCCTGTATAGCTATCCTTATCTCAACCAGCAAAAACCTTTGTTCCTTCCTATTATTGCTTATACTCTCTCTTCAACAAAAATTGAGATAAGGGCAAAATAGTTCTGCCGGGTATTGAGGGGGTGGTGGGGAGAGGGAGGGGGCAGAGTGGGTGGTAAGGGAGGGGGTGGGGGCAGGGGGGAGAAATGACCCGAGCCTTGTATGCACACATGAATAATAAAACAATTTAAAAAACTACTATTCCCAGCATGCTTTCCATTCCGGGGCGGAGCGATACTAGAAGTACCTTTCCCGAAATGCGAACTCAAGCATGTGGATATTGTAGTCTTCCAAAGATACCTTCGTCCACAACTCCCGGTATGCATCTGAAGCTCAGATCCTTTGGTAGGAAAAGGGTAGTCGCGCAGCATGCTGGGAAGCGAGCCCGACTCTGTCCCTGAGTTGCCGCCTGGAAACTACAACCCCCAGCGTGCAGTGCGTGAAAGGTCAGGCGGGTCCTCCTGCCGGAAGTCCTCTCCAGCCCTGGGCCCCCTAAACTGCAGGCAGAGTCGGAGCCGCCCAGTTGCCGCGGGACCCGGGCCACTGGGGTCCGGACAGGGGTCGCCATGGTAACGGGGCCGCGCCACGCGGGGGATGGGCTGAGGCAGGGTTCACGTGCAAAGAACCGAAGCTTGATTCGGCGCTGACGAACCTCCCCTTCCCAGCTGCGAATGGTCTGGGCCAGATGCGGGGTCCGGGGACAGGGGCGGATCAGGAGCTGGGAAGCGGGATCAGGCTCTTGGTTCGGCGTTCGGGTCTTGAGATAAGGGAACATGGGAGAAAGGGTGCCGAGGGGGGAAGGATTTAGCGGGCGGGAGACTTTGGAGGTGGCTGGCGGCTGTTGAGACAGGAAAGGCCACTCGCCAGGTGCGGTGTCGGGGAGGGGACGTTGGAAAAGAACTGGGGGGAGGAGGCCCCCCTTTATGGCAGGGATCTCCAGAAGAAGGAGCTGGCTTTGTGGGCAGAGAGGGGCTGTGGGAACAGGAGCAAGGTCCCGCCGAGGGCCGGGAATCTCCAGGGGACAAGGCTGGACGCGGGAGACCGGAAGTGGCGAGGGGCCGGGGCGCGGAGCCCGAGACCGGGAGAGGGGACCTGGAGCCAGGGGCGCGCTCTAGAAATGAATGCAGAGCAGTTCAACAGATATTTCTAAGAGGAGAGGTCTTGGGGGATACAGAAGAGAGTGGAGGAGGCAAGAACTGAGCACTGGATTTAGGGGTACCCTGTTCCCCCAGGCTGGGGCTTCGGAAGTGAGAAAGGGTTCTGGGGAGTCAGAAAGTAGATGAATGGGGGAGGACATCAGAACACCGGGCGAGTCTCCCCAAGGAACAGGGTCCCTGAAGGCAAGAGGTGACCTTTGGAACCAGGAAGGTGGCCTTGGAGTCGGGGGTGGGGATGTCTCCAATGAAAGACCCACTGAGGCTTGAGAAAAGGGGCCGAAAGTGAGAACGTGAGGTCAAAGAGGACACGTCCAGGGACAGGGGATTGGAGACCAGGAAGGCTGGGAGCATCTGGAGAGGACCAGGGAGGACTGCACAAGGCTGGCTGCAGGAGGGGAAGGGTGGGTCCTGGGGGAGGGAGGAGAAACGCAGAGATGTTAAAAGAGATTTGGTAATAAGAGACAGGGCTGTCACCCCAAGGCTTGTCTCTAGTTCCCCTTCCAACATGCTCCCCACCACTTTACCCTGGCTCTGGGTTGCCCATCCCACCCTTTCCCTTCCTGCCCTGTCCTCCATGCCCTGCTAGGAAGTGGGTTTCCCTGGCTCAGCAGAAGTTCTCTGAAGGAGATTTAACATCCTGTTCCTCTCCTACTTGGTGAGCTGGGGGAGGGGATAGAGTGTAAAGAACAAGGTCTAGGAAAGAGAGGGGACCCCCATTAAAGGAGTGAGGGCTCCCACAAGTTGGGAGAATGGGACTCAGAGCAAAGCATTTGAACCCTGAGCTCTGCTTTTTTGGTTGTGACCCCTCCTTTTCCTGACCCTCACTTTGCTGGTCTGTAAAATGGGCAGTAGAATGCCTGTCTGAGACTGAACTGGACCCAAAGCCAGACTTCCTAGCTTGGGCCATGGTTTCCTCAAAGCCAAATAAGGTATGATGCTACTAAAACCTAGTGCATATACAGCACCAAGTAGACACCAGTCCCTGTACTACACCCGTTGTTATTTTATTTTGAGGACTGGAGATCGAACCCAGGGCTTCATACATCCTCAAATGCACTACCATTGAGCTACATCTCCAGCTGTCTTCTGTTTGGGGATTTTTAGGCGGTACAGGGGTTTTGCGCTTACCAGGCAGGCACTCTACCACTTAAGGGCCACCTTCAGCCCTTTTTGTTTTAGCTATTTTTCGGGTAGAGTCTCAGGTTTATGCCTGGGCCAGCCTGTACTATGTGCTCCTATTTTATGGAGTGGCTGGGATGACAGGCTTACGCCAATATGCTCAACTTTTTATTGGTTGAGCTAGGGTCTCACAAAGTGTGCCTGGGCTGGCCTCGAATCTTGATCCTCTGATTTCCACCTCCTGAGTAGCTAGGATTACAGAAGTGAGCCACTGTGCCTGGCCTGTACTTTTGTTTTGTTTTTGCAGTACTGAGGTTTGAACTCAGGGCCTCACACTTGCTAGGCAGTTGCTCTACCATTTGAGCTACACTCCCACCCCTGTATTTTGTTTCTGAGACAAGGTCTCACTAATTTTGTCCCAGCTAGCCTCAAACTTGAGATCCTCCTGCCTCTGCCTCCCAAATAGCTGAGATTACAAGCATGCACCACCATACCTGGTTCCCCTTATGTTATTAACTTGTGTGTTAGTCTTATGGGCCAAGTACTCTCATTATGTCCACTATGTAGCAAAGGGAAGCTGAGGTCCAGAGAGGTTAAGTGATCTGCCCATGGACACACAGCCAGTAACTAATGATGCTGGACTCTGGCTCCAGAATGTATAATTTTAGCCACTTGGATGAATGCCTCTGTCATAGTGACGACTAATTTTATTGAGGATCCAGTGGGCAACTCTGCTAAGTACCTCTGGCTTTAGCACGTTCAGTTTCCACAGCAGCCCTGTGAGAGTTGACTTGGCTTTTCAGAATCCTCATAGCCAGCTTCCCAACCAGAGCTGATGATAACTATGGCTACTACCACAGAGCACATAATCTAAGCCAGGCGCTGCTCTGGGTGCTTCGGATACATTGTTTATTACTCAGGTAACTGAGTCACTTAAGAAATGGCAAGGCTGGCCTGGGCATGGTGGCTCACACCTGTAATCCTAGCTACTCCAGAGGCAGAGATCAGGAGGATTGTTCAAAGCAGAGTTTGAGCATGGTTCAAGTGGTAGAGTGCCTGCCCCACATGCACAAGGCCTCGAGTTCAAACCCCAGTACCACCAAAAGGTGGGAGTGCTAGAGTGGAGCTCAGTCTACCCCTGAGCTAGATGTGTGAAGCCCTGGGTTCCATCCCCAGCACTGAAACACAACAAAAAAGTGACAGAGAATTTAGAACACATTTTAGCAATTCCTGAAAAAGTTAAACAATTGCTGGTTTCCATAGGAACCAGCAATTCCACTACTGGGTATGCAACCACAAGAAACGAATATACTTGTCTGCACAAAAACTTGTCCACAAATGCTCATAGTAGCATTTGTAATAAAAGCCAAAAAGTGGAAAGGGCTCACATGTTCTTCAGCTGCTGTGTGGATTAACAAAGTGTCATAGCTTATATGGTGAGCTATTACTCAGCTGTAAGAAGATGTGAATTACTGAGAAGTGCTACAGCATGAAGGAACCCTACAGACATCAGACCCGTTACAAAGGCCCCATCTGTATGACCCCAGTTCCCTGACATGTGCAGAACAGGCAAATCCATGGACAGCACAGAGTAGATTGTGGCTGCCATGGGCTAGGGGAGGGAGGAGGACTGCCAATGGGTGGAAGTCTTCTTGTGGGGTTCAATGAGCCCAGCATGGGAGCTCACGACTATAATCCCACCCACTTGGGAGGTGGAGATGGAGAGAATTGAGGTTCAAAGCCAGCCCAGGCAAACAGTTGATGAGACTCGATCTCCAAAATAACCAGAGCAGCCAGGTGCCAGTGGCTTATGTGTGTAATCTTAGCTACTCAGGAGGCAGAGATCAGGAGGACCACAGTTCAAAGCCAGTCCTCGCAAATAGTTCACAAGACCCTACCCTATCTTGAAAAAAAACAAACACAAAATAGGACTGGCAGAGTGGCTTAAGTGGTAAGAATGCCTCCCTAGCAAGTGTGAGATCCTGAGTTCAAGCCCCAGTACTACCAAAAACAACAAAAAAAAGTTACTCCAGTTTTCAGTGAATCTTCAGAATAAAGAATCAATTGGCATACTGCCAAAAAATTAAAAATTAAAAAAAAAATAACCAGACCAAAATGGACTAGAGGCGTGACTGAAGTGGTAGAACACCTGTTTTGCAAAATGGAAACCTTGAGTTCAAACCCCAGTCCCACCAAAAAAAACCAAAAAAGTTAGTGAGACCCCCATGTCAACAAATAAACTGGGCATGGTGACACACACTGTTACCCAGCTACATCAGAGGCATAATAGATAGGATCCAAGTCTAAGACTGGACCCAAGCAAAAACTTAAGACTCTATCTGAAAAGTAACTATAGCAAAAAAGGGCTGGTGGTGTGGCTTAAGTGGTAGAGCACCTGCCTAGCAGGTGGGAGGCTCTGAGCTTAAACTATATGGCAGTGGTGTTTGTTAACTGAATATGCTGAGGGAATATCCTAGAAACTGTTCCAGTGTACATTTTAAGTGGGTAAATTTTGTGGTATGTAATCATATTTCAGTTTTTTAGCTTATTTAACCTTCAAAACAGCCTGGCAAGCCAGGTGCCAGTGACTGACTCCTGTAATCCCAGCTACTTGGGAAGCTAAGATAGGAGAATTGAGGTTTGAGGCCATCCCAGGCAAGTAGTTTGCAAGACCCTATCTGCAAAAGGGACTGGAGGTGTGGCTCAAGCAGTAGAGCACAAGCTCTGAGTTCAAATCCCAGTGCCAAAACAAAATTTTAAAAAGCCTGGCAAGATGGGTCTTGGAAAACTTGTTTTGCCAGACAGAAAACATGCTCAGAGGGGCAAATATGAAGTATGGGAACCCATCTGGGGGTGCACATCTGTAATCCCAACACTTGGGAGGCTGATGCAGGAGAAGTATGAGTTCCAGGCCAGCCTGGGCTACATAGGAAGACCCTGGCTCTATGGAGCAAAGGACTTGGCTGCACTGGGGACTTAAGACCAAGGCTGTGTGGCCTGGCTAGGCCCGGGGCCCTTCGCCCTGTCTCCCCTGAGGATGGGCGGGGCTCTCGGCAGTGCCCTTCTCACTTTCTCCTCTGCTCCCCAGATCCGCTTCATCCTCATTCAGAACCGGGCGGGCAAGACTCGCCTGGCCAAGTGGTACATGCAATTCGATGATGACGAGAAACAGAAGCTGATTGAGGAGGTGCACGCCGTGGTCACTGTCCGTGATGCCAAGCACACCAACTTCGTGGAGGTGACTGAGGGCCCCAAGCCTCCCCACCCCTGTCTTTGCCACCTCTCCCTCCCACTGCCTGCCTACTACCTAATGCCCTGATCCCCTGATCCCTCAGCAGGCTTTTTAATCTTCCTTCCTTTCTATCTTTTTTTTTTTTTTTTTTTTTTTGCTACTTTTCATTGTGAAAAGCAACAAACTCACAAATTAGTACAGCGAGAGAGAAGAGCAGGTTGACAAGTCATCTACCCATTACCCAGATTTAACCAGTATTCAGAGTTTAACTTCTATTTGTTTCTTTGTTTTTGGTGGGACTGAGGTTTGTTTTTTTTGTTTTTGTTTGCTGGGCCTGGGGTTTGAATTCAGGGCTTCACGCTTGCAAAGCAGGCATTCTACCACTTGAGCCTTACCTCCAGTCCATTTTGTTCTGGTTATTTTAGAGATGGGGGTCTATCAAACTATTTGCCTGAGCTGGCTTCCAACCACAATCCTCCTGATCTCAGCCTCCCTAAGTAGCTGGGATTACAGGTATGCACCACTGGTGCCCAGCTTATTTACTTTTTTGTCAAGGAAGTTTTTTGGCTTTGGTTTTGCTTTTCTCTGTGCTGGACCTTGCGTATGCTAGGCAGGTACTCTGCCGCTGAGCCATGCCCCCTGCTCTACAGAAACATTCAAGTACGCTAAAGTAGAGAGAATAAGAGAACAAGCGTCTTTGCTGCAGTTTAATTTATTTTTGGAGGCAAGGATACATTACGTATCCCAGGCTGGTCTCAAACTCACAATCCTCTTGTTTCAGCCTCCCAAATGCTGGGGTGACAGACATGTGCCACTGTGCCCAGCCTGGTTTTCTCTTTTTGAGACAGTGTCTCACTATGTAGCCCAGGCTAGCCTGGAAGTTATGAACCTCCTAACTCAGCTTTCTGAGTGCTGGGATTACAGGCATGTGCTACCATGCCCAGCCTGCCACAGTGGTTTAAATGAAATTATAGCCATCATGACACTTCACCCTAAATATTTTAGGATGCAGCTTGGAAAATAAAGACATTCCTCTGCATCATCACAGGTCTGCTCTCAGACCTGTTCTAATTAGTAGTACTACCTTAATATTACTCTAGTGTTCATATTTAAACGTGCCAAATTTCCCAAGTCTTCAAAGCTAACTCCTTAAAGCCAGTCCACAATCCTGCCCTGATACTGCTGACTGTGTCTGTTTAGGCCATTTTAATCTGGGAATCTCTAAATTTTATTCCCACAGTAGTCACCTCCTCAAGAGACTGAGAGCTGGGGATCTGGCTCAGTGAGAGAGCACTTGCCTAGTGTACACAAGGTCCTGGGTTCCATCCTCAGCACTGCAAAGAGAAAAGAAAAGAAAGAAAGGAAGGGAGGGAGGGAAGAAAAGAAAGGAGAGAGGGAGGGAGAGAGAGAGACAGAGAGAGAAAAGAAGGAAAGAAATCATATGTACATCTTTAATCCCAACACTTGGAAGATTGGGGCAGAAAGATTATGAGTTCAAGGCCTGCTGGGCTACATAGTAAGAGACCGTCTCACAAAATAAAATAATGACCAAACTGTTTAATAAGAGAAACAGACCAGGCTGGGTCCTGGGGACGGAGCTCAGTGGTGTAGCACTTGCCTAGCAGGTTAGAGACACTAGGTCTCATCTTCAACACCAGAGAAGAGAGAGGGAGGCAGGGGGAGGGGGAGGGAGAGGGAGAAGAGAGCAATCGCTGCTCTGGGAATGCTGTTGCTTTGGTCCTGGGACACAGGTAGGAAAGACCCTGTATCTGGGCCATAAATGCCCAAGGAAAAGAAGCAGCTAAGGGATGGGGGGAGGTGCTGGGTGTGCCCCTGGGGCATGGAGTCCAGGTTTGGATGGTTTGCTCCGGAGGACTCACTGGAAAGGTGACATGTGAGCCAAGACCTGAAGATACTGAGGGAATGGAAGGGTTGTTATCTGAGACAGGAGCATTTCAAGCCAGGGGAGCAGCCAGCGCAAAGGCCCTGAGGCAGGAGCCCATGGTGGGCATTCCTGGAATAGTGATAGGAGAAGCAGGCAGGGAGGAGTCTGGAGGAGGGGAGGGTAAAGACAACAGGTAGTGTTCTGGAAGACAGAGTACTGTGGGAACCACAAGGTTTTCAACAGAGAAGGGACATGTACCAGTATAAACAGGAACAGAGGCAGGTCCCCTCAGGAGGTAATGGCAGTCACATAGGTATGAGGTGCTGGTGACGGGCCTGCCATGGGAGTATTGAGGTGGCCTGGGTTGGCTGTGCAGCACAGAAGGTAAAGCCAGGGCTGATGGCTGGGATGAGGACTCGAGCCCCAAGCAGGATGGGGTGTCCCTTCTCGAGGTACAGCACACTAGGGAGAGCAAAGAGCAGGAGGGAAGCTGGATGTGATGTCACACGCCAGGAATACCACACGTGGGAGGCAGAGGCAGGAGGATCAGAGAAAAGGAAGGCTTGCGGAGTTGCTAAGGTGGTAGAGCTCCTGCCTACCAAGCATGAAGCCCTGAGTTCAAATCCCAGTGCCACAAAAAGGAAAAGCTTGCTACAGTAGCTCACACCTGTAATCCTAGCTTCTTTGGAGGCAGAGATGAGGAAGATTGAGATTTACAGCCAGCTTGGGCAAAACATGAGCAAGACCTCACCTCAATAATCCAGATTTCCCAGGAGCTGGTGCTGACGCCTGTAATCCTAGCTGCTCAGGAGACTGAGATCAGAAGGATTGCGGTTCAAAGCCAGTCCGGGCAAATTGTTCTCAAGACCCTATCTCAAAAAAACTCATCACAAAAAAGGGCTAGTGGAGTGGCTCAAAGTGAAAGTCCTGAGTACAAGCCCCAGTACCACCGAAAAAAAAATCACAGAAAAGGTCTGGCACAGGGCCCAAGCAATACAGTGATTGCCTACCAAGGCTCTGAGTTCAAATTCCAGTACCACAAAAAATAATAATAATAATAAATTCGAGACTATCCAAAATAACCAAAAAAAGCAAAATGGGCTGGGGGTGTAGCTCAAGAAGTAGAGCACCTGCCAGCAAGTGCAGGCCCTGAGTTCAAAGCCCATCTTCACCAAATAAATAAAATAAAATGAAAGAGGGAGGGAGGTGCTGGGAAGGTCGGGTCCCAGGTGTCTACCTCCTGGTGGTGGTTAGGGAAAGAGCAACAGTCGGAGGTCAGGGAGAGGCCTGAGCAGGGCACAGAAGTGTGGCGGAGGATAGCAGGCAGAAACAAGCGGCCCAGTGTGTGGGGGGGAAGGTGGTAAGATGTGGGTGTCCTTGCAGCCAAAGGGACAGGAAGAAGACAAGCCTGGCCACTTTTGGGGGTGGGTGGGAGAAGTAAGGTAGAGGAATTGGAGGACCAGCTGGGCCTGTCTGGGATGCCTTGCTCCCAGTGCAGTTCAAGGTCCCACACAGTGCTGGGCTACATGCAGGTGTGAGGGCCCTAAAGGAGACAGTAAGACCCAATGACAAATGACAGATGAGAATGTGAACAAGGAGCCTGACTCTCAGGTCTCTTGTGCCCCTAAATTAAGCTTACTTTTTTTTTTTTGACGGGACTGGAATTTGAACTCAGGGCTTTGTGCTTGCAAAGCAGGCACTCTACTGCTTGAGCCACACCTCCAGTCAAAGTGAGGAAGACCCTATCTAGAAAAACAAAGTGCTAACAAAAGAGCTGTGGGTGTGGTTCACGTGCTAGAGCTCTGAGGCTGAGTTCAATTTCCAGTGCAGCAAAATATATTTGGAAAAAAAAAGGAAGGGGAAGAAGAAGAAAAAGATGGAGGAGTAGCCAGGGCAGTGGGAGGGATCCAAGAGGGCGAGGCTGGTGAGCAGTATGGCACCATTTGTCCTTGGGTTGTGTGCAGGCACTGCTGTATCAGAAAACAGAATCCAACTGGGTGCTAGTGCCTACACCTGTAATCCATCTGCTTGGAGGCTGAGATCAGGAGGATCATAGTTTGAGGCCTGCCTGGGCAATAGTTCAAAAGACCTCCATCTCCAAAATAACCAGAGCAAAACGGACTGGAGGTGCAGCTCAAGCAGTAGAGTGACTGTTTTGCACGTGCAAACCCTAAGTTCAAACCCCAGTCCCACCAAAAATGGGGAACAAGGGAGAACGGAGGAAGGAGAGAACAAGGGAAACAACAATCAGCACCTAGGTATTAACAAGAGTTGAACGACTAGTGCTGGCACTCACAGTTGCCACCAGGTGGTGCCGCACGCATCCCAGAGAGCTAGGATTCTTCTCGGCTTTGGCCAAAGTACTTGGCACCCAAGATAGGGTCTCATGAACTATTTGCCCGGGCTGGCTTCAAACTGCGATCCTCCTGATCTCTGCCTCCTGTGTAGCTGGGATTACAGGCGTGAGCTTCGGGGCTCGGCTTTACCTGAAAGTTTGAATTCCAAAGAGCTCCAAATTCTGGATTTTTTTTTTTTTTTGAGACTGGTCACACTGTGTCACCCAGCTCCTCAAACTCATAGGTTCATTAGGTCCTCCTGCCTCAGCCTCCCAAACAGTTGGGTCCCCAAGCACATGTCACTCAAAGTCTGTAACATTTGGAGGGCTGACATGAAGCTCAGGTTTCAGAGGTTGACCTGGGTACAGTGGTGCATGCCTGCAATCCTGGCTCTTAGGAAACAAGGTAGGAGGATTGTGAGCTACAGGCTAGCCTGCACTGCATAAGACCCTGTACAAAAAAGAAAAAAAAAGAACAATTTTCAGATTTTACAGCATTTTGGATTTCAGATTTTCAGAACAGTAAAGTCTATGCAAATATTCAGAAATCTGAAAAACTGAAATCACACCTACTTCTGGTCCCAAGTACATGGGATAATGAATTTTCCACCTGAATTTAATCCAGTGAGGGCAGAGCCCAGGCTGTCTTGGTGACAGTGATGACCTCCACACTCTCTACCTCGACCCTGACACACAGTAGGTGCTTAGGAGATGTTTGTAGAAGGATTGACAGAAATAACCTGGGCTAAGGAATTTTTATTTTTTTTGAATGCAGCATCTTCCTGCCTCAGCCTCCAAAGTACTGGGATTATAGGTTTGTGCCACCATGCCCAGCAGACTAGGGAATTTGACTCCCCAATGTGGCAGGAGGTCATAGAAGGATAGACAAGGATGGATGGATGCTACTGGACACACCAGGTTTCCTCTGAGCCCTGGGCTTTTGCACAGGCTGTGCCCTCTGTCTTGACCATTTCTGCCTGTTCTCCAGCTCTCACTCGTGTCCCTTCCTCTAGGAAACCTCCCAGACTTCCAACCTTCCAAAGGGAAGAGTTCCCCATCTGGGCTTTCCAAATGCAACCCTCCAATGCTGGAGATATCTGTCCTGCCCCTGGAATGAGTGGCCCTGAGCTGAACTGTGAGCCCCAGGAGGGCAGGGCTGGGCCTGGTTTTGACACCGCTGTGCTCCAGCACAGGGCCAGGCCCAGAGCTGGGCCTCAGACCAGCACAGAGGATGGGACGGAAGGCTTGGGCCTCTCTGGTTGGCACGGTGGGTCCTAGGCACACCCCTCGCTGACAGTCTCTCTGCCCACAGTTCCGAAACTTCAAGATCATTTATCGTCGCTATGCCGGCCTGTACTTCTGCATCTGTGTGGATGTGAATGACAACAACCTGGCCTACCTGGAGGCCATCCACAACTTTGTGGAGGTACGTGGAGTCCTGGGAACAGCCTGTCCCTCCTCCAGGCCCTCTGTGGGTGAACTCTGTGTTTCTCCCCTACCCTACCCTTTCTTTTGTCCTGCCTCCTGTCTCTGCTCCAGCCCACTGGCCAGCTACACCACCTCTCCATTTTTACCCCTCTACCACCCAGTTCAGTCTCATCTCTCTCCCAGTGCCTTCAGCTGGCTCTTCTGCCGTCGGTCATCACCTGATCATCCTTGCTTTTGGTTTTTTGGGACAGGGTCTCACTATGTAGCCCAGGCCAACCTCCAGCTTGTGATTTTCCTGCTTCAGCTCCGAAGTGCTGGGATTACAGATTGGAACCACTGTGCCCAGAAACAGTAGTTTTTGGTTTTTTGTTTGTTTTTTTTTTAAGTGGTCCTGGGGTTTGAACTCAGGACCATGTGCTTGCCAAGCAGGTGCTTTACCACTTGAGCCATGGCCCAGCCCTTTCACTTTGAATATTTTTAGAGCAGCTCTCTGTTGATGTGCAGGCTGGCCGAGACCATGATTCTGCCATGTGTACCTCCTGAATAGCTGGGATAACAGGCACATGCCAACACACCCAGTTTTCATTGGTTGAAATGGGGTCCTGAACTTTTTGTCTGACCTGAAACCTCAAACTTCCTGATCTCCACCCCTGGAGTAGCTGGTATTACAGGAGTAAGCCACTACACCTGTTATGACGGTGATTCTTAACTTTGCTTGCACAACCCACTCTTGGCATGAGAATTAAAAACTCCAAATACTCAAATAAGCAGATAAATAAGTAACTCAGAATACTCATGCCACACCCAGGCTAATTAATTTGTAGAGTCAGAATTCCTAGCATTTTTTAAATGAGGATTTGAGACAGTGTCTCCCTATATAGCCCAGGCTGGCCCTGAACTCTCAACCCTCCTACCTCCCAGGTGCAGGGATTATGGGTGGGCCAAGATCTCTGCTCCCGTTTCTCCCTGTGTGTCTCTCTGTTCTCACCATCTCTGTCTCTGGTCTCTGTCTCTCTCTCTGTCTCTCTGTCTCTCTCTCCCCCACTCCCTTTCTGGTCCTTTCCCTTTGGTCTCTCTCTTGCCTGTGACCTTGACTCTATTGTCCCTGTCTCTGCCTCCCTCCCTGCCTTGCTATTTTTTTTTCTTTTGAACTCAGGGCCTCATACTTGCTAGGCAGGTGCTTTACCATTTGAACCACTCTGCCAGCCCTTTCTGGTGGCCGGATTTTTTTTTGAGATAGAGGGTTCCAGAACTATTTGACAGAGCTGGCCTCGAACCTCGATCCTCTTGATCTGTGCCTCCTGAGTAGGCAAGATTACAGGCATGAGCCACCAGTGCTCCTCTCCTTACTTCCTGTCTCCCTCTCCCAGGTCTTAAACGAGTATTTCCACAATGTGTGTGAGCTGGACTTGGTGTTCAACTTCTACAAGGTAAGCGTGGTGGGGCGGGGACAGAGTGGGCGTGGCCAGGTGGGCGTGGCCGTGACGGGGCGTGGCCCAGAGCATCAGCAGTCCTTCTGGGCCTCCTGCAGTCTGTTTCCCAGCCCCCAATGTTCAAGCCTGCACCCGGCCTCCCCGGGCCTGCCTCCCTCCCTCCCGCAGGTGTACACAGTGGTGGACGAGATGTTCCTGGCGGGGGAGATCCGCGAGACCAGCCAGACGAAGGTGCTGAAGCAGCTGCTCATGCTGCAGTCCCTGGAATGAGGGGCCCTGCGCCCCTAGACCGCTGCTCGCGCCCCCAGGCCGCGGCCCGCCCCAGCAGCCCCCCGCCTCCCTCAGCCGCTCCGAGGAAGGACCAAGTGGGTCTGGGGCTGCCAGGAATGAGACTGCATCCTACTGCCTCTGGGCCCCAGCGGGGGGCAGAGGCCACCTTGGTGTCCCGAATAACCGTGCTGTTGTCTTTGATGCTGTGAGTGTGTGTGTGCGTGGAGCCCCCAATAAACCTGTGGTCCTGCCTGGCCTTGCTCTCCCTGAGCACTTGCCTGTCTTCCCTGGAAACCATAGATCCTCAGGATGTCCTGCCCTTGGTCCATCAGTGAGTCACTCAGTCTCATTGTTCTGGGCAAGGTGGACAGAGGCAAGTATATTTCAGACCTGCTCCTGACCACAAAGGGCTCCTGAGACTGCAAGGGGTGACAGTTGAGACACTGAGCACTTGGTATTAAAACAGTTCTACTTAAGTGGAGCAGTGGCTCATGCCTGTAATCCTAAGTACTTGGGAGGCTGAGATTGGGAGGGTTGCAGTTTGAGGTCAGCCTGGGCAAATAGACCTCATATCAAAATAACCACAGCAAAATGGACTGGAGGTGTGGCTCAAGTGGTAGAGCACCTGCCTAGCAAGCTCAAAGCCCTGAGTTCAAATCCAGTAGCAATAAAAGTTGACAGTAAGTACTAGCCACAGTCGTCCTTTTCCACTCAGAGAAGCTAAGTGGTGAATGCCTTCTGCCACCATCAGCTGAACCAATATAGCCATATAGCAGAGCGGCGGTAACAAATCACCCCAAGTTAGTGGCTTATGACTGTGTTAGAGTTCTGGAAGAAGGAAGCCTGAAATGGGTTTCATCGGCTTGTAATGAAGGTGCCAGCAGGGCTGTCTCCAGGCCCTGGGGAGTTTTGTTTCCTGGCCTTTCCTGCTTCCAGAAGTCACCTGCTGTCCTCAGCTTGTAGCCCCTTCCACCTCCCAGTCTCAATCTCATTCATTCTCTCTCTCTCTGTGTCTCTGTTTCTATCTCTGTCTCTGTCTCTCCCTCTCCCTCTCCCTCTCCCTCTCCCTCTCTCTGTCTCCTGCCTCCCTCTTAGCTGCATAAGGACCCTGTGATTACTGGTCCCACACGGATAACACAGGATGCTCTCCCCACCTCACAGTCCTTCATGTAATCACATCTGTAAAGTCCCTCTGGCCAGACAAGGTAATGTGCACAGGTTTAGCGATTAGAATCTGGATGTTTTGAGGGAGCCACTATTTAAACATTTTTCCCCACAAATATTTATATAAGAGTTAACCAACTCGCGTTTGCACCAAATCCACCATGGCCAGGCTAATCAGGAAAGAGAGTTCCAAGCAGAGGGAACAATCAGTGCAAAGGCCCTGAGGCAGGGGGTGCAAGGGCTAGTGTAGCTGGAAGAGTGAGCAAGATGGAGAGTAGAGAGGATTGGTTCAGACTTGTAGTGGGTTGAGGATAAGAGGAAGGTTGGTTGCAAAGAGCCTGACCAGCTGGACTGAGGACACTGGTTACTCTGTCACAGATCCACAGAGAGGATTTTCCCTTTTGGAGGGTCTGGGGGAGTCCTTGAATCAAAGAATACATGCAGGGTGTGGAGAGCATGCCTGTAATCCCAATATGCAAGGGGCTGAGGCAGGAGGATCACTGGAGCCCTAGCGTTTGAGGCCAGCCTGGTAAACCTAGTGAGACCCTCTCTCAAAAATTTACATACTGGGTCTGGGAGAGTGGTTCAAGCTGTAGAGCACCTGCCTAGCAAGTGCAAGGCCCTGAGTTCAAATCCCATACTGACAAAAAAGTTTAAAAATCAGTAAAAAATTAAGCCTTGTGTTGGGATTGTGGCAGAGCTGTTCAAATGGTTAATTACAAAACACCCAGAACCTGTAAGCAAACAGAGCAAGTCACTCCTTTGTGCACTGCTGGCATGGAGGCAGCTGGCTGGAAAGCCGCCAGTCTCTTGCAAAGGTAAATACGCACTTCCTCCGTGACTCAGCTGTCCCTTCCTACCTGTTTACACATGACAAAATCCAGGGCCACACGCACACTTATGCACACGTGTCCATAGCAGCATCGTCCATGATGGCTGAAAGGCAGTGGAAACCCAGATGTCCATCCAGACCACACATGCTGTGTCCACACAAGCCACAAAGGGGAATGAAGCAGCCAGGTGTGCTGGTTCCCGCCTGTAATCCCAGCTACTCAGGAGACAGAGGCAGGAAGATCATGAGTTCAAGGTCAGCCCGGCTCAGGCAGTGCAACCCTGTCTCAAAAACAAAACACAAGGGCTCGGTTCTCTGCAAGCTTACCTAATTGTTTATGTACTTTAGGCTGGTGGAGTGGCTGAAGGGGTACAGCACCTGCCTAGCAATGTGAAGCCCTAAGTTCAAACCCCAGTGCTGCAACAACAACAAAAATCTAGCCAGTATCTAAGTGTACATTAAAAAAATAACAGCCAGCTGCGGTGGCTCACACCTGTAATTGCAGCTTTCTGCAGAGATCAGGAGGATCACAGTTCTAGACCAGCCCAAGCAAATAGTTCCTGAGACTCCACCTCAACCAATAAAAGTTCAACACAGTGGTACAAGCCTGTAATCTCAGCTATTTGGGAAGCATAAATTAGGAGAGTCATGGTCCAGGCCAGCCAGAACATAAAGTGAGAGCTCATCTCAAAAATAACCAGAGTGAGCTGGGCGCTGGTGCCTCACGCCTGTAATCCCAGCTATTCAGGAGGTGGAGCTCAGGAGGATCACAATTTGAAGCCAGCCTGGACAAATAGTTCATGAGACCCTATCTCGAAAAAACCCTTCACAAAAATAGGGCTGGTGGAGTGGCTCAAGGTGTAGGCCCTGAGTTCAAGCCTCAGTACTGCAAAAAAGAAAGCCAGAGTGCCAGGCACCGGTGTCTCACACCTGTAATCCAAACTACTCAGGGGGCAGAGATCAGGAGGATGGCAGTTCAAAGCCAGCCCCAGGGAAATAGTTTTTGAGACCCTATCTCGACAAAATCCATCACAAAAAAGGGTTGGCGGAATCATTCAGGGTGTAGGCCCTGAGTTCAAATCCCAGTCCACAAAAAAAAAAATAACTAGAACAAAAAGGGGCTGGGGCATCACTAAAGTGGTAGAGTGCCCGCCTAGTAACTGTGAGACCCTGAGTTCAAACTCCAGTGCTGTCAAAAGAAGAGAAAAGACTGATCAGTTCTGCTGCAGTGGAAATGAAACATGTGGGCATCAAAGATACTATGGACAAAAGGAAAAAACAAGCCACACGTTGTGAGAAGACAGTTGCAACATGTGTAACTAACAGAGATTAATGTCCACCATATGTAAAGAGCTGCTATAAATCAATAAGAAAAAAAACCAAACAACTGAATAGGAAACTGGGCAGAAAGGGGAGAGGAAAACAGTTTCAGAAGCCTGGCAGGTGGGGAAGGCTGCAGGTCCTGCTCATAGGGCAGAAGGCTGGCTTTCTACCTCATCACATGCATAAAGTAGCCTAGATGTAGCCCATAAGTGCTTATCAGAGGCCTGGGTAAAGACAGACCTGGCAGAAGCACAGGAAGCCTCATTAATGGGGGTGACAGTGCACTCAAGGTGGCCATGGCGGAAATGAATTTTTTCTAGCCCGGAAAAGGGAGGAGGCAGGCCCAGCCCAGAGGGAGAATGTGAGGTGGAAGATAAGGTTGGCTCTGTGCCTGAGACTACAGGAGTGTTGTCAGGGTTAGCCAGAGTCAGGCCTGCCTTTCCTCCTCCCCAGTGATGCAATCATAAACTTTGTGGCTGTGACATACACTTGCATTTTTTTTTTTTTTGGTGGTGGTACTGGGGTTTAAACTCAGGATTTTGAACTTGCTAGGCAGGCATTCTACTGCTTGAGCCACAACCCCAGCCCTTTTTTTGGTCTTAATTATTTTTCAGGTAGGGGCTCATATTTTTGCCAAGGAACAGACTCAGACCATGAAACACCTACCTGTGCCACCTCATAGCTAGGATTACAGGCGTATACCACTGTGCCCGGCCCCTGCAATATCCACTGTCGTTGCATTTCCTGTGTCAACTGTACACTAAGCACGAATAGCTTTGTTCCTTGAGCTACAGAAGAGCCACCATCCTTCCTGACTCTCAGGCTGGAGTCTCCTGGCAGGAGGCTTCTTCTCACATCCCACATCCCTTCCAGTGGGACATCCTGTTGACCTGACCTTGGAAATTACCTCAAAGTCCCACCTCCACAGCGGGTCCAGCTGCCACCGTCATCTCAGGCCTGGACTATTTCAGTCATCTCCCTGCTGCTTCTGCCCTTCCCGTTACTAATAGAAAAGTCATCCCACGCCAGCAGAATCCTTGTTGTTTTTTTGGATTTTGTGTGTGTGTGTGGTACTGGGATTTGAACACAGGGCCTGCATATTGAGCCACTCCACCAGCCCTTTTTCGTGATGGATTTTTCAAGATAGGGTTTCTTGTACTATTTGCCTGGCTGGCTTTGAACCTCAATCCTCTTGATCTCTGCCTCCTGAGTAGCAAGGATTACAGACATGAACCACCGGCACCTAGCCAGCAGAATCCTTGAGAGAACTCAGTCCCTCTTCAAACACCTCTGGTGGTTTCTGCCTCTCTCAGAATAAAAGGCAAGTTCTCACTGTGGCCCACAAGGTTTCTGCCCCCTCTCTGACCTCTCCTTTCACCCTCTCCCCTTTGCATATTCTAATGCATGCTTCCCTTCTTTCCTTAAGTCGATCATGGCACAGCCCTGCCCGCAGGGCCCTTGCACCCGTGAGTCCATTTTTTGGGGACACTCCCCCCCCAGGTATCTGTGTGGCTCCCTCCCTCACTTCCTCAGGTCTCCTCTGAGGTGTCAGCTGGACCTTCCTGACCTCACTATAAAATAGTTATACTTCTCTCCATACGTGGTATCACATGAATATCAAAACCTATTTTATTTTTTATTTCCTTGGGTAATATTTATCCAAGTTTCACTGACATACTATATATACAAAATATAAAACTAGGATGGGGGTGTGGCTCAGTGGTACAGTGCTTGCCTAGCATGTGCAAAGATCCTGAGTTCCATCCCCAGCACTGGATAAAAAAAAATGTCCCAACAATTTCCTCTTCACCTGCCACCTGCCCTCATCCTGTACTCCTCCCTGTACTTATCACCATCTGACATTGTAGACCTACACTTCAATGCCATGACCTCCAGCCACACTTGTGGCTCTTGGGCATGAAGATGGGAATCCAGCTGGCCGTAGTGGCCCACACTTGTAATCCTAGCTATTTGGGAAGCTGAGATTGGGAGGATCGAGGTTCAAGACCAGCCGGGGAAAATCAAGTATTTCTCCAAACTAACCAGTGTGAAGGTGTGGCTCCAGCGTTAGAGCGCCTGCTTTGCAAGGGTGAAGCCCTGAGCTACTCAGTCCCACCAAAAAAAAAAAGAAAGAAAAAGATTTGTATGAATAAATATCATTCATGGTTCTTCTCCCTGATGACTTCTTATCTCCAACATGAACACTCAGGCAACCCCCCTATTCCTACCCAATCCCCACAACTTTTTCCTCCCCTCCCAGGATCAAGGACCCAGGACAGAAGCCAGATTGAGCAGGGCAGAGGGTGCTGGAACAGTCCTAGAAGGCTTCCTAGTGGAGGGAGCCAGGCTGGTAAGAGAAGTCCCAGCCCAATGGCGGGATCCTCGGGAGAAGCTCGCCCTCCGCCCGTGGGCCCGGCTGTTTCCATGGAGATGGATTCCCGGCTCCAGTCCTCAGCGCTAGGCGATGGAGACGTGGTTGCCATGACGACCCCGCATCCTCAGGTAGTGAGGTCTGCACCAGCCAGATGCCCTTTGCAGGAATCAGAGTGCTGTATGATCAAAGTGACTGCACGGAAGGGCCGACCCCGCAGTCCCGGGCTCTGCACTGGCCTTCCACCTCCTGCCATGGGGCAGGGGACATCAGACCTCAGCCCTGCAGCTGCTGTCCCTCTCGTCCATCAAATGAGCGGACACGACTCATCCAACACGCTAACTACTACTACTTCTCTCCCCTCCCCTCCTTCTCCCCTCCCCTCCCCCTCCCCTTCTCCTCCTCCTCCTCCTCCTTCTCTAACACTATAACTTCTCACTTCTTTGTCTTCTTCCAAGACCTCTTGGCCCCCCACTCCCTGTGTCAAGACCTTGTCAAAAGGAATGAACACACTCACTCAGTCCACAGTTTGAACTTTATGGGGTTTTCTTTTGTTTTGTTTTTGAAGTACTGGGGTTTGAACTCAGAGCCTCATGCTTGCTAGGCAGGCACTGCACCATCTGAGCCCCACTCCCAGCCCATATAAATATATATATTTGACAAAAGTCTTACTATGTAGCCCAGTCTGGCCTGGAACTGGCAATCCTCCTGCCTCAGCTTCCTGACTGCTGGGATTACAGGCGTGAACCACCACGCCCAGCTCACAATCCAAACTTTGAGCTTCCCACAGCAGCAGCCAGCATTCACATCCTCCCAACTTACTATCTGGTGTCCTGATTCTGAAATCCTTCTAGCCCCGAGGACCCCCGATTCATTACTCAACCGCCTTCCCACTCTTTCCACCCTGTGACGACCACCCTGCCCCACCCAGTACATATCTGATCAGTGCCATTCCTCCCTTCCCCCTAACCTCAGATCCCTGGTCCCCTCTCTCCTTATTGGCCTCATAGGGAAACCTCACCCCAGCCCCCACAACTACCAGCCTGGTCCCAGAAAAATTCATAATCCTCTGCAAGTCTCACCTGAACTTCAGAACTGTGACCTCAAGTGGGAGCTGTCTGCTGTTTGGCAATTCCAGTTTAGAGCCTTAGCCCTCTTTTCTAAATCCTTCCCAAGTGCTGGGATTATAGGTGTGTAGTCTTGGTCTCTTGCCTGGTCCCAGAACTTCTTCATCGTCCTGCACCGAAACTCTATACCAGATAATCAACAACTCTCACCTCTTGCCCCCAGGTGCTGGTAACCTCTATTCTACTTTCTGTCTCAGGAAATGTACTGATCCTAGGCACCTCATATAAATGGAATGATACCATATTTGTTCTTTGTGTATGGTTTCTTTCACAAATAAAAATAATGCTTTCCGTGTCAATTTATGCTATAGCAGAATTTCATTCCAGCTGGACACTGTAGCTCACGCCTGTAATCCCAGCTACACAGGAGGTAGAGATCAGGAGGATCAAAGCCAGCCGAGGTAAATAGTTCCATCCTATCTGGGTGTGGTGGCATGGGCTTATCAGCCCAGCCACTTGGAAAATGATAATAGGAGGACTGAGGTCCATGCCATCCCAGGTGTAAAATTAAGACCCTACTCGAAAAAATAGCTAAAGCAAAAGTGGCTGGACGTGTGGATCAAGTGGTAGAGCACCTGCCTAGAAAGTGTGAAGCCCTGAGTTCAAACCCCAGTACTGCCAAAAAAAAAAAAAAACAAGAAGGATGTAATGATTTTCTCTTCTGTGTGTTTTTGTCCTTTTCCCTTACTCCATGGTGGCAACTGTAGCTGTCAGAGCAATGAAGCCAAAAGAACGGGACAGGGACAGATGATTTGGTATCTGTCTAGTCCTAGGGTTGCCTGTCATGTCCAGGGCTGGTCACTCCACCCACAGCAATTTGCTCAGCTCTGTAAGCATCTAGCATTTCAAATTCACTGATTTCACCAATCTACATCATCACAATTAACACTGATGATGTCATGGGGACATTGCAGAGCAGCCCAATTAGAACTTGGCATGTGTCTCTCTTCTAATCATTGTGGAGGCTCGGGAGGCCACAATCACCAAGTTCACGGACACCAATATGGTGACCCCCAAATATGGCAGCTTCTGTTGCTGGTTGAATCGTATTCCATTGTATGGATGTCCTACTCTACCCTTTCATTTCTGGATGTAAATTTGGCTTGTTTCCTGCACTGGTTTGTTTGTTTGTTTTAGCAGTTCTGGGGTTTGAACTCAGGGCTTTGTGCTTCCTAGCCAGGTGCCCTACCACTGGAACCACGTCCCTAATGCATAGTGACTTTTTTTTTCAGGATTTCACTATGTAGCCCAAGTTGGCCTGAAACTTTCAATCTTCCTGCCTCAGCCTCCTGAATGCTGGAATTACAGGCATACACCACCATGCTTGGCCTGTCTCCATATTTCACTGAGAAGAAAACTTCCCCCAAATTCCAAGAGGCCATCAACTCACATATCTGCCACCCTCTCCCCCTATTAGAACCATTTGTGTGAGCTGCAGGCTGGCTGCGGTGCTTCATACTTGTAAATCCCAACATTTCAGCATGTGAGGCAGGAGTATCTATATCAAGGCCAGTGTGGGCCTTGAAGACCCAGCCAGGCATCAGTGGTTCAACCTGTAGTCCTAGCTACTTGGGAGGCTGAGATTGGGAGAATCCTGGTTATAGTTTGTGAGACCCCATGTCCAAAATAATCAGAGCAAAATGGACTGAAGGCGAGGCTCAAATGTCAGAGCATCTGCTTTTTTTTTTTTCTTCTGGTACTGGGACTTGAACTCGGGCCTTCACCTTGACCCACTCCACCAGTCCTTCTTTGTGATGGGTTTTTTTGAGATAGAGTCTCATGAACTACATGCCTGGGCTGGCTTTGAACTGTCAAAGGAATGTCTACTATTGGGGGTAGTTTCTGTCCCTTGCCATGAAGATGTTATCTTTCCTGGAATCCAAGGTGATTGCAGAGCGATTGTAAAGAGAAAGGCTTAGAGCAAAGACAGATACGAAATGGAGGCAGAGGTGCCAAGCTTCTCCTGTTTTTAGTTAATTCATGGGCCTGAGTAAGGAGTCAGTGCTTTTCAGCAAAAGCAGTTTGACTACCTCTTACAGGTGGGAAGGGAGACTGCTGTGGCCATCGTTGGTTTATGGTACTGGGGATTCAACCCAGGACCTTGTGCATGGCACCCCTCTGGTGACCCAGTCTGGGTGGCCATCTTTGCTTTTTTTTTAATTTTTTTAATTTTTTTGGCATACTGGGATTTGAACTCAGGGAGGGACTCATGCTTGCTAGGCAAGGTGCTCTACCACTTCAGCCACTCCATCAGCCTATTGGTGGCCATCTTTGGAAAATGCACATTGCCCAAGGATGATCGCCTGTTGACCTTCCTTCCTTCCATCCTTCCTTCCTTCCTTCCTTTCTCCCTTTCTGGTACGAGTATTATGTTTGCTGTGCATTAAACATATTGAAAAAATATAAAAATATAATACATTGTAAAACCCATAGGAAAACAATATTGTGTACACTTATCAGCCCTATGATGTACACAAACACCATATGGTGCCCGATATGCAAATCAGCTAACCCCCAGCTGGTGTCGATATGCAAATCAGCTAACCCTAAGGTGGTGCTGATAAGCCCCCCCCCCCCCCCCCCCCCCCCCCCCCCCCCCCCCCCCCCCCCCGCACTCTGCACAGCTGGTCGTTCGGATTCCCTGGGTGTCCTGGAGGCCTATGGAGACGGAGAACTAGCCAGGACCGGTTCAGAGCCAGCTACCCGTGGACTAAGATTCACGTGGCAAGGTGAGCACAGCCTGGGGAAGGCTGAGGCGCCATCGGGCATAGGTTGTAACCCCCTGCAATAAAGTGTGTATGAACAACTTAGTTCCTGCCTAAGTTAATTCATTTAGCGCCTGACTGACGGTCAACTCTGCACTGTCACCTGCTCACGACACTCTCTCTCTCTCTCCCTCCTTCCCTCCTTTCCCTTCCTTTCCTCCCTCCCTTTCTTTCTTGACAAGCTCTCTTTAGGTAGTCCAAGTTGGGCAAAAATGGTTGCTCCTCTTTCCTCAGCCTCCTAAATGCCGGGATTACAGACGTGCACTACCAAGCCCAGCTACTGCCTTTCATAGGACCTCTCCTTCCCTTAAGCCCAGGGATCCTCCCCTTCTTGCCTACTAAAGAAAGATATTCCAGCCAATCTTCCTGTTTCTCATCTGTTTCTATTCTAAGAATATTCTAGAATCCAAATCATTCCCACACCACCTAAGCCTGTTTGATCAAAAGAACTGATCTTCCTCCTCCCCGACCCAAGCCCTGTCTATCTTTCATACTTGATTTTCCTCCACAGAACTTCTCACCACTTGACCTGCTCTAGATTCTCCTTGTGTGTGGAGCAGGGGGCGTGGTTCAGTGTTAGAGCCACTTGTTAAATTCCCAGTACCACAAAACAACAACAACAACAAAAAACGAAAAAAGCGAGGGGCCTCTGGTCTGACCACTTAAGAGCCTTTGCCTCTGGCCTTCATCCTGGGAGAGATCCCTGCAACTGGACTTCCTCCCCACATTGAGGAGGGGATGAAAGAGCTGGGTCCACGAGGGGTGGGCTGTGGGGAGGCAGGGAGGCTCCCTGACTTCTAGGCCATGTCAGGGTGGCCTGTGCATTGACTGAACACCTGCTGGATGCCCAGTTTAGTGCTAGGAACACGGTGCTCCCATGCCAGTGGGGGAGACAGGCTGGTGCCCAGAGAACTACTCCTATAGAGGGAACAGGGCTGGATGGTGGATGCAACCGGAGAGGGCTTCCTGGAAGAGGGCATGTTGTGTTCCTCACAGAGGAAAAAAAAAATGTGAAGATTGAGAGTTGGAGGTCAGCCTGGGCTACGTGGTGAGAACAAGTTTCAAAAAGGAGTCATCAGGACCAGGTGCACAACTCAAGTGTAGAGTGCCTGCAAACTTTGTTTGAAAGAAGCTGAAAATTTGGATCAATGGGAAAGTTGTCCCATGTTACTGGATCAGTAGGCTCTCTTAAATAAAAGAAAAAGATGAAAAGAAGAAAATAGACCCATCTTTTGCTGGGTATCGTGATGCACTACTGTAATCCTAGCACTTGTGGGAGGCCAAGGCAAAATTACCAGTTCCAGTGCAGCCTGAGTTACATAGAGAAATATTGTCTCAAAATAAATAAGTAACCAAATAAAAAGAATTCTTCTTCAGCCACATGCCCCTCCCCGCCCCTCCTCCTGCTTTCTTTCTGTCTTTCTTTCTTTTTTTTTTTTTTTTTGTGGTACTGGAGCTTGAACTCAGGGCCTACACCTTGAGCCACTCCACCAGCCATTTTTGTGAAGGTTTTTTTTTTTCTCAATAGGGTCTTATGAAGCCCGGGACTGGCTTCAAACCTTGATTCTCCTGATCTCTGCCTCCTGAGTAGCTAGGTTTACAGGCGTGAGTCACTGGCGCCCAGCTTCACCCGCTTTCTGATTCCTCCACCTCTGGGCCACCTCCCTTGCTGTTCCCCCTGCCTGAGTCTCCCTTCCCAGCACCAGGCCAGGCGGCTCCCGCTCTGCACAGGGAGTGTGGACCAATGACTCCCGCAGCTGCAAGCCAGTCTGAATATACCCATGATGTCCTGCTGTCCCTGCCAGGATGTGACTCTCCTCACCCTGGGCTCCTGGGACCTGGCAGGGTGCCTGACTCCAGAGCAAATGTCCTGCAAATATTTGTCACTTGAAAAAGGAAGCCAAGATGTCCAAGAGACCTGGGTTGGGGAAGAGGTGGGGGAGGGAGGTCCAGGCAGACAGAAATGTGTGGGCCAGGCGCTGGGGACCCTGGGGCCAACCTCCCCAGCTGGGAGGAGTAGGGAGGAAGGGAGAGGAGGGGGAAGGAGGGAGGGACGTATCAGAGGAGGGGACAGGAGGAGGGAGGGAGAGGAGTGGGGAGGGTGAAGGAAGGGAGAGGGAAGGAGAGGGGGAGGGAAAAGAAGGGCCGGATGTGAGTCACCTCCTAAGCACAAGACCGTGGAAGGCTGCTGGAACTTTCGGGAATCTTTTTACAGTGGGACAGAGAGGGTGACAGTGTCTTTCTGGGAGACCCTCAAGTTTGCTTGTGGCCGGAAGGAGGACAGGCCTCGTCTCCCAGGGCCTTCTAAGGACTTCTGCAGAACATTCCATGGGGCCTTCTGGAACAGGCTGGGCAGCTTGGCAGCCCCTGCTGCCCCCCCACCGCTGGGTCACTGCTCTGGCCTCCTCCTCCTCCTCCTCCTCCTCCTCCAGGCCAGGCTCACCCTCCCTTCTCCTTGCATCCCATGACGCTTCTGTAGGCCTGCATTTTTTATAGAGTGCTTGAAAAAACAAAAGTTAATAGGTAATTGAGTGCCTGGGATGAAAGATAACAACGTGAAGACTTTCCCTCCCTCCCTTAGGCTCCTTCTAGGACGCACCCCAGCTTTTATCCCATCCTCAAGGGAGGCCAGGCCTCTAAAGTGGTCAGACACAGGCCTTGAACTGGCTGTGATCTGGGCCTAGTGCACCAGGCTCGGGGTCAGAGGTTCCCTGCACAGGGGAGGAGGATGGGGGCACAGCCAGGCAGGTGTGGAAAAGCCAAAGGACCCATTTTCTTGTGTTTTCTCTCAGAGACAGCCTAAGTCATGTCAGCACAGATGGAGAGGGGTCCATAGGCTAGAGACATCATTGTTTTTCTTTTTTACTTAATGGTGTATTCAGGTTGGGTGTGATCGTGCATGCCTGTAATCCCAGAACTAGGGAGGTTGAGGCAGGAGGATTGTGAGTTCAAGGGCATCCTGGGCTATGGAGGAAAACAAAATGAAGCAAAACACAGATGACATTTGTTCCCTCTTCTGGTGGAGGTGACATTCTAGTGAAGGACAGTGGAGAAATAAAATGACAAGCCTGTCTCCTTTTTTTTTATGCGTGTGCTGGTAGAGTTTGAACTCAGGGTCTTGTGCCTGCTAATCAGGCACTCTACCACCTGAGCCACTCCATCAGTCCTTTTGGCTCTGGTTATTTATTTTTTGCAGTACTGGGGCTTGAACTCAGGGCCTTCACCTTGAGCCACTCCACCAGCCCTATTTTTGTGATTAGTTTTTATCTGAGGTAGGGTCTCGAAGGGCTGGCTTCAAATCATGATCCTCCTGATCTCTGCCTCCTGTGTAGCTGGGATTACAGGTGTGAGCCTCTGGTGCCCATCGATAGGTATGTATTAACATTACATAATAAGTCAGGAGACCTGAAAAGTGTTATTGGAAAAACATGGAGCAGTGCTGGGGTGGTGGCTCAAGTGGTAGAGTAACTGGTTAGTAAGCATGGGGCTCTGAGTTCAAACCCCAGGACGGCCAAAAAAAGAACAACAAGAACAAAAACCCACCACCAACAAAAGCCCTTTAAAACTTAAAGGAGAAAAATTTGTCGTGTTACGAGACAGGTTTCAGGTTTTTTTCACATGGTGGTCTGAGAAGGCCTTGGTCAAAGTGACATTTGAGCAAATTCCTGAGGGAAATAAGGTAGTGAGCCAGAAGGTTATTTGAAGTGAGGATGGCACCAACAGGAGGAACAGCAAGTGCAAAGGCCCTGAGGTAGGAGTGAGTGGAATGTGTCCTAAGAGCAGAAGGAGAGCAGTGTGACCAGCAAGGAGGAGTGAGGAAGACAGTGAGAGACCTACAGAACCTTCTGGGCTACTGCTCACAATGCAGATTTTGGAATTGGAATACAGCTCAGGGGCAGAGCACTTGCCTAGCACACGGGGGGCCTGGGCTTTGATTCTCAGCCCTGAAAAGAAACAAAGAAAGAAAAGGAAAGAAACTGGCTTTGACTTTCTTGGAGAGCCATCCAGGTTGGCGGATGCCAGGGCCAGTTCTCAAGAGAACATTACTACACTTTCCAGAATTTTCAGCCCACTTGTTAAACATAGCTGTTATTAAACATTTTTAAGTTAAATTATGCAAATTTACAGGTACATATATGATGTTAAAACATAGGTAATAAATAGCCATCTCTTGCTTTCTTTTTTTCTTTTTTTGTGGTATTGAGGCTTGAACTCAGGGCCTACACCTTGAACGACTCCACCAGCCTTTTTCAGTGATTTTTTTTTTTTTTTTGAGATAGGGTCCCTCAAACTATTTGCCCAGGCTGGCTTTGAACTCCGATCCTCCTGATCTCAGTATCCTGAGTAGCTAGGATTACAGGCGTGAGCTGCAGGTGCTCGGTGACTGTGGGAACTGCCCTTGTGCCAGACTAAAGCTGTGACATCCATCCTTGAAAGAACTGTGTCAAAGGACATGGGCGGGTCTAACGTGAGTGCCTGCTGTTCTATGACTTTCTGAGGAGGCCAAACCAACTTCCACCCCCGCCAGCTAATGTGTCAGAGGACACAGGCCTCTTGTGGTGGCAAGTTGGTCACCCAGACCCTTTGATGGTTCTTGCTGCTTCTGGGATGAAGCCTTTGAACTTGGCCTTCATAGTCAGGCCTTGTCCCGTGCTGTTACAAGGAAACAGGGAACACCATGACCTCACCAGACACCTAGTAAATTCCACATTGAGGACCTGCTGCTTGTCCCTTGAAATGAGCCCTGACCCACCCACACTCCATGTACTTGTGTCTTTCTTCTTAATTTCTCCTGGCCTCTCACCAGACAAAATCCACTCTCCCATTCCCTATGGCTGTATGGCCCTTTTCTGTTTCAAAAGGCTAAAAAGCAGATTTTTTTTTTTTTTTTGGTGGTACTGGGGTTTGAACTCAGGGCCTTCACCTTGAGCCACTCCACCAGCCCTTTTTTATGATGAGTTTTTTCGAGATAGAGTCTCGAGAACTATTTGCCCAAGCTGGCTTTGAACCATGATCCTCCTGATCTCTACCTCCTGAATAGCTGGTATTATAGGTTTGAGCCACCGGCACCCAGCTTTTGTTTTTGAAAGTAATGGGGTTTGAACTCAGGGCTTTGTGCTTGCCAGGCAGGTGCTCCATCATTCAAGCCACACCCCCAGCCCTGTATTTTGTTTTTGAGACAGGGTCTCTAACTTTGCCTAGATTGGCCTTGAATTTGCAATCCTCTTGCCTCCTCCTTCCTAGTAGCTGGGACTATAGGAGGGGCCCTACCACACCCAGCCTGGCCCAGGTTTCTAATGTGCCATTAAATGTCACCTTCCTAGGCCTCACTTGAACCTAAGGCAGTCACCCCTTCTTGTCCTCCCTTCCCAGGCTGGGAGGACTTCAACCATAGCCTCTTAATGAGCACTCAGTCTGCTCCCTGCCCAGGCTGAACTGCAAATTCTAACACCTCTCAAATCAGGCCCACACCCCACCCTTCACTCGGAAAGCAAAGCCACTTGGACCTTTGGCCTGGGGTCCAGGGGCCTTACTTGCAAATCCAATGCAGGGCCTCTGTTGCTGGCCCTAGGCAGTGAGAGGACAATGTCTCTCTAGCTGAAAATGGCCTTTGGAGGTGACACCACATTGTCACTGTGAATGGGCGTTTATTTTGGATCTACTCTTGGAACTGGCTGCTGACAGAGCTGTGCCAATAAGGCTACCAGAGCAGAGCCATGCTCCCTGGTCATCTGGGGCAGGGACGTTTTTGAACCCCCATATAGGACTCCCAAGACATGGCCTAACTTGCTTCTGACCTGGCTTCTGGAAAGGAAAAGTTAGTAATTCCAGTACTAAAAGCTCCTTGTATACTCATCTCTTTAGGTGTTGCCAAGGCCTACCTGAGGGTTTTTGCCATATTTTGGTTTTGGTTTATTTGAGACAGGGTCTCACTATGTAGCTAAGGCTGACCTCAAACTCAGAAATCTCTTGCTGCAGCCTCCAAAGAGCTGGGGTCACGGGTTTGCATCATGCATGGCCAGCAGTGGTTTTGTTTCCTCTTCCTGCTGCCTCTGGGGTTCAGGTCAAGTCCAGGAATAGGTAGGACTCCCACCTCACCTTTATTCTCTTCTGTCTCTCTGAAGCATCAGAGCATCAAATATCTCTCTACACAGGTCACCTGACACCTGTGAGGCCCAGGACAGGAGTGGCTGCCCTGGAGTGTTGCCCCTGGGCTTTGGCTGGATTTGGACCTGGAGGAAGATGAGGAGCACCTGACGTCCCAGTTCTGTGCCTCAAGGCTCAAAAACCTAAGTGACAAGAGGTACCACAAGCTATCGGGGCCTGACAGCCAGCAGCCGAGGTGAGGTGGGGGAGGCCTACAGGGCAGTCAGAGGAGCCAGCTCTTATAAATAAGTAATTAGGAAGGGCCGATGGGCAGGGCAGACTTCTCCAGCTCCCAGGTCAGCAGTGGGAAGTGCATCCTTGCTACATTCAGGTGGCCCAAGGGTCATGAGGTCTCCCTCCCTCCCTCGCTCCCTTCCTTCCCTTCTTTCTTTCCTTTTTTTAGGGGGTGGGACTGGGGTTTGAACTCAGGGCTGTGCATTTTTTAGGCAGGTGCTCTACAACTTGAGCCACACCCCAAGCCCATTTTGTTTTAGTTATTTTTGGAGTCCAGGCTGACCTGGACAGCAATTCTATTGTACACTTCCTGCTGTAACTGGGATGACAGGCACATAATCACTGTGCTCAGCTATTGGTTCAGATGGGGTTTCATGAACTTTTTGCTGAGATTGGCCTTGAACCATGATCTTCCCCATCTTTACTTCCCTAGTAACTAGGATTACAGGTGTAGGCCACAGCACCTGGCCTCTTTCTTTCTTTCTTTCTTTTTTTTTTAAAATATGGTCTCTATGTAGTCCAGGTTAGCCTTGAGCTCTCAATACTCCTGCTTTAGCCTCCAGAGTGCTGGGATTACAGACATGCCCTACTGTACTTGGCTTGGCTAAAAGATCTTAGTTGGCTCTATTCTGTGTTTCTAGAATCAGGCAACATCATAAAACCGGTTCACTCCATAAAATAGAATAAGTGTTCATTTACACTGAATGAAAGGAATTTTTTTTTTTTTACAGTGTTGGGGCTGGAATCCCAGACCTCAAGCATTCTAGAAAAGTGCTGTACCACTGAACCACACCCCAGCCTGAGACTAGTCTGGAAAAAGCAGAAACAGAGAATAAAAGCACATTAATTATTTCAAAGTTACTTTCCTTGTAAGGTGTGAATAGGGAGAGAGACAACAGGTAAATAACTGGTCAATGCCAGACTTACTTCAGGTTACTTTTCGGGACCATTAAGAAGAGATGTAAGGATTAAACCAGGAAATCTATCTTGCTTATTGAAACTGGCCCTTTTGGGAAATTTGACTATTTCTCCATATCTGGTTTCTCAGAAGATCAGATAACAACTTAGTTCAGGTTTGGTGATGTGAACTTTAGCATGAGTGACTCCATTTTGGTTTTTCATCATGCCTGTGGAACCCAGCAAAGGAGCCTAGTCCAAAACAATAGCTTCCTGTATTTTCCTTTAACGAATGAGCCTGTGGATCACACCTTAATCCTAGCTACTTGGGAAGATGACATCAGGAGGATAGTGGTCCAAGGCGAGCACAGCCAAACAGTTCTTGAGACCCCATCTCCAAAATAACCAGAGGAAAATGTACTGGAGGTGTGACTCAAGAGTAGGGCCTTGCTCCCAGTGCAGTTTAAGGTCCCACACAGTGCTGGGCTCCATGCAGGTGAGAGGGCCCTAAAGAGGACAGTAAGACCAAACGACAGATGGGAATGTGAACAAGGAGCCTGACTCTCAGGTCTCTGGTGCCCCTAAATTAGGCTTACTTTTTTTTTTTTTTTGGTGGGAATGGGACTTGAACTCAGGGCTTTGTGCTTGCAAAGCAGGCACACCTCCAGTCAAAGTGAGGAAGACCCTATCTAGAAAAACAAAGTGCTAACAAAAGAGCTGTGGGTGTGATTCACGTGCTAGAGCTCTGAGGCTGAGTTCAATTTCCAGTGCAGCAAAATATATTTGAAAAAAAAAAGGAAGGGGAAGAAGAAGAAAAAGATGGAGGAGTAGCCAGGGCAGTGGGAGGGATCCAAAAGGGTGAGGCCAGCAAAAAGTAGAGGCTGGTAAGCAGTGTGGCACCATTTGTCCTTGGGTTGTGTGCAGGCACTGCTGTATCAGAAAACAGAATCCAACTGGGTGCCAGTGCCTACACTGTAATCCATCTGCTTGGAGGCTGAGATCAGAAGGATCATAGTTTGAGGCCTGCTTGGGCAAATAGTTCAAGAGACCCCATCTCAAAAAACCTTTCACAAAAATAGGACTGGTGGAGTGGCTCAAGGTGAAGGCTCTGAGTTCAAGCCCCAATACTGGAAAAAAAATGTATATATACATTTCCCTAATGTCAAGGGGAAAAGATCAAAATCAAATTGGAGTAGCATTTATTCAGGGCACTTCAGATGGAATCAGAAGGTCATTGTTAATGGGATTTTCGACTTTTTTTTTGGTGGGACTGGGGTTTGAATTCAGGGCTTCGCACTTGAATGCAGGTGCTCTACTGCTTGAGCCATGCCTCCAGTCCATTTTGCTCTGGTTCTTCTGGAGATGGGGTCTCATGAACTGTTTGCTGGGCTGGCCTTTGGTCTTCCTGATTTCAGTCTTTCATGTAGTTGGATTACTGGTGTGAGCCACTGTACCTGGCTACTTCTCTCATTTTTCTTTTTTTACTTCTCTCCTTTTTGAAGTTAGGATTGAAATAACTTCCTTTGGCCAAGGCAGAGTCAGAGATACAGTGTGTTACTCCAGGTGGAAGCTCCCACCACCCCATACTGGGGTTTGAACTCAGGGCCTCATGCTTGCCAGGCAGACACTCTGTCATATGAGCCACTCTGCCAGCCCTTTTTGTAATGGGTTTTTTCAAGATAGGGTCTTGTGTGATCTATTTGCCAGAGCTGGATTCGAACCACAATCCTCCTGATCTCTGCCTCCTGAGTAGCTAGGATTACAGGCATAAGCCATGGTGCCTGGTTCAAAATATGTATCCTTCTTTAAATACTAGCTTCACACACAGAAAGGTGATGTGAGAAAAACTGAGAAGTGGCAGTTTTCTTACCTATGACAAATTCATCTTTCTTTTCTAGCTCCCTGAGAAGAATCCAAGAAAGGAAAATGGGGGCGTGGTATTGGGGGTTGAACCCAGGACCTTATGTAAGTTCAGCAGGTGCTCTACCTGTGAGCTAAGCCTGCAGCTTGCCTTCCCTGCTCAAGTCCTCTCTTTAGCCCGCACCCTGCCTTCTCATTCTTTTTGCCCTTCCTTCCTTCCTTTGGGGCTTTTTTTTTTTTTTGTAGCACAAGCAGTTGAATTCCTAAAAGGTAAATATGCATGAAATAGCTCTCCTTTGATCCCACATTCTAGTCCCTTCTCCCCAGCTCCTCCTCTTCTCTTTCTAGAAGAACTCAAAAGCCCAGCTCCTCCTCTTCTCCTTCTAGAAGAACTCAAAAGCCCAGCTCCTCCTCTTCTCCTTCTAGAAGAACTCAAAAGCTGGGTTCCACGCAAGTCTCCAGGGACCCCTGCGGCCACATTCCAGGTGGGCACTCACCCTCTTCCTGTTTGGACTCCGAAGTGAGTGGGTCTGCCTCCTCCTTGGTAATGCAGCACAGAGCAGGCAGCAGAAATGCACACTTTCTACAAGTAACTCTTAGTCCCTGCGGAGGGGCTGGGATTATTTTACCCTGGCAATTGAAGTTCATGCCTATCAGGACCACCAAAGGGAGGGCTGTGGGTGGTACAAAGGGATGGAAAAAAAAGCAGCAGAAATAAATACAAAATAGTGGAGTGTGCTGGAGTGCTTCTGTAATCCCAGTACTCAGGAGTTCTAGGCCAGCCTCGGCTCCATAGCTAGATCTTGTTTTAAACAACAAACAAAACAGCAGCTGGCAAAGTGGCTCACGTTGTAGAACACCTGCCAAGCAAGTGTGAAGCCCTGAGTTCAGACTCCCTGACCTACCACCCTTCTCCACTAAAATAAACCCCAGAATTAAATCCTGGAATCTAATCTAGTCCCTTATATAAAATGCCATGGGTCAGTCACCAGTGGCTCACACCTGTAATCCTAGCTACTCAGGAGGCAGTGCTAGAGACCCTATCTTGAAAATACCCAATACAAAACAGGGAGGGCCAGCGGTTTAAGAGGTAAGACTGACCTACAGATCCTAACAGATACATTGTATCATCTCCAGATGATTTATAAAACCTTACACAAGGTAACTGTGTTGGTATGCTACATTGTTCAGGGAATATATCAAGATAAAGATCTACCTACCTTCAGTATGGAGGCAATCTCTTTCCCTACTTTTCTGCTGGAGCCACCGCACCTCTAGTCCATGTTTCTTTGGTTATTTTGGGACTGGAATTACTCCCACTATTTGCCTGGGTTGCTCTCAATCTATGATCCTCCCAATCTCAGCCTCCCAAATAGCTAGGATTGCAGATATGAGCCACTGTAATATATAGAGAATTTAATTGTTTATTTGTTACTGAGGTTTGAACTTAGGTCCTCACACTTGCTAGGCAGGCACTCTACCACTTGAGCCATGCCTCCAGTCCTTTTTGCTTTAGTTTCTATTTCAGATAGGCTCTTTTTCTTTTTGTTTTCTTTTTTCTTCAGATAGGGTCTTGCCTTGGAGGATGAGCCTTCTCCTTGTCCGTTCTGAGTAGCTGAGATATTTGCCACCATGCTCACATTTGTTTTTTGAGATAGAGTCTTGCTAACTTTCTATTTATTTATTTATTTGGCCCAGGCTGACTTTGAACCTCAATCCTCCTAGCTCCACCTTTCAAGTAGTAGCTGAGATTATAGGCATTTGCCCCCATGCCAAGCTGTTTGTTATTTTTTGTGGTACTGGGGTTTGAACTCAGGGCCTACGCCTTGAGCCACTCCACCAGCCCTTTTTTTGTGATGGGTTTTTTCGAGATAGGGTCTCATGCACTATTTGCCCTGACCAGGGTGGCTTTGAACTGCAATCCTCCTGATCTCTGCCTCCTGAGTAGCTAGGGTTACAGGTGTGAGCCAGCAGCATCAGGTGTTGAATTAAGGTTCTTGAGAAGGCTGGGCATGTGGCTCAAGTGGTAGGGCACCTGCTTAGCAAGTGCAAGACCCTGAGTTCAAACCCCACCACGGTTAAAAAGAAAAAAATTCCCTACTTGCAGAACTGGAGAGAGAAAAAAAAAGTAAAACTGGTTATGGGATGTCTCTCTTTCCTGACCTCATCTCCCAGGCTGGACTTCCGGCCTTGGCTCCCCACCTTCATCCCTCCATCCTCTCTTACTAACTGAGTCCTCACTCAGTGAGTGTGAATGGATGTCTCCCCCATTGGACTATGAGCCTGGGCGGATGGGAGTTAGACCTGTCTCAGTCACAGTGGTGTCCCCAATGCCCTCCAGAACAGAGCTGGACACACACAAGGCGCTCAGATAACGGTTGTTGAGGGCATGAGTGCAGATTTGAGGGAGGCAAGTGGTCGGTGAGATCCTGGTCCTAAGTGGGATGGGGCAGGCTGAACGCCTGCTGTTTCCTGTCTCCCAGGCTGGCAGACACCATGCAGAACAATACCCGCTTCTGATAGCCAACTGAGGCTGGGAACTCAGTTCCATAGGTCCAGATTCCCCAGGGTTCAGCCCAGCCTCCTCGAGCCCCAAGTGGTATTTGCAGTGTTGAAATTGAAATCTGGGTAGGAGGTTACGCCAGTGGGAGCACAGCTGGCTGAAACCAGTTGGTAAAGTTCATCTCCCGCCAGAGGCGGGCAGGGGGCGGGGCGCTCCCAGCCAATCCTGGACCAGGCCCTCCTACCTTGCCCTTCCTCTGCCCCGCCCTACACTCCCCCGAGGTTCTGGGATGGCAAAGCCTCTTTCCTGAATGCTGCCTTCCTGTCTGGCACCCCAGCCCTTGCTGGGTGGCAGGCAAGAGGCTGAGCACAGCCCATACCCATAGGAGCCAGGGCTCGGATTTCCAGGAGAGCTACCAGATGCCTCTCCTCCCCCAGCCCAAACACCTGCTACAGCCACACCAGAAGCCCAGCTGTGCCTTGGGTCCTCAAGACTCCCGGGGAGCAGCCACCTCCCGGTCTGCCTTAGGGAACACACTGGAGAGGACTTCTGTCTTGATAATCGGTTTGTTTGTTTAATTGATTGAGACAGTGTCTCATTATGTAGCCCAGGCTGGACTCGAACTGGAGATCCTCCTGCCTTAGCCTTCTGAGTGCTGGATTATAGAGAGGTGCCTACCTCACCACACTTGGCTTATTTGTGCTTTTATTTTTGGTGGTACCGGGGTTTAAACTCAGGGCCTTGTGCTTGCTAGGCAGGTGCTCTACCAGTTGAGTCATGGCCCCAGCCTTTTTCACTTTACTTAATTTTGAGATAGGATCTGGGATTTTGCTGAACTGGACCTCAATTCCCCTGTTTATATTTCCTGAATAACTGGGATGCAGGCACACACCACCACACCCAGCTTATTGGTTGAGATGGGAGCGCATGAATTTTTTTCCCTGGACTGGCCTCAAACTGTTATCCTCCAATCTCATGCAGCTGGGGTTTACAGGCATAAACCACCATACACCAGTCCTCTTTTTTTTTTGGCAGTACTGGGGTTTGAACTCAGGGCCTACATCTTGAGCTCATTCCACCAGCCCTTTTTATTTATGATGGGTTTTTTTTGAGATGGGGTTTCAGAACTACTTGCCCAGGCTGGCTTTGAACCGTGATGCTCCTGAGCTCTGCCTCTGAGTAGCTGGGATTACAGGTATGAGCCATGCAACGGATGCCGAAGTATTTAGAAGAAAGATACATCGATTCCTGCAACTTTGCATGTATCAAAAAAGTGCTAGTGGCTCACGCCTGTAATCCTAGCTGCTCAAGAGGCAGAGATCAGGAGGATTGAGGTTTGATGCCAGCCCAGGCAAATAGTTGGGGAGATCCTATCTCGAAAAAACCCAACACAAAAGAGGGGTAGTGGGGTGCCTCAAGTGGTTGAACACCTGCCTAGCAAGCATGAGGCCCTGAGTTCAAACCCCAGTAGCACCACAAAAGCAAAATGAAATGAATGGAGAGCTGGCGTAGAGCACTGGCCTAGCCTGAGTGGGGCCCTGCTAAAAAGAAAAACTAAAAAGAAGAAAGATGGACAGATATGTGGTAAAATCAAGTGACACAACCTCACTGTGACATTTGAAATTTTTCAAAAAATATGCGGGAAATATTTGGTGGATATTAATAGTAACATTAGCACAGTCAGTAAACTAAATTGTATGCATTTCTTGCAGTGCTGGGGATGGAACCCTGTGACTCGTACCTTTTTTTTTTTTTTGTGGAACTGGGGTTTGAACTCAGGGTTTTGCACTTGCAATGCAGGTGCTCTACCACTTGAGCCGCACCTCCAGTCCATTTTGATCTGGTTATTTTGGAGATGGGGTCTCATGAACTGTTTGCCTGGGCTGGCCTTGAACTGCGATCCTCCTAATCTCAGCCTCCCAAACAGCTAGGATTTCAAGCGTGAGTCAGTGGCGCCCTACTAAAACCTGTTTAATAGATGAATTGAGCTTGTGTTCCTAGGAGGAAGTGCGTTATGATCCTCATGATATCTGTCCTGTAACTGAAAAGTGTCTAGCTGTCAACTGGGCAAATTTATTTTTTAAATTATAAACAGTATTCAAGACACCTGTGGTGGTGTTCACCTGTAATTCCAACTACTCCGGAGGCTGAGGCAGGAGGATTGAATTCAAAGCCAGCTCAAGCAAAGGGCTGACACCCTTTGTCAAGAAATTACAAAAAACAACAGGGCGTGACTCAACTGGTAGTAAACTTGCCTAGCATGTTCGAGGTCCTGGGTTCATTCAATCCCCAGCACCGCAAAACAACAATTAAAAACATTATTCAATAAACAACTCCGTCTCATCTTCCGGCAATCATGCCAGGGATGAAATTTTACCATCTGCATTTTACGTTTGAGGAAGTGAAGTTCAGAGAGGCGACATGAGATGGGGAACTCAGGGCTAAGATGCTCCAAGCTGAGTTGATTCGAAAATGATGTAGGAAATTTTTTTAAAAAGAAAAAGTGAACCACTTGAAAATCACCTGCACTTCCTAGAGACCTTCGCACCAGAGAACCCTGCTGTGGCTTAACCGCTCTAACCCACAGCAAATGCCTTGCGGAGGGGGGAGGGGGAAGCAACCGCTGACGTCCCGCCCCTGGCCCCGCCCACTCATAGGACCCGCCTCCCAGGTCTTTTCTTTTTTGCAGTCCTGAAGTTTGAACTCAGGGCCTACACCTTGTATCACTTCACCAGCCCTTTTTTGTAAAGGGTTTTTTTCAAGATAGGGTCTTGCAGAACTATTTGCCTGGTCTGGCTTCGAACCCCGATCCTCCTGATCTCTACCTCCTGAGTAGCTAGGATTACAGACGTGAGCCACCCGCAGAATCAGCCTTCTTTGGCATGCTGGTCTCTTCTGTATCTCAGCCGCGTCCCCCGAGCTCGCCGCGCACGCACCGTAGCCAATGGGCGCCCGGGATTTGGTTTCGCCTTCTTAAGCCCCGCCCCAGCCCATAATCCAGGCTCGTCAGCCTAGCGGGCTCAAAGCTACGCGGCGCACCCGGGAGTTTCTCCCGCGGCTCGGGTCCTCTGCCTCCCGCGTTCCCGGGAGGACTGAGGGTCACAGAGGTTGTGACTTGCCTGAAGTCCCGCAACTGTTCCAAGAGGAAGCTCTGAAGGGGGTCTGGATTTCCCCTCCCGGACTCTGAATTCCTTCCTCTTGGACCCCTGCTTAGCTCTCGGGTTCCAAGACCCAGGCACCCCGGATCCCCGCCTCTTGGAGCCGGACGTCCCGGATCTACGCCACCTGGACATAGCTTCCTGGAGACCTCCGCCACCTGGGCGCCCTCCGGCTCCCGGAGCCCAAGGATCGATCCCACATCCCAGCCTGAAAATCTCCTGTGCCCTCAAAGCCCAGGAACAAGAAACCCAGGCGTTCGCAACTCCCAGCTTTCGGGCCGCTCACGCCACCGGGAAGACCAGAGCGGTCCCAGCGCCCAGCCCTGGGGACTTGGACACCCCACTTCCGAGAGCCTGTGAACCCGCAAATCTGAAGTTCCAGCCTCCAGGCGCTGTTACTCAACTCTCCCGTCATAAGGACGTCGGTGGCGGGAAGGGCAGCGCTCCCAGCCTCCGGGCGCTTAGGAACCTCCTCATCATGGTGGTCGATCCTCCTAAGGCCGACCCCAAGGGGTTCCCGGCGGCAGAGCCCAGCGAGAATGGTGGCCCGGCGCTGGGTCCCAGAGAGGACGTAGACGCGACAACAGGCGGATGCTGTGGCTCCTGGGACCAGGTGCGCCGCTGCCTTCGGGCCAACCTGTTGGTGTTGCTGACCGTGGTGGCCGTGGTGGCTGGCGTGGCGCTAGGGCTGGGGATCTCGGCGGCCCGCGGCGCGGTACCACTGGACCCCAAGGACTTGATGGCCTTCTCCTTTCCGGGTGAGCTCCTGCTCCGCCTCCTACGAATGATCATTTTGCCGTTGGTGGTGTGCAGCCTGATCGGAGGCGCCGCCAGTCTGGACCCGAGCGCCCTCGGCCGCCTGGGAGCCTGGGCGCTGCTCTTTTTCCTGGTGACCACGCTACTCGCTTCTGCACTCGGCGTGGGCTTGGCTTTGGCGCTGCAGCCCGGCGCCACCAACGCCTCCGTCTGGAACACCCACGCTTTCAAAGAGGCCCCCAAGGAGGTGCTCGATTCGTTCTTGGATCTTGTGAGGTCAGACGCCCGATCCTCCCTTCCCTGGAGTGGAGTGGGAAGGGACCCTGTGCTAGGGATGGTGAAGTGGCCACGTGGACAGGAGGAGGCTTTAGGTTCTCTGCAGGGAGCCTTAGGAGAACGGGAGGTGACGGTGCTGTGTGTGTGGGTGGGGTGTGGGAATGTGAGGACAGACTCCTGCGGAAGGGGTTTCTAGATTTGGAGACCCCCTCCCACAAGGGTGGGACCCCACACGAGGATCACAGGGAAGGAAGTGTTATAGAGAGAGAAGGAAAAGCAGTATTTGGGGGTCTGGTGAGATATACGGTCTGCCCGAGGAAAAGGATCCAGTGGTGGGGACCCAGAGACATCCCCAGTTGAATATGGGCCACAAAACAGATTCACATGTCAGCCAAGGGATCCCAGATGGGACTCGTGGATAAAGATTTAGGGGTGAGGATCGGGCTTTGGGAGGTCCCCAAGGCTGCCCCTGGGCTGCTCACACCATGTGGGGCCACAGCCTGGGCTTCCCACCCTCCAGGTATTTTTTCTCAACTTCACCCCCGTTTTCATCAGCTGTGACTTGGCTACTTCCCCTTCGGATCCAGGTCAGCCCTGCCACCATGCCTTTCCCTCTCACTTCCTCCTGCCTGGCTACCCCTCCATGGGCCACCCAGACATGTGGTGGGGTAGACAGGCAGCACATTCTCTTCCACCTTTGGAGAAGTGCAGACTGTCTGGGTTGTATGGGCTTAGCTTTAGGGCCTCTGATTCAGTGTTTCCACGTTGGGGACTTCCTGGAAGTGAGGGCAGGAAATGGCGAGTCACGGAACAGGGTACCCTCCAATTTTGGGTCATCACTTGCTGACTGAGTTCAGAGGCTCCAAGGGCTTGGTGTCCATGCTGCTGTGGGTAACATCTTCTGTTTGGGCTAGATTAGCTGAGTCCTGGGCCTGGCTCTGAGCTGCAGGTGGGCACACCCACCCTAAAGGCTGTTTACGATGTTCTCTGGCCTCCCCACCCAGGGCCAAACAGCTGGGACTCACACTTGGCTGGCTACCCCCAGACTTAACTGGAACATCTCATACACTTGGCCTTACAATGGACACACCAGAGGATGCAGGCCCCCTGAAACACACACACATGACTTCACCAGCTGTCACACACACACACACACACACACACATTAGGGACTAACACCCTTCAGCAGAGCCACTCAGTGACATCATACCAGTACCTAACCCATGCTTAGAACAGTGCAGCCAGCTGTGGTGATACACCTCTGACCCCAGCTACCCAGGAGGCAGAGGCAGGAGGCGCTAGAGTTCAAGGCCAGCCTGGGCATAGTTAGGGAGACCTTATCTCAAAAACAAAATACAAACCAAAGGGCTGGGGACTGGGATTTAGCTCAAGTGGTAGAGCACTTGCCTAGCAAGTGCAAGGCCATGAGTTCAATTCCCAGAATGGAAAAAATTGAATCTCAAATTCAAGCCCAGTCAGGACTACATGTAGAGTTTGAGGACAATTTGGGCTTTGAAAAAAAAAAAAAAAGGCAGAGAACACACCTATGTGGGCACATATGCATAATTATATTCTGTGCCATATGGAGTACTTATCTGCTAACCATGTCCCATACATCTGACCTTAACCCATAACTTCTGGCCCGATCCTAGCACTGAGCTATTGTTCTGTGACTGGAGAGGAAGGATGCAGGGAGTTCACACTCAAGAGCCACTGGCTGGGTTCAAATCCCGCCTCAGCCACTTCCTACCTGGGAAGTTTCTTGCTTTTCTGTGCCTCAGTTTCCCCTTCTGTGAAATAGGAGAATAGTGCTTTTCCCAGGGTTGTGGTGAGGGTGGATGATTTGGCTTGTGGGAAGCACTAGCTGTACTGCCTGGCATACTCAGTCACACAAGGGTGGCCTTGTAAGCACACATGTATATTTGTGACATGCACAGCTGCCCCTTGTCACTCTCCAAGCCACAAGAGACTGGACACTTTTCAACACACCTCAGACTCTCCCCTTGCCCTCCAACCCATGAGCCCCCCCACCCCACCCCAGGATCAGCTCCTTCCCTGACCCTTCAGGAAGTAGCTGATGCAAGACAGCCAGGGTGTTAAGTTTGCTGCATGGGGGTGGAGCGAGGCCCAGTGTGACCGTGCCCTTGCCTGTCTCTAGAGCCCTGCATTCTTTCCTTCCAACCCACATTCCCTCGGGGCCCTGAATGCCAGCTTGCTGGGCCCAGAAGAGGCCAGCTCAGACCCCAAAAAAGGTGTGCAAGCTAGGTAGGTCCCACTGCCTGACTGGACACTGGCTGAGTAGGGGTGGGGGCCACTGACAAGGCCACCAAGTTTCCTCTTACCCCCCAGAGGCCAAGGTACCCTCTGTGTTCCCCCTGTGATGGTGTCTGATAATCCCCGTATGTCTATTTTTGCAGGAATATCTTTCCTTCCAACCTTGTGTCTGCAGCCTTCCGCTCTGTGAGTCCTCTGGGCTGTGTCAAGGGGTAGGATGGGGATGGGGGAACAGCCGCTCATAGCCCTTGCCACCTGACTTTGGGCTGTCATATTTTGGAATATCTCACATGGCCATATGTTACCTGCAATATCTGGGGGCTCTTGGCTAGTTCCTGAAACCCACCTAGGCCTTTCCCCACAAAGAAATAGGAATGGGGTTGGGGGAGTTGGGTATATACTGCAGTGATAGAGCGCCAAGTCTTGGCTCCTGTCCCCAGCAGTGGAAAAGAAAAAAAAAAGAATCTACTTGTGTGATAAGTGATTGGACAAGTGACTTTACCTCTTAGCCTTGGTTTCCACCTATAGAAAATTTGGTATTAACAGTCCCACCTCAGATGGGCTGTTGACAGCTGAAATTGAATTTAAAGGATGTTTAGGCTGGCTGTATGCTGAGGTGCATGCCTGTAATCCCCAGCTGCTTGGGAAACAGGAAGATTGAGAGTTCCAGGCCAGCCAGGGCAAAGTTAGCCATGCCCTGTTTCAAAAACAAAATATAAACAAAAGGGCTGTCAAGTCATAGTGCACCCCGTTTTGCAACTGCGAGGCCCCGGGTTCAATCCCCAGTACCTCCAGGGAGGAAAAAGGTTGGGGTAGGTACTGAACGTGGTTGGCCCTGATGCCAGTTCTCACTGACTTCCTGGCTCTGTTTGCAGTATTCGACCTTGTATGAACAGAGAGAAAATGGAACCAAGATCCTCCCGGTAAGAGAAGGGAAGGGGTGCTGGTGTGGCTTTTCAGATTTGTCCCCACCCAAACTTTCCCCTTGGTGACATTCACTTTTAACATTGCAATCCTTCCCCAATTTCTGTCCTTTCTGCCTTCTAGATGTGTCCTCACCTGGTCCCTCTTCTGTTCCCCCTCTCCCACCTACCTCATTGAGGCAACCACAGGGGTTTTCTTGTTTTTTGGGGGGTACTGAGACTTGAACCCAGTTCAAGGGCCTACACCTTGAGCTACTCCACCAGTCCTTTTTTGTGAAGGGTTTTTTCCAGATAGGGTCTCTTGAGCTATTTGCCCAGGATGACTTTGACTTTGAACCATGAATCTCCTGATCTCTGCCTCCTGAGTAGTTAGGCATGAGCCACTGGTGCCTGGCTCAGAGGGGGTTTTCCAAAGTACAGATCGAACCGGTCATGTAGCTCAATGGCAAGGCTCTGGGTTCCTGCCCAGCACCCTGCTACGTCCCCCAGTGCCCGTGTCCCCCTTGCTTCTAGTGCACAAGGGGTCTCTGTAGGGTAGGACCCCTCCCCTCCCTCAGCCTCATCTTGTGATCCTCCCATTTGGCTCTTCCCCTGTAGCCCTGTCTGGTTTCTTTCCTTCTTTGAATGTGGGCATTTCTAGAGCATTGGGAATTCTGTTTCCTTTTGAGAATCTTCTCTTGTCTTTTGTCCCTTCCCATCTCTTTGGTCCTTCAGTGTCAGCTAAATGTGTCTTCTTCAGGAAGCTCCCCATGAGTGCTCCCACTCCTTCCTGCTCTCCCCTGGGCACCCCTATTCCAGCTCAGTGCAGTCAGTGTGACCCCTGGTGATAGGTCTCTTGCCCTTGGACCTGGATCATGAGGCTTGGGGGAAGAGGCTGGAGGAGTGCTGCGTTGTCTCTTGCTCGGGCTCAGTGTGGCCAGGACAGGCTCTCAGTGGCCAGACGGATGGCCTGAGTGTCCCCTCTCCCACCCCCGTGTGTTCCTTGCCTGAAGGTGGGGCAGGAGGTGGAGGGCATGAACATTCTGGGCTTGGTGGTGTTCGCCATCGTCTTTGGTGTGGCCCTGCGGAAACTGGGTCCTGAGGGGGAGCTACTCATCCGATTCTTCAACTCCTTCAATGACGCCACCATGGTTCTGGTCTCCTGGATCATGTGGTAGGTGGTGGGAGGGGCCAGGGATGTCTGTGTGGGGTTGGTGGGGATCCTCCATCCACTCCCTGGACCCCAGGGTCCTGAGTTCAAAAATCGACACCTGCCATCCTCTAGCTGTGTGACTTTAGGCAAGTCACTTGCCATCTCTGTGCCTCAGTTTCTTCCTCTATAAAATGGCTACAATACTGCTCACCAGGGCTCAGTCTTCTCCATGTGGTCCTGACCTGCCCTTCATGAGCGAGAAAATTGGAACTGGTTTGGGGGTGTCCTGCCTGAGTGGACGTGGGACACCATGGTTTTCAGTACAACAAGCCACACTACACCTCTGACGGGAAAGATTCCTTTTAAGAATACTGTCATTGCTCAGATGAGCCGTTAGCTCAACTTGACCTAAAAGAATTAGTTTAGAAACTGCCAATAATGCTAACTTCCACCAATGCTGAGATGCTGATGCTGGTGCCTTCTTCACCTTTCTGGAAGGTGACAAAAGACAGCCAACTGTGGCCACTACTTGGCTCTGGTCCACTGCAGTTTTCTTTTCTTTATTTATTGTGAGACTGGGCTTTGAACTCAGGGCTTTGAACTTGCAAAGCAGGAGCTTGAGCCACACCCCCAGTCCATTTTGCTGTGGTTATTTTGGAGATGAGGTCTCAAGTACTATTTGCTCAGGCTGGCCCCAGACCTCAGTTCTCCTGATCTCAGCCTCCCAAGTGGCTGGGATTACAGGTATGAGCCACAGTGCCCAGTGAGAATTCCTGCCCTGCCCCCCAGATTCCAATATCCGTGAACTACCATGTGTGTGCCTACTGCCTGCAAGAGCTCTTGGTGAAATTGAGTATATTTTTAAAAGTATGTCTCCTTTTTTTGTTTTGTTTTGTTTTGCTTGACGCAGGGTCTCACTCTGTAACCCAGACTGGCCTTGATGCCAAGTTCTTGCTTCAGCCTCCCAAGGGCTAGGATTATAGGTGTGTACCACCACACCCAGCATCTTTTATTTTTATTTTTTTTGTTGCAGAGCTGGGGATCAAACGCAGAACCTTGCACTTGCTAGGCAAGTGCTCTGTCACTGAGCTACAGCCCAGACCTGAGAGTATGTCTTTCTTTTTTTTTTTCCAGTACTGGAGGTTGAACTCAGGCCTCGCTCATGCTAGGCAGGTGCTCTACCCCTTGAGCCACACTGCCAGCCCTGAGAATATGTCCTGTGTTAGGGACCCTGGGTGCTGGTGTGAGTAAGGCCAGGCTAGCCTGCTTCCTCATTCTCACACCGCCTACCAGAAGTTCTCAGGCCCCTTGGGTCTGTTTCCCTACCTGGAAAATGAGATTCATGACAGCAGCCTCAAAGGGCACAGATGAGTTAATGGCATTCTCAGGACGGTGCCCAGCCTATAGCATGTCCACAGTAACCAGTGACAAAAATTTACTTAAGCATTTGTTTATATAACTTTCAGGCATGTCCACTGGCCAGGACGTGGGCTGGACAAACCTCGTGTCTTTGAGGCTGGGGAGATAGGAACCCTAGTAGTCAGGCAGTAAAGTCCATCTTAGGCCTTGTGGGGTCTTCCTACCCCAAAAGCCCTTTGTCGTGATGAGATTTTTTTGAGATAGGGTGTTGGGAACCATTTGCCTAGGGCTGATGCAAGCCCCCTGATCTCTGCCTTCTGAGTAGCTCGTATTACAGGTGTGAGCCACTGGCACCCAGTTTTATTTTGCTTTTGAGATCTTGCCCTGGCTGCCCTTGAATTTGTGATCCTTCTGCCTCCACCTCCCAGGAAGCTGGGACTACAGGCGTGCACGACCACACCCAGCTTCAGCATTTGATTCTATAATAACTACAAGAGATGCGCTTGTAATAGGATCTTTCTCATGGGCTCTTGTGAGGATTCAGTCATGATCAAGGGCTCCATGAGTCATAAATGCCACCTACCTGGGAGTTATTAGGACCCCAGCTACGACCTTTTTATTTTTCATGATGTCCTGAGCATACCAGCTGCTATAACAAGCAAACCCAGAAAGCAGATGACTCACACATGATGAGTGTTTCTCACTCGGGGGTCAAGTTCAAGTCTGGGACGCTGGCTTTTTTCTCTTGGCTGGACTACCTTCAAAATGAAAAGCCAGAAGATCAGAGGATCCCAGGGGAGAACTGGGAGATTGGTCAGTAGGGGGCGCTGATGCCCGGCCATTGCAGGCACCTGTCTCCCTGGTGACTAGGTATGCTCCGGTGGGCATCTTGTTCCTGGTGGCCGGCAAGATCGTTGAGATGAAGGATGTGGGGCAGCTCTTCGCCATCCTTGGCAAATACATCCTGTGCTGTCTGCTGGGCCATGCCATCCATGGGCTTCTGGTTCTGCCTCTCATCTACTTCATCTTCACCCGCAAAAACCCCTACCATTTCCTGTGGGGCATCCTGACGCCGCTGGCCACCGCCTTCGGGACCTCCTCCAGGTGTGCATCATTGCCTTATGCAAAGGGACGTGGAGTGGGTATCAGGCGTCTGAAGAGCCCTGAAATTTTGCGTTGGGAATTCCTGTTCCACTCTGGGTCCAACATCAGGGACCTCCTTCCGCCTTACCCCGTGCCCTGTGTCAGCACCCAACTCTCCCATCTGTGGCATCTCCAAGAACACTATTCGTCTTGGAGCCAGCCACCTCGCAGGCATTTAGCAGTGATTGCCCTCCCCCACACTGGTGACTGAACTCAGGACCTGGCACTTGTTAGGGACTTGAGCCACGCCCCCAGCTTCCTTCCCTCCCTCCCCACCCCCTGTTTTTTGGAAACATGGTCTTGCTACTATGTAGCCCAGGCTGGCCTTGACTTTTGCGATCTTCCCTCCTTAGCCTCTTGAATCCTGGGATTATAGACATGTACCACCACGCACCCCGCTTAGGTGTGACTTTTTGTGGGTATTTTGAGAGGAAGCGGCCAGTCTATACTCTTCCAGGGGTGGCCAGACGTCCTTCATTTTGCAATCCCAGCATTTTGTGGGATCCTGAGTGTCTTCTAGCTGTGGGAAGAGAAAGGCTGGTAGTCAGAGGGAGGAGACGGCCCCCCCCCCACCACCCCCCGGACCCGCGTGGGTGTGGCCTGCGTGGTGGGCGGGGCCTGTCGGCGGATAGTCTATGAGGACTGGGTATGGGCGGGGCTTGTGGTGGGCGGGGCTGGGTGGCTCCGCACTAACTCTGCCGCACCAACTCTGCCCCACCGGCCCTGGCAGCTCCGCCACGCTGCCGCTGATGATGAAGTGCGTGGAGGAGAAGAACGGCGTGGCCAGGCACATCAGCCGCTTCATCCTGCCCATCGGTGCCACGGTCAACATGGACGGTGCAGCACTGTTCCAGTGCGTGGCCGCCGTGTTCATCGCGCAGCTCAACGAGCAGTCCCTGGACTTCGTGAAGATCATCACCATCCTGTGAGTACTCAGGGCCATGGCTGGGACCCCTGGACCTCTTGACCCTTGTCTCCTCCCATTACAGCTCCATCTGCCTCTCCCCTTCCCCAGGGTCACGGCCACCGCGTCCAGTGTGGGGGCGGCCGGCATCCCCGCTGGAGGCGTGCTCACCCTCGCCATCATCCTGGAAGCCGTCAGCCTCCCTGTCAAGGACATCTCCTTGATCCTGGCTGTGGACTGGCTTGTGTAAGTAGGGGTTTGGGGGACTGATGGGGACTCCTGGAAGCCAGGATGTCATTGAGCCCCAGTGAAAGGGACAGGCAGGAGGTTTCCCTCTCACTTCCCCATCGCTTGGACCTTTTTAGGGACCGGTCCTGTACCATCCTCAACGTGGAAGGTGACGCTTTTGGGGCAGGACTGCTCCAATCTTATGTGGATCGGACAAAGTCGCCGAGCTCTGAGCCTGAGCTAATCCAGGTGAAGAGAGATGTGCCACTAACTCCCCTGCAAACTGCCCCTGAGGAAGGCAACCCCCTCCTCAAACACCCCCAGGGCCCTGGCAGCGATGCTGCCACCTATGAGAAGGAATCAGTTATGTAAACCCCAGGAGGGGTTCCCCTGCCCTGCTCTGCTGGGGACACGTGGACATTACCATCACCAGTGTGGGTGAAAGGATAGACTGTAGCTCAGTCTGCAGGGACCCCTGTCCTTCTGAACTGGAGACTGGGCAGCTTTGTTGCTGGGGTGTATGTGTACGTGCAAGAGAGTGACCTCAAATCTTCAACCCTGTCCAAGGCTCCCCATTTCAGGGCACTAGTCACCATGTCTAGATCTCCACACTTTGAGGGGAAGGGTGTTCAACCCGTACAATGCTGGCTATGATAGTGGCTTTAGTTGTGCTGTGTGTGTTTTCTGTGACCACCTAACCCTCCACAGTATGTCCCACTCTGTCTACGTCTACAGGCCCTGTGTTCCCTCCACATAAACACTCCCAGAACCCTTTGGGAGAGACCAAAGATAAATACTATCACTCCAGAGAACATTTTTTAGCAATAAATTTGAGTGTCAAGTGTATTTAATCAGGTGTTTTAAGAATTTGAGCCAGGTGCCTGTGGCTCACACCTGTTGTTGTATCTACTCGGGAGGTTGAGATTGGAAGGATCAAAGTTCAAGGCCATCTGGGCAAATAGTTTTTAAGACCCCCACCTTCAAAATAACTAGAGCAAGATGGACTGGAGGCGTGGCTCAAGTGATAGAGTGACTGCTTTACAAACACAAAGCCTGGAGTTCAAGCCCCAGTCCTGAAAAAAAAAAAAAACAGCCAGGCACTGGTGGCTCACACCTGTCATTCCATCTACTTGGGAGGCAGAGATTAGAAAGATTGAGGCCAATAGTTCCTGAGATCCAACACAAGAAAGGACTGGCAGAATGGCTTAAATGGTAGAGCACCTGAGTTCAAACTCAGCAGCTGCTCTCTGTATAATCGCCAACAGATGGAGACTAAACAGTTGGGTAAACTAGGAAGACCTCGGCAGTACAAAGAACTAGCAATGCAGAGCATGGTAGCACACAGCTGTAATCCCAGCACTCAGGAGGCTGAGGCAGGAGGATGACATGTTCAAGACCCTGTTGTAAAACAAACCAAGACAACTGAAGAACCTGTACTTACATATGCCACCGTGGTAATTTGTTTAAAGTCAGAAATGAAGACACATTGTCTAGGTGCATTTCTATGAAGGTCTAGAACATGCTACACTGTTCTCTGGGGAGATGTCAGAAGAGTGGTGACCCTAGTGTGTGTTGGCACACAGTCCAAACTTCTGGATAAAACACTGTATTTATTATCATTATTATTATTATTATTTGCGGCACTGGGGTTTGAACTCAGGGCCTCACACTTGCAGGCAGGCACTCTACCACTTGAGCCACTCCACCAGCCCATCTTTATTTTATTATTTTTTTTCAGTGCTGAGGATTGAACTCATAGCCTTGTGCATGCTAGGCAAAGTGCCCTACCACTGAGCTCCATCCCTGGCCTTTGTTTTTGTATTTTGAGACAGGATCTTTTTATGCAGCCCAAACTTGCCTTCAAATCTCAATCTTCCACTTCACCCTCACAAGTGCTGATATTAAAGGCATCTACCACCATGCCTGGCTGCATATTTTTTTGGTACTGGTGTTTGAACTTGGGGCTTTGTACAACTCATGTAGGCATCCCTTGATATAAGAACTCTCATCCAAATAATCCCAATGTAATAACTTGCTCTTTTTTTTTTTTTTAAAACCTAAAATCTGCTGTTTGAGTCAACCCTACTGTGGGGCTGGAGTGTTGCTCAGGTAGCACCTGCCTTGTATGTTAGAGACCCTGAGTTCAAATCCCAATACCCAAACTTAAAAAACTTACTGTGTCTATTTTTTTTTTTCTCTTGGTACTGGGGATTGAACTCAGGGCCCATGAGTGTGTCTATCTTAATTGTTATGGCAGTACTGGGGTTCGAATTCAAGGCCTGCACTTGTGAGACAGGTGTGCAGCACCATGTCAGCTTTACTGGTTGAGGTGGAGTCTTGATAACTTTGCCTAGGCTGGCCTTGAACTGTGATCCTCCTAATCTTGTCTCCCCCCTTCCTTAACTATTTCACATCTTTGCTCCATGTCATCTCAGCAAGGCCTTCTCTAACCCCCTGTATTATTCTACAACCCTCCAACCTGTTACCTCCCTTACCCATGGAACACCTTATTCCACTTTTCTTTTTTTTGGGGGGGGGATGGGGTTTGAACTCAGGCCTTTGCGCTTGCAAAGTAGGCACCCTACCTCTTGAGCCACAGCTCCAGTCCATTTTGCTCTGCTTATTTTGGAGATGGGGTCTCTCGAACTATTTGCCTGGGGTGGCCATGAACTGTGACTCTCCCGACCTTAGCCTCCCAAATGGCTTGGATTACAGGTGTGAGCCACTGATGCCTGTTTTTTTTTTTTTTTAATTTATTTTTGAGACAGGATCTGGCCTTGAATTCCTGATTGTCCTGCCTTAGCCTCCAGAGTGCTGAGATTACAGGCATGTCATACCACACCCAGCCCTATTTTTTTTTTCTCTGTAAGAGAAAAAAATATATACTGTATACTGGGACTTGAATTCCAGGCCTACACCTTGAGCTACTCCACCAGCCCTTTTTTGTGAAGGGTTTTTTCAAGATAGGGTCTCTTAAACTATTTTCCCGGGCTGGCTTGGAACTGTGACCCTCCTGATCTCTGCCTCCTTGAGTAGCAAGGATTACAGGTGTGAGTCACTGGCGCTGGGCTCCCTATTAATTTATTGTTGGAGATGGAACCCAGGGCCCCACAGGTGCTAGATAAGCTCACTACCACCTCAGCCCTCTACTAAAAGACCAATAATCCCTTCCTAACACACTATATAATTTTCTTATTTTTATTGCTTACTGCCTGTGCCCCCAGGATGCCTGCTCCATCGGCGCCATCTCTGTCTTGTTCACTGCTGTATACCCCAAGCACAGCCTGCATGCTCACAACAGGCGCTCAATGTTTGCGGAATGGATGAACAGCAGGGCTCCAGCAGCAGAGCTGCCTGGCTGTAAAATGCTGGCTTGGCTCCTCTGGCTGCCTGCCAGCTATATGACCTTGGAGGCTTGCCATGTTTCACCAGCTGCTCAAACAACGGCTCTGTTATGCCTTGCCCCAAGGCCACTGGGCAAGGTTACATAAAAGTGGGAGAAAAAGCACCCACCAGTCACGCCCTAGGACCCATCTTTCTCTCCCTTTCTTGCTTTTCCTCTCTTTTTTTTTTTTTTTTTTGAGATGGGATTTTGCCATGTAGACCAGGCTTGGCTTTGAACTCAAAAATCCTCCTACCTCTGCTTCGAAGTAGTTGTGATTACAGGAGTGCACCACCACACTGTTGCAATTTTTTTTTAATGTCCAGGAATTCCACAAAATACTTTCTATTTGGCAAAGGCATTGTCCCATTCTTTCCCACCATGCCCGGTACACCTGTGGCTGCCAGGTTGGAGGGAACTGCAGGGGGTCTCCAGGGAGAACAGGAGGGTACAGATAGTCTGAGGGCTCCTGGTGGTGGCTATTTCCTGATAGGCATATGATCTGCCATTTAATAGTTTTGTGTTTTAACTGCCTGTGTGGCTACACCAGTGTTGTGCTGGTTTGAATGTCAGCTCTGAGAAAATTATCTCAGCTCTGCTAAAATGGAGTTCACAGACAATATAATCCACTTGCTCCTGATTTTCAAAGCAATCCTCTAGGTGGTGCATGCCTGTAATCCAGCACTTGGGAGGCTGAAGCAGAAGGACCACTTGCTTGAGCCCAAGAGCCCAAGAGTTCCAGGGCAGTCTTGGCAACTTGACAAAACATCACCTCAACCAACTCCCCACTAAAAGCCGGGCATGGTGGTGAGTGGTTGTAATTTCAGCTGCTCAGAAGTGATAGGTAGGAGGATTGAAGTCTGAGGCCGGCCCCAGGCAAAAACTTGAGACCCTATTTCAAAAATAGGGAAAGCAAAATAGGACTGGGGTTGTAGAGCACCTGCTAGTGAGTTTGAGGCCCTTAGTTTAAGGCCTAGTACCACAAAAAAAAAAAAAAAAAAAAAAAAGGGAAAAAAATCCCTAATTTGGGGTGAGGTTCATGGGCAAAACACTTTCCTAGGAAGAGTAAGGTCCCTGGTTTGATCCCCAGAACTGCAAAAAAGAAAAAAAATTTATTATTTCCTGAATTAAAATTAGAAGATTAAATTAATTAATTTCTGTTTCAAAAGGCTAAAAAGCAGATTTTTTTTTTTTTGGTGGTACTGGGGCTTGAATTTGGCCTTCATCTTGAGCCACTCCATCAGCCCTTTTTTGTGATGTGGTTTTTCGAGATAGGGTCCCTGGGCTGGCTTTCAACCTCCATCCTCCTGATCTCTGCCTCTGAGTAGCTAGGATTACAGGCGTGACCATGGCGCCTGGCCATAGTAGTTTACAGTACACATGTCCACATGTGGACGGGCAGGGCCACCTCCCCAGACCCCCAGGAGGCAGACAGACGTCTAGACCCTGAGTCACCCAGCCCCAGCACTGTGGGGACATGCTCCATTGGTGTCTAATCACCATGACTGTGTGCAATGAGATTTTCTCATCTGATAGACAATCCCTGGCCCAGTGTCTAACAAAACATGACACAAGCATCCCTCAGTTTACACACGGTTGTGCTTCCTGGAAAATTCACGGCCATTAACACCTCGCAAAAGTGACTTTGTGTTTATGGTTTGATTCTGCACTCCGATAATCATTCCAGCACTTTCACTTGCAAGGAAGGCTAAAATTTAATGGATCTGCTCTTTTATGAATTTGCAGGGATTTTTTTTTTTTAACAGGCTTGAACTCAGGGTCTACACCTTGAGCCACAACACCAGCTCTTTTTCGTGATGGGTTTTTTCAAGATAGGATCTTGAGAACTATTTGCCTTGGGCTGGCTTCAAACCTCAATCCTCCTGATCTCCGCCTCTTGAGTAGCTACGATTACAGGCGTGAGCCACTGGCATGTGGCTTGGAAAAATTTTTTTTTTTTTTTGAGATAGACTCTCTCTATGTAGCCCAGGTTGGCCTTGAACTCATGATCCTCCTGCCTCAGCCTCCAGAGTGCTAGGATTGCAGGCGTGTACCACTATACTCAGATAAAGCAGTAAATTTCAATCATCTATATTCTAAATAAACTCATTAATCCTTATTAGTTGTTAGGATTGTTTTCTGTTATAACATAGTTGATATTAAACTTGGTGAATATATAAAGCCATCAGACAGGACTGGAGGTGTGGCTCAAGTGGAAGAGCACCTGCTTTTTGCAAGTGCAAAGCCCTGAGTTCAAACCCCAGTCTCACTAAAAAAAAAAAAAAAAAAAAAAAAAGAACATCAGACAGTATGGCAAGGCTTAGAAAGGTTTTATTTTTTTTGTTGTCATTTTTGTTTTTCAGTAGTGTTACTTGGGTTTAACTCAGAGCTTTGCACTTGCTAGGCAGGTGCTCTACTGCTTGAGCCATGCCTCCAAGCCCTAAAAAGTTTGTATTTGTTGCCTGCCCAGGCACAGTGAGAGAGGAGAAACTCTCCCTAAATACTATGGCTAATACTGAGAAATGGCCGGGCACTGAGGTACATGCCTGTAATCCCAGCTACCTGGGAGGCTGAGACTGGGAGGATCCTGGTTCGAGTCCAGCCTGGGCAAATAGTTCACAAGACCCCCCCCCCCAGCATCTCCAAAAAAATAACCAGAGCAAAATAGTCTGGAGGTGTAGCTCAAAGGGTAGAAGTGCCTGATTTACAAGTGTGAAGCCCTGAAGTCAAACTCTAGTCCCACTAGAGAAATTATTAATCTGTTCAGAGCTCAGGTCCCTAATGGCTTTCAATTTAAAGGAAATTGCTGGAAGCATTTGATAAGCTAAGGTAAGGTCGCTACTATAGACCATGATTGCCTAAAGCCATTGGGAAATGTTGCCAACAGAAGGTGCAGCAGAGCACGCCTATAACCTCAGCTACCGCACAGGTAAGACAGCTAGACCCTGTCTTAAGGAAACCAGAGACAAACAGAAAGGGAAGGAGGGAGAGAGAGAGAGAGAGAGAGAGAGAGAGAGAGAGAGAGAGAGACAGAGACAGAGAGAGAGTCAGAGATCACAGAGAAGAAAGAATTCATACCAACAATTTCCTTTTTTTTTTTTCAGCACCACTTGAGCCTGGCTCCTTCACACCAAGAATTTTTAAACACAAAAAATTAATTTCAAGCTGGGAGCTGGTGACTCACACCTGTCATCCTAGCTACTCAGGAGACAGAGATCAGGAGAATCACGACTGGAGGCCAGCCTAGGCAAACCGTTCTCCAGACTCCATTTCAACCACTGGCTGGGCATGGCGGTATGTGCCTGTCAGCCCAGCTATGCAGGGAAGCACAAATAGGAGGAGCGAAGTCCTGAGCATAAAGCGAGACCCTATCCCAAAGCAAAACGGGACGAGAGTGTGTCTCAAGTGGTAGAGTGCCTGCCTAGCAAGCTTGAGGCCCTGAGTTCAAACCCTACTACCACCAAAAGCAAACAAAACATCTCCACCTTCAGGCCATGCCTTCCTAGTGCCGGGCAGTCATGGTGACATCCCGAACCATGACTTTATGTTTACAGGACACATTTTCTTGGGAACCACTTGTGGGAGGGCGAGTTCTGAAGTCAGGCTATGGATGTGTAAGCCTCAGGAGACAGCCCTCCTCCGAGGGCTGCACACCAGTGTCCCAGTGTCCAGAGAGGCAGTGACTTGCCTAAGATGGTCAAGCCAGGGTTCAATCATGCCTGATTTCCAGCCCCTTCACCACTAGCGCGCCTCACAGCGCCCCCGTGTGGCCGGTGCGCTCACTGTCGCTCACTTCTCAGGAGCAAAGCAAGGGTCCAAGTTCACACTGGAAGTGGCAGTGATTGGGTCAGGCTTCTGCTACCTCAGGGCCTGTGCTTTTATTTGTTTTTACTTTTTTTTTTTTGTGGGACTGAGGTTTGAACTCAGGGCTTCAGTCTTGCAAAGCAGGTGCTCTCCTGCAGTCCATTATGCTCTGGTTATTTTGGATGGCGTGTCTAGAACTACTTGCCTGGGCTGGCCTTGAACAGAGATCCTCCTTCTGAGCCTTCTAAGTATCAAGGACTACAGGTGTGAGCCATGGGTGCCCAGATATGTATTTGTTTTTCTTTACTTATTTATTCATTCGTTTATAGACAGTCTTGCTATGTTGCAGGCTGGCCTTGAACTCTGGTGCTCGAGATCCTCCAACCTCAGCCTCCAGTATAGCTGGCAATACAGTTGTGTACCACCATGTCTGACTTCCTGTGCTCTATTTACTTATTGTTCTGTGGTACTGGGGACCAAACTAGCACCTTGTGTGTGCTGGGAAAGTGTTCTACCTCAGAGCTGTCCTTTTTTAAAAAAACACAGGCAGAGCCAGCACATGGTGGTGCACACCTGTAAATCCAGGTCTCAGGGGGCTGAGACTGGAGGATCTTTCTCTCTCTTTTTCTTCCTCTTTTGGTAGTGGTGGGTTTTGAATTCCTGACTTGCTAGGCAGGCGCTCTATCACTTAAGCCACACCCCCAAACCTTTTTGCTTTAGCTATTTTTCAGGTAGGGTCTCGTGTCTTTGCCCTGAGCTGGCCTCCGACCTCAGTCTTCCTACCTACTGCCTCCCGAGTAGCTGAGATTACAGCTTGTTGAACGAGATCAGGTCTCACTAACTTTATGCCTAAGCTGGCCTCGATCCTTGATCCTCCTGATCTCCACTTCCCAAGTAGCTGGGATTACAGGTGTGACCATCGCCCTGGCTAGAGGATCACTTGAGTCCTGGAGTTCAAGGCCAGTTTGCAACATAGCCAGACTCCATCTCATTAAACAAAACAAAACAGAAAACTAAAACACTGTACCCAGGAGGTGTTCGGTAACAAGTCATTAGGATGAGGCAAGAAAACAAAAATCTCTATTTGTATTAACTTTTTAGTTTAAAATGGAATAATTTAGGCCATATTAGTAATAGATTGGTGGGAGTACCTGTACATAACTTATAAATAAATACGCACATTCTGGGAGCACATGACCCAATGTTACTCTCAGGTGTGCGATCAAGAAGGAAAGGTTTTTCCCTGCTGAATGGCATGGCCTCCCCAGCCCCCTCGGGTACCATTTATAGAGGCGGGCATCATGAGGAAATCAATGCTTCGGAGTCTGATGGCCTGACTCCATGTCCCCAATCTGCCACTTCTCAAGCTATCTGACCTTGGCGAATGACTTCCCAGTTTGGTCTCAGACCTTCCTGTGAAATGGACTTAATAGCAGCTGTCACTTCAGAGGGTAGAGGTGAGGGGCAAGTCAGTCCATGTGAAACGTGCCAGCGTGTCTTGTACCCAGCAAGTGTGCCACACAAGTGAAGATTATCGTGAGTCCTCCTGGCCGTGGGGAACAGGTGTGGGCAGGGGAAGTGGTTAAGTAATAAAAAAATCCTCCTGGCAGGATAGGGTTACTAGCAGCAGACAAGGCTCTCTCAGAGGGAAGGTGACACATTCCGGGAGAAGGGGAGGTGGCCATCGCTGTCCAGCCTCCACAGGGTCTCTGACAGACCAAAGACTAAAGAGGCGCTGGGGCTTTCGGTCGCCCTGACAGCCACAGGCCACAAGGAGTAGGACAGACGCGCCCTCTAGTGGTGAGGCAACCCCAACAGCCAAGGGTCCTGACGGCACTCGGAATCCTGGAGGGAAACGGTGGCAGAGACACTGCCCCAGGCTCACCTAATTCGCAAGTGGTAGAGCGGAGATTTGAAGCTTGCCAGTTTGGCTCTAGATCCCACTCTTCCCCAGACTGTCCCAGCGGTGGAGCGCAGGGCTCGTAGAATGTCGCTCAGGGCATTTGCACGAGGTCTGGGGCTACGCTGGCCCCTGCAAGGACGGGTTGGCAACCCTGGCTCTGTCCACTAAATGCCAGCAGTAACCGCGATTACTGGGGTGACCCAGGAGGTCCCCATACATACCCATCGCTCGCAGTGGGCAGGACCGGCTGAGAGTCTAGGATGTTGCTTCCGGTCGGTGGCCTGTTTCTCTCTGCCAAAGCCAGGCTTCTCGCGTCCTGTTTTGCTTGGTCAGGTCACCCCTCTTCTTTCCAGCGCGCCCCCCACTGCCCAATCAAAGCTTTTTCACATCACATCCAGACAGACCCCAAAAGACAAAGGGCGGCTCCCGGTGCCCCAATGTCCCTCCGACCCCGGGTGCGGACGTCCGGGCTTCAGCTGCCCGACAAACTCAGCAGCGCAGGGTTGGGGTACTCGGGGTTCTCGATGACCCCGGGGCCGAACTTGAGCTCCAGGAAGCGGCGGTAGTTGTTCGGGCCTGCGCCACGAAGCCGGCGAAGGGCAGGGGCACCAGAGGCTGCAGGAAGTGCTCGGGGAACTCGACGTCCTGCCGGTGGTCCAGCCACGTGTCCTTGGTCATGACCCCATTGCGGGGGTAGAAGGGCCACAGGTCCACGTGCAGGTGGTTGCTCTCGCTGTACTGCACGCGGAAGAAGTCGCCCTCGACGGCCTTCTCCCACACAAAGCCGCGCTCGTCCACCACCGAGCCGGCCTCGGCCCCCCGCAGCTGCTCGCAGTTGCCCACGTCCTCCAAGTAGATGCCCAGGTCCACGTCGTAGTCCCACGGGATGATGTCGCCGTGGCGGGCGGCCCCCAGCAGTGAGCCGCCCTCCAGCCAGTAGCGCACGCCCGCGGCCTCCAGCACGCCCACGACGTAGCGCGCGGTGTCGCGCAGCGCGCGCAGGCAGCACGGGGGCGTCCAGCGCCCCTCGTAGAGGTAGGACGGCGTGTCGCCCGCCACCGTCCCGAAGCAGCGCGCGCTCTCCTTGCTGCAGCCAAACCACTCGAGCCGCCCGCCCTCCCAGCTCACCAGGCGGATTCCCAGCGCGCGCAGCAACGCCGTCCGCCGCGCGCGCCCCTCGCGCTCCGCCTTCCAGCGCGCGTGCGCCGTGGCCAGCGGGGGCTGGCGCGCAGCGGCGAAGGTCAAGTCCAGCAGCTGCACCGCCCAGCCGCGGAGGGCGGTCTGCAGGAAGAGGCTGGTGCCCACTGGCCGGGCCAGGGGCGCCGAGAGGTTGAAGAGGTCTCGGGCGCGCAGGAGCACCACCGCGTCCCCGTCCAGGGCGTCGCAGCGGGGCGCAGCCGATGCCGGGCCATAGCGCGCAGTCCACTCCCGCAGGCTGACGTTCAGGGCTAGGCACCGGGCAGGGTTGGCGGTGGCGACCGGAGCGGCCACCAGGCGTGCGCTTCCTGTCCGTAGAGCCTCAGCCATGCGCTCCAGCTGGCCCGGTGCTTCGGCTCGCGCTCCGTCAGGCACCAGAGCCACGAACTCGGTGGCCACGTAGGTCTCCGGGCGCGAGGCCGCCGCGGGCCGGTCGAGGGCGGGCTGGAGCAGCGCCAAGTGAACATTGGGGATGCGGGGGAGGGCCAGAGGCGGATAGGGGAGGGTGTCAGCCGCCACCACCACGGGCTGGCGGGATCCTGCTGGAGAATGGAGTCCACCAACTCAGGCACAGCATTGTCAAAGGCCTCAAACTCCCGCACCAGCACGGTGACACGGTGACCGGTGGCAGATACTCGGCGGGGACTCCGAGCCCGGGAGTTCCTGGGCTGGTGCTGCAGCCAGGAGACATAGAAGAGGACCAGGAGGTTTAGGGTGATGGCTGCTGCCAGGACAGCCTGGCAGCGAGTGAGCCGCATGGGGCCGACTTCAGGCCCTAGCTGGGTGTCCAGGGCATCCTAGGGAGACGAGATAAAATGGGAGGCTGCAGCTGGAGGTCAGAAGCTTCCCTCTCCCAACCCTCAGCCATGCCCTTCTTCCTAGCTTCTGTGAGCCCTTTCTTTTCTCTGTTTGGTTTCAGTGCTGACTCCCCTCCTCCAGGACGCCCTCCTGGATCTCCCAGCTAGGTCAGGCATCTGCTCTGGGCTCCCTTAGCCCCCTGACCCCCCTTATCCTGGCCTAACCACTTTAAATCATCACTTCCTGGGGTGTGGTTTTTGTTCCCACACTGGGGCACCTATGAGGGCAAGATCTGAGCCAGCATTGGTCACTACTGGGTCCCACTGCCACCTGGGACAGAACCAGGTATGCATTAGGTGCTAAGTAAGGTTTTCTCAAATGAATCATCTCCCTAGTTCAAGCCCATCTTGCCTGTCCTCTGTCACCTCATTTGGGGGGTTGGTTTTAAGCACTCCAACCATCCATTTCTAGGCCTAATTTGCACTTTCTATGGTTCTACCTCCAGGAAGCCACTGAAGTCCCCTTCCTGTACCTGTCCCTCCCACACCTGGCCCTGGCTCCTGCATACCCCAAGACCTTCCCTTTTTTACTTCTTCATATCTTGTGCTATCTTGTCATTTCCTTCCTGATGGTTAGCCATGTCTAGGTTTTGCAAAAGAAGCCAGAAATGTTTATTTTTTTTAAAATCAGAATTATCCCAATTTTTTGTGGGGGGGTGGGGTAGGACAGGGTTTGAACTCAGGGCTTTGAGCTTGCAAAACAGGCATGCTACCACCTGAACCACACATCCAGTCTATTTTGCTCTGGTTACTTTGGAGCTGGGCTGGGGGTCTCATGAATTATCTGCCTAGGCTGGCTTCAAACCACGATCGATCCTCCTAATCTCAGCCTCCCAAGTAGCTAGGATTACAGGTGTGAGCCATTGGCGCCCCTCAAATTATCCCAATTTTCAAATGTTGACCACTAATTAAAAAAATATTTTAAAATGGCATGGGTCAAACTCTCTATGACAGGAAGGTGGTTGCCCAGGGTTGGAGGTCAGGGATGGGGACTGTTTGATGGGTACAGAGTTTCAAGGTTTGTTTCTTTTAGGTGCTGGGGATGGAACCCAGGGCCTCATGCATGCTTGGCAAGTGCTGTACCGCTGAGCCATGTCCCCAGCCCTCGGAGTTTCAGTTTTGCAAGATGAAACACTTCTGGAGATGTTTGTACAAGAATGTGAATGGACTTAATACCTCTGAAAGGTGCACTTAAAACTGGTTAAGATGGTACATTTGATCCAGACGCTTTTTTTGTGGTACTGGGGTTTGAACTCAGGGCCTACACTTTGAGCCACTCCACCAACCCTGTTTTGTTTTGTTTTTTTCAGTACTGGAGTTTGAACTCAGGGTCTACATCTTGAGCCACTCCACCAGCCCTTCTTTTTATGTTGTATTTTTTTTGAGATAGGGTCATATGAACTATTTGCCAGGGCTGGCTTCGAACCGCATGCTCCTGATCTCTGCCTCCTGAGTAGTTAGGATTACAGGTGTGAGCCACCAGTGCCTGGCTGACTGACTTTCTTAAAATTAGAAAACTTTTTAGATCTGGGCCTCATGGCACACATCTATAATCCCAGCACTCAGGAGGCTGAGGCAGGAGGATTGTGAGTTTGAGGTCAGCCGTGTAGCAAAACGCTCTCTCAAGAAAAAAAATTTACTTTTACGCCAGGCACTGGTGGTCCAAACCTAGCTATTCAGGAGAGATCAGGAGGATCATGGTTCGAAGCCAGCATGGGTAAACAGTTTGTGAGACCCTATCTTGAAAATAAATAATACAAAAAAAGGGCTGGTAGAGTGACTCAAGGTATAGGCCCTGAGTTCAAACCCCAGCAGCACACACAAAAAAAAAAAATTAAAGTGAATCCTATCAAAAGAATCTGTCAAAATGCTGGGTGTGGTTGTACACACTTGTAATCAGAGCACTGGTGGGGGACAGGGGGGCTGAGACAGAAGGACTGAGAGTTCAAGACCATTGTGGGCTACATAAGGAGCTGCTATGTCCAAAAGTAAAGACCACAAAACAAAAACAAACAACTTAGGCTGTCAACCATAGAACACAATCTGTTTCCACTCATTGGCCACTCCCCCAAGCAAGCCCTAGATGGCGCTGTCTCCCTGTCCTTGTCACTACTTAGGTTTAGTTGGTCTCAGCAGATACTCAAAAAGTTTCCCCATGGAGGATTGGGGTGTGGGGGGTGATCCTGGGGATGGAACCTAGGGCCTTGCACACATTAGGCAAGGCCTACCACTGAGCCCCACCCCCAGCCACCAAGAAAGGTTCTTATAGGTTTCTTCCCTCCTGGAGAGAGGGGACCTGGAGACTCACTGGATACTCCTGCCTCTTAAATATTTCTGACTTCTCTTCCCTATTTCCACTGCCCTGGTCCTCCCAGATTCCCACCCAGCACCCCCACCCCACCCCTTCACAAGTCCCTTCCACATGGTAGCCAGAGAGGTCTTCCAAAAGCACAAATCTGACCTCTTCCTCTTTGCTCCAACCTGGCCATGGCTCCCCAGTGTCCACGGAGAAAGGTCAAGTTCTTACAACATTCCACTTACCTCCCCACCATTTCAAACTCATCTCCTGCCATGTCTCTCTCAAACTGGAGCCTTTTCTCCATTTGTTCTTATTGCTAAGTGTTTGCATTCTGTTCCTTGTGTCTAGGAGGCCCTTCTCTCAGACACCCCTCCTCTCCAGGCCTCTTTCTCCTGGAGAGCCCCAGTCAGACACTTATTCCTCCAGCAAGTCCCCCCCCTGAACTTCAGGTTGAGTCAGGACTGCCCTTCAGGCCCCTGCAGCCCTGGCCTCTCTCACCCTAGCCCTGCTCGTCTGTTCATCACTGGGTGGGGATTGGTCTGTCTGCGCCATCACCTTTGCACCCTGAGAACAGAGCTGGGACTGTCTCCATCACTGTCCCCAGGACATCACAGCCGCTGAGACTGCACTTGGTAAAAATGTGATGGCCATGTCAGACATGGTGGTGCACATCTGTAATTCCAGCTCTGAGGTTGAGGCAGGAGGATGGAGAGTTCTAGGCCAGCTTGGACTACATACATAGTAAAACCTTTTCTCAAAATAAAACAAAACAACCTAAACGACAATGGCCAAGGTCAAGGCTTTTGTGTGTCTAGAAAGCGCATTCAAGTCTTTGGAACCAAACTCTGCCTTACTGTCATGTGCCTGGAACCTGGCCTGATCTTGCTCTCTCTCCCTCTTCCTACCCCTCTTCACCCATCTCTGCCACTTGTCCTTCCACAATGCAGTTTGGACAGGGCTCAGGAATTTGAGTTGCATTAAGAGTGATTTCCCAGCCAGGTGAGCTACCTCACACCTGTAATCCCAGCTACTCAGGAGGCAGAGATCAGGAGGATTGCAGTTCAAAGCTAGCCTGGGCAAATAGTTCTTGAGACCTAGCCTGAGAAAAACCCAACACAAAAAAGGGCTGGTGGAGTAACTCAAGGAGTAGGCCCTGAGTTCAAACCCCGGTACCACCAAAAAAAAAAAAAAAAAAAGTGACTTCGCAGCTGAGAGTCACTTGGGGGCAGAGCACTTGTCTACCATGTGTGAAGCCCTGAGTTCCATTCCCAGTACTGCAAAGATAAAGAATGACTTCTGACAGGCACAGTGGTGAGACAGGCACAGTGGTGAGCACCTGTAGTCCTGGCTATTCAAGAGGCTGAGGCAGACGTTCAAGAGCAACTTATTGACACCTGATCTCAAAAAACAATGATAACAACAAGAACAACAACTAAAAAACCCTCTGTAGTGGTGCACAACTGTAATCCTAGCTACTCAGGAGATGGAGACAGGAGGATCCTGGCTTGAGGCCAGCCTGAGCAAAAGTTAGTGACACCGTATCTCAAAAACAAGCAGGGCATGGTGATGCATACATATAACCCCAGCTACTTTGGAGGCAGAGCTGTAGAAGGATCAAGATTCAAGGCCAGCCAAGGCAAAAATTTAAGAACCTATCTAGAAAACAAACAAACAACATCAAAAAAAGGGGGCTGGGAGCATGGTTCAAGTGGTAGAGCTCTTGTCTAACAAGTGCAAGGCCCTGAGTGCAAATCCTCAGTACCACTGAGAAAAAGAAAAAGGAAACAAAGTGTGACTTTCTAATCTTTAGAACCTTGCAATTGCTTCCAGACCTTAGACTGATCCTTGGTCCTTCCTCTCTTCATTGCTTCCAGGTCTGTCTGGTGCACTCTTCCAACACACCAGACACTGCTCTAGGCTGTGGGGACACAGCCATGGACACACAGACATCACCCCTGCCCTGGTGGAAGTCATTACTGTGCGGCAGGAACCTTTGGAAGCACAGCATCTTCCAGGTCTTCTCTTTTCTTCTTTTCCTTTGGTGAGACTGGGGCTTAAACTCAGGACTTCACGCTTGCAAAGAAGGCACTCTACCGCTTGAGCCACACTTCCAGTCCATTTTCCAGGTCTTAAAAATCTTAAGCAGCCCCTAGGTAGTTTTAGAATCTTCAAACCCTGGAAGGCCAGCAAGAGAGCACTGGCTTCCACCTTTGTTCCCTCTGTCTGTCCCCACTCAATGCAAAGGGATCCTGTGAAGCTAAATTAGATCCTGCTGTGCCTCTGTTCAAACTTTCCTGAGGCTTTCAGCTTACTCAAAGGAGAAGCCAAAGTCCTGACAGTCCCTCATGAGGTCCCTCGAGAGTACTAGTCTTTTCTGACTTGCTCACTCAGCTCTAGCCGAACCAGCCCCTAAGCCCCACTCTTCAAACACACCTGGGATATTCCAGCCATAGAACTGCCAGTCATCTGACTGGATGCTTTTTCCCCAGGGCCTTTAGGTCTTTGCTCAACTGTCACCTTCCAGTGAGCCCTTCCTCTGGCCATCCTATTGGATAATGTCACTCTCTATCACTTGCATACTTCCTCCCCATCCTGTCTTATTTTTCCCCCAACAGGAAGCATATGGATATTTTTTTTTTTTCTGGAAGTACTGTGGTTTGAACTCAGGGACTTGAGGTTGCTAGGCAGATGCTCTACCACTTGAGTCACTCCCTCAGCCCTTTTTGCTTCAGTTATTTTTCAGAGAGAGTCTTGCACTTTTGCTCGGGTGGGTCCTTCTACCTCTGCCTCCCTGTAACTGGGATTACAGGCATGAACCACCACTCCCAGCCACAATTTTATCTTGTCTATTGTCAGAGTCCCCACAGAAGGTGGTGGATAAGTTTTGTCTGTTTTGTTCCCTGCTGTACCCCCAGAGCACAGCTCAGTGCCTAGCACATAGTAGGTCCTGAAAAGGATGTGTTAAATGAATGAGTGGCTTTCTATCTTTGTGGTTTAGAGATAGAAAGGATGTAGGGACTTGGACCCTAGTGCCCACCTCAAAGGCCATTTTGCTCTGTCAGGAGCCCAGTAGGGAAGAGGGCAGAACTGGGTTCTTAAGAGACCAAAGGGTTTGATGGTCAGAGGAGGAGGCACCACCTGCTGGTAAGGGTGTGAAGAAAATGCAGGAGAAAGGTATCATCTAATATCTAGATGAGGCTCTTGGCTTCTTCAATTGTAAGGGCAAAAGCCTTTCCTTGGGGGAAGGGGGATAAAGGGTGATGTTGAAGACCTGGCTGTCCTCCCCTGCCCTGACTTGGGATGATAATGTCAACACTTGCCCTGTTCTCTGCACTTCACAGGCATTCTCTCATTTAATCCTAAGGGTGGGATCACATTGAGAGATGAGAGGGGCTGGGTGGGGTGTGTGCTAAGCATGCAGGAGGCTCAATTCCCAGCATCTCACACACACACACACACACACACACACACACACACACAAGATGAAGAGACTGAGGCACAGAGAGGTGAAGTCACTTGCTTAAGGTCACACAACTGGGAAGCAGTGGACATAGGATGTGATCCCAAGAAGCTGATTTTAGAGTTGTGGTTTTTTTTGGGGGGGGGCAGTACTAGAGTTTGAACTCAGGGCCTTGTACTTGCTAGACAGGCGCTCTTCCACTTGAGCCACACCCGTGGCCCCTTTGGCTTTAGGTATTTCAGATAGGCTCATGTAGTTTTCATCCAGGACTGGCCTCAGACCACAATCCTCCTACCTCTGCACCTCCCAGTAGCTGGGAGATGTATATCACTATGCTAGGCTTGTTGGGTGAGATGGGGGTCTCGCTAATTTCTGGCCCGGGCTGCTCTTGAACTTGGACTTTCTTGAGTAGTTAGGATCACAGGTGAGGGCCACCACACCCAGCTTAAAGTTTTGCTATGAGCCAATAAACTCTGCTGTCTTCTTGCAGCTCTTAGATACACCAACCTTAGTGACTGTTCAGTGAGCCTTTCCAGGCCCTAACCTGACAGGTGCTTGCCAAGGTGAACTCCAATGACCAACAAGCAGACATTTGTGGAGCATTCTCCATGCCAGAACCTGTGTTCTAAGATGCAGAATGAAGGAGGTAGCCATTGAGTTGGGACTGCCCTCTGGATCTGAGAAACCAGACAAAACCCAAACAAACAACTTACAGATAAGGCAGAAAACCAGCAGGGGCTTGCTTAGAGAAGGTGGTCAGGGAAGGAGAGGAGAGTTAGCCTGAGATCTTATTGGCCTCTCTGTGTTTCCCACAAAACTGAATATAAGTGCACTGCTCTGATATTGCCTGAGCCTCAGCCCTGGAGCAGGGAGGAAAAACGAGATCTATGTGCGAAAGTCTTTGGAGATAAGGACAGGGAGGTCTCCATGTGACTGTGATGACCCCACGGGACCTCTTACCTCCTAGGTGGCAGGCTGGGGGAGTTCCAGGAGGGTGGTTCCAGCCCAGCTCAGCAGCTCTGCTGAGAAAAGGAGAACCAGAAAATCCCAAATGAGCCAATTCTGCATAAAACAGCACAATTTTACCTTCCCCACAGAATTGACCTCTACAAGATCACGGAATCCTGACCCATAAGCTTGGGTACCACCTAGGGTGTCTCAGGAGTACGGGGGTGGGGACGGGAGCAGGAGGGCGGGATGTCAGTTATCATAGTAACCTGTAACCATCCCTCTCTCATGAATGTGTCCCGAAGAGGTAGGACTAGAAGTGACAATTCCTTTCCTAGGCACACTCCACCCCAGAGTCAACTCTAAAACTCCCTTACCTTGGTAGGCTAGTTCCAAGAGTTATTGGAAAGGGGTGGGGCTGTCCTGTTATAATAGTAACTAGGGATTAGCTTTGTCAGCTCCTCATCTCCCTGGGGATGGTCCAGGCCCTGTAACCATAGCAACAGCCTAGCAGCAGAGCATCTTCTCTAAATAAAAACATCTGGTTGGTTTGGTCCATGGACCTCCCACATGGGACGGGAGATGGTTACCATGGTAATGTGCCAACAGGGTAGCTACTGGGGAGGACTTTGGGGAACAGATGTTTTTCTTAGAAATTAATGTCCGTGGAGCTGGGGTCTTTGCTACCTGAGCAGCTAGGTGAGAGGGGTTGCCATAGTAACTGATGGGGGTAGGCGCAGAAGGACCACCAGGGACTTAGGTTGCCTTAGCAACCACCTCCTGGTGCAGAGACAGAAGAGGTTTGGAGCTCCACAAACACAAAGGTGGAGGCTGAGGAGGGGTGCTCCAGGTTAGCAAGGGTTACCATGGCAACCGACCTGGCCAGGAATCAGACAGGATGGGACCACTTTTGTAACCACCCTGGTGGTCGCGGTTCAAAGAGTGAAATCCATTGTCCAAGGGGTGTATTTAGGTCTGGGGAGGGGCTAAGGACCCCCTAGAAGAGAGTCCTTAGCGTCTCCCAGGGCCAAAGTGGGAGGAGCGAGGTAGAAAGAGGCCCCTTCCCAAGTGTAGCTAGCTCCGGCTAGGGCGACTGTCGCGGGGCAGCTTGGATCTCCTTTGCTAGCCTCGAGGGTCGCGCGCCCCCGCCCCGCCCCGCCCCCCTCCCTCGCACTCAGGCGCGCGCACGCCTTAGGGGGTCGACCGAGGTGGGCGAGGCTCGCGCCCGCGGTGCCTCACGCTCGCCGCCGCCCCCCTCCCCTGCCGGGCGCGCGCACAGGAGTTGGGGGGGGGGGGTTGGCGTGGCCGCGCAGGCGCGCGAGGCACAGCGGGCGCGCGGGCCGGCCCCAGGGCCTCCATGATGGAGGAGCGAGCCGCTGCCGCGGTCGCTGCCGCCTCCTCCTCCTGCCGACCGCTCGGCTCCAGCGCGGGTCCGGGCCCGACTGGGGCGGCTCCAGTTTCTGGTCCTGCCCCTGGGCCCGGTCCGGCAGGGAAGGGAGGCGGCGGCGGAGGCAGCCCCGGCCCCACAGCGGGTCCGGAGCCCCTGAGCCTGCCCGGGATCCTGCACTTTATCCAGCACGAGTGGGCGCGCTTCGAAGCCGAGAAGGCACGTTGGGAGGCCGAGCGCGCCGAGTTGCAGGTGAGCCCCGCCCGGGACCCCCAGACCCCCCGACTCTTCGACCCCCCACCCGGTCCGGCCCGGCCTCACCCGCCGCTGCCGCCGCCGCCATCTTGGAGCAATGGCCGCCGGGACGGCCGGGGGGGGGGCGGGAGGGGCCCACGACGGTCCCGGGGAACCGGAGGGGGGTGGACGTCGTCGGAGCGGGGCCCCCAGGGGCCCGGGAATGCGAGGGGACCGGGACGGCTCAGGGTGGAGTGAAGGGACGTGGGGACGGGAGGGACGAACCGGGACCGGCCGGGAGAAAGGTCCGGAGGGAGCAGCAGCTGCTGGAAGTGGACGTGGGAGCGCGCGCGGACGGAGGGAACCCCAGAGAACTCAGGAAACGGGTCTGGAGGAGACCTGAGTTTCCTCCCAGGTGTAGGTTGGAGGTCGAGCCGGAGATCGGCGCTCCGGGTTGGGGACAGGGGGCGTCTGGGGGGACTTGGGACCCACTGGGCACGAGAGCGAGACCGACGGAATGAAAGGAGGAAGTCTGGGAAGCCTGGGATTGGGCATTTTGGGGTGTTTGGACTGGAGGAGCTGAAAGATGGCTGTGCAGGGACTTCGGGAGTGGGAGGAGAGTTTCGAGGGAGGGGGTCTTAGGATGAAGTGTGTAGTGACGTCTACTCTGAAAAGGAAACTCTGGGAAGCCCAGGCTCCTGTGCGTGGAGGAGTCCCTGGAGTGGAAGCACCAAAAGGGCAGAGGTTATAATCCTAGGAGGCAGGGCAAGAGAGGTTGAGAGTGGGAGCCCCAGTTTGGGGGTGTGGAGTGAGATAAGAGGTGTTTGTAGGATGTCAGGTAGAAAGCCATGAACTGGAGGGGCAGGGGCGTGTGTGTATATATGAAGTATGGACACAAGGACACCTGGAATGGATGGGGACAATGAAGAATCAGGGACCCTGGGTGGAGATGGGAGAGGACCCTATGGTTTGTAAAGGAGCTGGAGAGGGGCTGTGCGCTTCCATGGTGCACAGAAGAGTCTGAGGATTCGGGCTGGGTCTGTGACCTTGAGTGTGAGTCCATTTGTGGAGAGTGTCTGCACACCGGGACTCGGGAAGGTGAGGCTTTGAAGGGCTCCAGGGTTGGGCTTCTAGGAGTCTCAGGGTTCCTGTGCTGGGGTATTATTAGCAGAAGTTGTCAGTACTTGCTTCTGGAAGCTTATATTTCACTTTCTGATTTTCATTTCCTATGTAGTTGAAGTAAGGGTCCGAATAAGTGAATAGAATTTCATCTGTGGACTGAATAAAGAGAGCATCCCGCCTCTCCCCACCCTGTCCTAGCTGGCTGGAAGAGGAGTTCTTACATAAGTGCTTCTCACTCTGCCCCCCCTTTGCCTCCTGTGCACATCTCATTAGATCTTCTCAATACCCCATTATGTAGGCAGGCTAATGTCATCACCTCACTCAGCAATAATGACAGCAATGCTTTTTTTTTTTTTTGCGGTAGTGGGGTTTGAACTCAGGGCCTACACCTTGAGTCACTCCACCAGCCCATTTTTGTGATGGGTTTTTTTAAGATAGGGTCTCTAGAACTGTCTGCTCAGGCTGGCTTCAAATTTCAATCTTCCTGATCTCTGCTTCTTGAGTAGCGAGGATTATAGGTGTGAGCCACTGGTGCCCAGCTAACAGCGCTGCCTTTTATTCAGTGCTTATTATGTGCTGGGCACTGTGTTAAGCAGTTTAGACATGCTATCATTTAATTCTTGAAACATTCTGGTTGGGCAAATGATACTATCCCTCCTTTACTTTGTAATGAGCAGAAGAGAAAACAGGCTTGGAGAAGGGAAGTGATTTATCAGGGATCATAGCTGTGATTGGCAGGGTAGGTCTGAGTTTTCTTCCACTCTGCCAGCCTGTACAGGTGAGAGTACTGGCCCAGGGCAGCTCATTGGCCTCCCCAGGTCATCGAAGCAGTCATGGCAGCACTTGGGCTAAGTCCTGGTCTCTAGCACTTCACCACTATAACTACCACAATACCAACTATTTCATCTCTCTCTCTTTTTTTTTTTTTGATGTGCTGGGGACTGAACTCAGGGTCCCCATCTTGTAAGGCACATTTTTTACCACTTAAGCCAGTCCTTGAGCCCTTTTGCTTTTAGTTTTTCAGATAAAGTCTCATGCTTTTGCCCAGAGCAGCTTCATTCTGGGATTCTCCTATCTCCATCTCCCATGGAGCTGGGATTACAGGTATGCACCACCATGCCCAGCTTGTTCTTCAGAGACAGTCTTGCTAACTTTTTTGTCTTGTCTGGACTCAAACAAAAATCTTCCCATCTCCACCTCCCAAGTAGCTGGGATTGCAGGTATGAATCACCACACCTAGCCTCTCACTTTTTCTTAACAAGAGAAAAGATTTATTCCCTGGCTTAGTTACCCTTCTTAGAGTTTGGGAGCATCTGTTTCTTGTCTTCTGGTCCAGGCTCCATTCTCATCACTTTACTTTTTGCTTTTGTTTTCTTACATCATGTGTGCATGTGTGTGCATGTGCTGTATCTATGTGTGCATATGTGTGGGTGATGTATATGCATGGACCTAAATGAGTGAAAAGGGACAGACTCTTCTGTCTCCAGCTCTCCCCCAAATGTTACTGTTATCACATTAGTTCAGGTGTGTGTGTGTAAACCGATGAGAGTGTACTGCATGGACAGATAGTGTTTGGGTCTGCCTTTCCTGTCAGCACAGAGACAGAGTCTACAGTGTAGCCTGGCCTGGAACTCACAGTCCTGCCTCAGCCTTGGAGTGCTGTGATTACAGGCATGTACCACCACACCCAGCTTTCTTGTTATTTTTGACAACCATGTAGTATTCTATTGGGTGTTTGTACCGTGGCTTATTTGGTTGGACCCCTTGAGATGGACTTTTAGGATTGTTTCATTTTTCCCGATCTGAAGGAGCTTTGTGAATGTGCTTGTCCTCCTGTGTGAGGGTCACGTAGTATACATGGGTGGACTCATGGAGTAGATGTGTTTCTAAAGTGGCGATTGCTGTCAGGTGTCCCACCAGTTTACATTACTGTCAGTGTCACCTCTTATTAGACACCTTTCGTCCACCCAGCACTTGTTCTTACAAAGGGTGACTTCCAATGAGACCCTTCACGTGGGCAGTGTCACATGTTTCCCATGGACCCTAAAGAACTGGATCCTGTGCTCCTGGCACAAGACCTGCCATGAAGGCAGGTCACATGTGGGACTCGTGTGGGATGGGGGCCTGCCCAGAGGCCCCCAGCATTTGCAGCAGGGAGGTGGAAGAGGGGCAGGCTCAGAGTAAGCAGGAGCATGCTCATGGGGGACTCTGAGAAGGTCCGTGTGCTGTGTGGTTGCTGCCCATCAGAGTCTTGTAGGCTAGCAGAGGAGGCTGGCGTGCCAGGATCGCACTCTGTACACTCACAGTGGAGAGGGTTCTGACCCTTGAAGCAGTGACTAGGGGATGCAGTGAGTGTGAGTGTGGTACCAGTGAGAAGGTGTAGAGCTTGGAGCCTTCCCTTCCCACTTCCAGCCTCTTGGGGTAGGGAAAGGAATTCTGGGATCCAGGGGAATCCCTGCCAGCAGCCACTGGAGTTTGGGAAGAGGGTGGGGAGCTCCAGGGCTCCAGGAGCTGTGTGGGCACCTGGGACAGAAAGGTCAAAGCAGGAGTGGAGCAGCCTTCCCTCGCAGGAGGATGGAGAGGGCGTCAGGTCTCCAGGCTGAGGCTGAATGCATTGTGGCTGACCAGCTGGAGGGTGGGTAGTGGACACAGAGTACTTCATCTCCCTGCTTACTGCCACAGACCAGGCTGCAGATGCTTCCCCTTTCTAGTGGGATGCCACCAACCCCAGATGCTAATTCCTGCTTCTCCTTCATTCCTTCTCTGCTGGAGGAGCTGGGAAGGGGACAGAAAGCAGCACAACTGGAGCGGGGTTGGTGGTGTACACAGGGAGGGGAGGAGAAAGCAAGCCTGCAGTAGGTCCTTTCCTCATCCCCCCGCCTCGTTCTTGTCCAGGCCACCACCAGTCCTTGGGAGACTTCTGGGACTTCCCCCTTCCATGGGTGATGCCTCTCCCTGTAGCTTTACTGAAGCCCACAGTTGGTTCTCCACACTGCACTGGAATTATCTCTTGGGTGGAAATCTGATGGCAGCTTTCCTTGGCTTGAAATGCCTCATGGCCTCTGCTGTGGGATCAAGTCCATGCGGGTTAATGGTCCCCAATCCTTTCTCATTGCCCTCACTCGTTTTCCATGTTCTGATGCTGCCACACTGGCCCTCTTGTCTCTGTCCCCCACTAACTTCTTGTTGGGCCCGAGTCTTAGGTCATATCTTGTCCCTCTGTCCTCCCCTTGGCCCTAGTTCCAGTGTGTGTGATTTGTGGCTGCCCAAGCCTGAACCCCTCCCACCCTCACACACTGGACTGATTGCCCCATGAGGGCAGGTGCCTCAGGCATCTCCACTGCTCCTCAGTGTCTTGTGTAGGACCTGAGGTGGCCGGCTGGGGAGTGCTGCTGGGAAGTAGGACAAACAGAAGCTCCGAAAGGCAGGGGGACAGTGAGGTAGACACTTGGGACTTGGGTTCTTCTCTACCTCTCCCTCTACCCTATAGAACAGTTCTTACAGGAGATTTGGTGACTGAGGAAATACACAAGGGGGTGTGGCTCAAACAGCAGAGTACCTGCCTGGCAAGCACAAGGCCTTGAACTCAAACCCAGTACTGCCAAAAAAGAAAATAAAGGAGAGGAGCTCTCATCGCATGTGGAAGTGTGCCCAGCTGGCCTTGCGTCCGGCTCCCTATGAGCATTTCGGGATAGGTGAGGTGTCTTTCCATAGCAAGTATTTACTTGCTGTGTGTTTGTCTCACACCTCACCCCCCTGGAATGTAAGGCCTGCCTTGTTCAGTGCTGTCCTGTTTGTATTGTGTCCTGATATGGAGTTGGCTTACTCAGTAAGTCCTTGTGGAGTAAGCCACATCAGCTCATTGGGAGCCTGCCATTGCAAGCGTGCCTGTAGGACAAATGTCAGAGTGGGGCCACCAGGATGAAAGGGCTGTTTGGTGAGCATCTTTCTAGAATCACCTCATTGCCCTCCAGGAAGGGTGCATCAGTTTGTGACCCTTCCAGTGGTGTCTGTGGGTGCCTGTGCCAGCTTGGGCTAGGTCTCATGTAGCATTCGTTCTTTGCTAATCTGAGCATAACACCTGGTCCCTGAGGTGGGAAACGTAGGTCAGGGGCCCACAGCCCAAGGAGAGGAAAAGCTGTGTGGTGGGCATCTGGGAGATTGTCCTAAACAGCCTCCCAAAGGAGGGTTTCTGCTCAGTGTGGGGCCTTCTGCTGGGTGGGGCCGCTGGAGTTCTCAGCAGGCACATGTCACACAGGGATTGCCCGGAAGATGCAGCCATCTGAGTGGACAGGAGGCCTGTGATCTCAGTCTTCCTCCCCAATCTCCTTTTGAAGTTGGGAAAGGGTGGCCAGGGGTTAGAAGCTGCATCTGTTAGCCGTCCTTCTGGCTAGGTCCTAACTCAGCACTGCTGACACACAAGGGGGGCTGTCCTGTGCTGCGGGCGCTAGAGGGGCAAAGGCAGGCTCTATGGGTGACTTGCCTGAGCCCATGCAGCAAGTAAGAGGCTGTCTGGGCTGGAGCAGTAGAGCCCTTGGAGAGAAGCCCTTGGCGTGCAGGCTTTGGACAAAGGCTTTGGCCGAAGAGCTTCTTGGTCAGAGCCACAATCCTGCCTCAAAGGCTGTTGGCCCAGTGTCTCCAAATGACCTGTTGGCAGACTGGAGCAGGCTGGAGCAGCCCGAGCCAGCAGACAGTGTGAAGGGCTAGGCAGGAGCCTGGGCTGTGTCTGTGGTACCTCTTCCTCAAGCCTGGGCAGACACTGGTGGAGACTGGTCCCCACAGATAGGGTTGGGTAGTCAAGCTTCTGCATTGCAGTGGGCGCTGAGCCCAGCCACCCACGCTTGTCCCTAAGCTCCAGAAGTAGCTTCCTACGTCTCCCCAAGGCAGATGCTCAGAAGCAATGGTGGCTGCCACCTCCCCCCCACCCAGGGACAGCAGCTGATCAGGGTGGGGAGGGGAGTCCAGAGCTGGTAATGTCCCACCTGCCGCCTCTGACCTGGCTTCTCCCCACAAGCCAGCAGCCATGGGAGGCCCCTGCTGGCCCTGTTTCAGTCTCAGGCTGAGGAATGCCTTGAGCTCTTTCTGGGGAAGATGGCTAGGGCCCTGAAGGCACCCAGCACATTGTTTCAGGCTCTGTCCTACCCTGGCGTCGTGGTGGGTAGGGACTGGAGCTGTGCCTGAGGGACGGACAGACCCCTTCAGTGTTCCTGAGCCCTGAGCTCCAATGTCTTCCTTCCCCTCTGTTCCCCATCCCCTCAGGCTCAGGTGGCCTTCCTCCAGGGAGAAAGAAAAGGGCAAGAGAATCTGAAGACAGACCTGGTGCGACGAATCAAGATGCTGGAGTACGCGCTGAAACAGGAAAGGTGAGTGGCCCACCCTGGCTCCCAAGGGTTGTCTCCTGTGCAGGCTTAGTGGGCTGCGGGCATGTCCTTCCTGCTTGGGGCCTCTTCCTGTCATCCCGGGGCAGGGCTGGGCAGGGGAGACATGAAGCAAGACCTCGTAGGTAGGATTCAGGATAGACACTGGATGCCAAGTTCCAGCCTGTTGCCACCTTCCTTACCTCTTGCAATAGCCTGGTGGTGTCATTGGCCCTATTTGTGATGAGGACTGAGGCTTCAGGAAGGGTGACCTCTTCAGGGAGTCCTGGAACTGGGTTGGCCGCCCACCTGGCCTGACTCCTAGGAGCGGCCCCTTCATCCTGTGCCCTCTGTGGTAGGCCAGGTCGGCTTCTGGGATGCCAAGTAGGTGAGGGAGGCCCCATGTTCTGGGATTCCTGAGGTGGCTTCAGGCCCTGTTTGCCTTCCGGTCTCTTGCTAATTAATCATTTGCTCTTTTAGGGCCAAATATCATAAACTGAAGTTTGGAACTGACCTGAACCAGGGGGAGAAGAAATCGGACCTGCCAGAACAAGGTAGTCCGCCCCCACTCCTCCCACTTGGCAGGTGGGAGGGAGAATCGTGAAGATGGGCCCTCTCTCTTACTTTGTCATGGAGAACAAGAGGTGGCCTTGGTAGGGGCGGTGGAAGTGCATTCTCAGTGTCATGTCCCTCTGCCTGCTGTCATCTGAGACATCATAGACTGGTGGATGCTCCAGTGCCTTGTGCCTCATAAAGCCTCCTCCTGAGGAGAGGGAGCAGGACTATTTATAGGGTGCTGTAAAAAGTGGAGGAAAGACTTCTCACAGAAGAGGTGGTGTTGGCACTAGGTTGTCATTCTGTCTTTTATTCCCCGCCCTCAAAATACATTCATTTGGTGCTGGCTTTGCATCACAGAGCAAGGGCGCAGTAGAGAGCAAGATGGTCATAGGCCCTGCCCTTGGGCCCTTACGGTCTCAGCTCCTTGAGAAAGGAATCACCTCTGGACAGAAGGATGAGGGAAGGTGTCCAGGCGAGAGGAGCTAGTTAGTGTGGCTGGGGCCAGTAGCTAGGTAGCAGACATGGTGGTCTGCACCGGGTCTCCAGGGAGCTGGGTCAGGGGAGCTGTGAGGGTCTGCCTGCAGGGCTGAGTGGTGGTTACCATCCGGTGCTGGGCTCCTCTGGGCAGGCTCCTGGCCAGGCACGCCATTGATGCAGAGTGATCTCACTCATCTTCACAATGAGAGAGGTAGATGCGGTCGTGTTGTTACCGTCTGCCTGAGCCCCACCCCCAGCTCTGTCACCTCATTTCTTAGAAGAGGAAACTGAGGCTTCAGGGCAAGCTAACTTGCTCCAGGTCACACAGCAGGTGTAGGAGGTGGCAGAGTGGACTTTACCCAGCCTCCCCATTCTCCTGGAACCAGACTCACCTGCCCACCCTCTGGTAGGGAAGGATCGTCTGCCCTGCATCTGAAAGCTCTTTTTAGGGGGAGTGGGGGTGGCAGGAGGCCCATGAAGACACTTAGCAATGAGGAGCACTTCCAGAGGCAATGATCCCCTTAAAAAGCAGTGTGATGTCTGAGTACTCAGGAGGTGACACCATAGGGCCTGTGACAGTGCAGTATTCGGGCTTGGGGTGAGGAAGATGGAGGAGTAGCAGATGCCCTAACTAAGACGACTTCATACTTTCTTCCTCTGCTAGTCTCCAATGGCCCTGTGGAGTCAGTCACCCTGGAGAACAGCCCACTGGTGTGGAAGGAGGGACGGCAGCTTCTGCGGCAGTGAGTGTGGGGGATGGGATGGGATGGGATGGGGCCGCATGCACAGCACATTTGGCTGGGGAGATAGCCTGAAGAGTCTGCAGTCCTTCCTGTCCCCACTGGAGAGCTGAACTGTCAGGATCCCAGCCAGCCAGAGCTGGGATGGCCTATCACCCTGAGGATGGAACCCTGCCTAGGGAGTAGGAGGGAAGACTTGCTACAAGAGGCACGTATGGGGTCCCCACTCTTGAACAATCCAGATGCTTCCATGGTGCTTGTTTTCTTTTGAAGAGTAACATTAGCTAGGTGCTGGTGGCTCATGCCTGTAATTGTAGCTGCTCAGGAGGCAGAGATCAGGAAGATCATGGTTCAAAGCCAGCCAGGGCAAATAGTTCACGAGACCCTATCTTGAAAAACCCTTCACAAAAATAGGGCTGGTGGAGTGGCTCAAGGTGAAGACCCTGAATTCAAGCCACATTACCACACCAAAAAAAATTAAACTATTAGTATCATTATTATTACTTTGGTGTTGGGGTTTGAACCCAGGGCCTGGCAGGAGAGGTGAGCCTGTCCTATCCTGCCTCCTTGAGAGACAGGACACAGGGCAGCAGGCTACCAGCTGGCCTGAGCCACAGGCTAAATCTCCAACCACCTTATTACTGAGAAGTGTTATGTATTTTGGAAAACATAGGGAAACATGAAACAAAAATAAAAATCACTCATGATTGCACCCCAAGGAAATTTATGTCCCCATAAACATTTGTGTATGTGTACTGTGGATCCCTTCAACACTGGGCAGATACACTGTCATTCCCTTCCATGGCTCTGTGTGTGTGTGTGTGTGTGTGTGTGTGTGTGTGCGTGTGTGTGTGTGTTTCCGTTCCTGGGATTTGGGGTTTAATGCTTTTGTTTTACTGACTGTTGGGAGCATCTCCTGTATATGTTATGTAGCCTTGTTTTAAAACTGTAGGACTGGGCTGTGACTTGACAGTGGAACACTTGCCTAACATGCACCAGACCCTGAGGTCCATTCCCAGCATTGCAAAAAAAAAACCCTGCTATAATTGGCTGTCTTGTGGGCCCCGTAGCTCTGTACGCAATCCTTTTTCATGTATTTCATTGAGGTGGTTTGTAATTTTTCAGTCTTCCAATGTGACAAGCCTCAGGAAGCTGACCATAGCGTCTTTAGGTTCAGTACCTGCTAGCTTAAAAGTGGGCACAAATAGTAACCCCAGCGCAATTATGAACATAACTGTAATTGCAGTAGGCCACACTTACGAAGTAGTTGTTCTGTGCCTGGCCCTGTGCTAAGTGTTTCCCACACTCTGATTCCTCTCTGGGTCCCTGTGCAGTAGACTGCTAGCGTTCTTGTCATTTGCACAGATGAGAAGGTTAAGGCGCAGAGGTGGGCAGTCTGTTTGCCTGAGGTCACTCAGGGACCTGTGGAGGGTCTGCAGCCTGCAGAGTCCACCTTCTGTACTTGAGCTTCCCCACATCTTGTATCCTGAGGGAGAAGGGAGCACCACTGCCCCCCTGCTCCCCACCCTCCACCACAGGCACTTGAGATGGGATGTGCAAAGGAAGGCACAGGTGGTTAGGGGGGAGGGGCTGAACAGAACAGGCTTCCCAGGCAGCAAGGCCTGCTGGAGTCACAGCTACCCGTAATTGACTTTTTTGTGTGTGGTACTGGGGCTTGAACTCAGGGTCTCTCCACCTTAAGCCACTCCACCAACCCTTTTTTGTGAAGGGTATTTTCTAGCTAGGGTCTCAGGAACTATTTGCCCAGGCTGCTTTGAACCATGATCCTCCTGATCTCTGCCTTCTGAGTAGCTAGGATTACCGGTACCTGGCTATTCTTTTTCCTGTAGGTGAGTCTCAGCTGGCTTTAATTTTTTGAGTTGTAGAACGTAATAAATGCTCAGGTGTAGAACTGAGCAGAGTAAAAGGGCCTCTTGCATCCCCACTCTGCAGAGATTGTGTCTTTCTAGAACTCAAGAGGCCTAACACAACTGTGTGTGTTTGTGTGTGATGTAAACTTACACCCCAACATTTTTTTTCAAAATCTGGAATCACATGTCACATGCACCTTCCTGTGCTCATGGGACTGTATCACAGCCATCTCCATGGCCCTGTGCCACTGGTACTCTCTGCCTAGCATCCCTCTCAGCCCGTCAGTGGACAGTGGGGCTGGTCCCTGCACTTGGGCTGCCCCCTATATGTTGGGAACACCTTGTGTAGTAGCAGGTATATGTGAGCCAGGGTTCTGTAGAAGTCTCAGAAGTGAAACTGCTGTATGTGCCATGGCATGGTTGTGGAAAATGGTGGTCCCTGCTCTCCAGTGGCCCCTCAGAAGGCTGTGACCCTGCAGTTTGTGAGGAAGCATGATGAGTGTCTGACCTGCCCTGGCTCTGCCCCCTGCAGGTACTTGGAAGAAGTGGGCTACACGGACACCATCCTTGACATGCGGTCCAAGCGTGTGCGTTCCCTGCTGGGCCGCTCGCTGGAGCTCAATGGGGCAGCTGAGCCTAGTGATGGGAGCCCCCGGGCAGCACCAGGTTCTGGAGGGCTCAGTGGTGGTGAGTCACTGCTGGTGAAGCAGATCGAGGAACAGATAAAGAGGTGAGCTCTCGGACCCCACTCCGTATTGTTGGGGCTCGGGTCCATAGGCTGTCCCATTCAGGCCAAGTGTCTGTTGAGAGCCCACAGGGCGCTTGTCCTTGTTCCTTCTCTTGTCAGCCATTGTTACTTCTCAACAGTGTGATTGTTGGCTGACACTAAGGGCTGTGAAGAGCATGGATGAGGGGATGGTACAGTTGCTAGCCAGAATGAGGCCCTGAGTTCAAACTCCAGTACCACAAAAAAAAAGAAAAGAAAGAACACAAATGTAAGAGCCAGATGTGGTGACACACTTCTAGCCCCAGATACTCAGTTTGTGGTGGTGGGGGGGCCCTGAGGCCCGCCTGGGCAACATGGTGAGGCCCTGTTACAATAAGAGCAGCAGGAGAAATACTGCTTCTTTGGACAGGACAGCAGGGAAGACTTGAGCTGAGGATAGCTGGAAGGAGAATGTTCTAGGCAGAGGTCATATTGAGTGCCCAGGCCCGAGGTGGCACATGACACATGCAGGAAGCTGGTTGGGGGAGGGCGGGCAGTGGCTACAGGGAGTGAGCACGTGCAGCCTGTGGTTTGTGGTGAGGCAGATTATGGGGGCTCTCCTGGCTGTGATAAAAACAGGATGGTATGCTCAGGCCTGTGGGAAGCCAGTGGTATCCACAGGGGTGTCACATCTGATATCTGGTGGGCTTTGAGAGGTTCCTGCTAGGTCTTAGCAGTAGATGGTGGGAAGTGGTCGCCACTATTAATGATTTAGGTGGGGGAAGGGAAGCGAGTGGAGCAACTCAGGTTTGAGCTGAGCCATGGAGCAGTACCTCCTGGGGTGGTGCCAGGGCTGTGGAGTCCTCACTGAAGGAGTGAGCTAAGTGACCCTGGAAGAGATCACACCAATCCTGGGAACTCCTACCCACGCTGAAGGATGAAGAGGGGGGACTAGGCAAGGCGGTGGGCATTTTATGGGGAGGACTTGCAGAGTGATATCCCTGCCTGACCTGACAGCAAGGGCCTGGGGTGTTCTGGGTCTGGGAGGGCAAAGTCATATGTAGAGCTTACTGTACCAAAGTGGTGACTGTACCAGGCAGTTGATAAGAACTGGAGTGCGGCTGCATGAGGAAGGAGGGGTCTACACTTGTCTGTAGTCTGTCCTCCACCCTGCGCTCTCCTGGGGAGTCAGGCTGGCTGCTTCCTCCCTGCTAGAAATTGCCATCAAGTTGGAGCCCAGGAGGTTGAGGCACTGTGCTGTCTGTCGCCAGGGGCTGGTGCAGGCTCCATGGGAGCAGGGGTCTCATCTCTATGCCTGCTCGTCTGTGATGGGCTGGTACAGGCTGTTGGTGGCCCAGTGTTGCTGGGTACTTGTGGTCTGGGGGCTGTGGGGAAAGTGCTGCCAAATCAGTGGCATGCGAGCTCGTCCAGTATGTCTGACTTGCCTGTAGGTAGTTGTGGTTAGGGTGGGCCTAGCCCTGCAGGACCCTGGTCAGCACAGCAATCAGGGGATCGGGGTTTGGTGTCTGGTCTGTGTGGGAGCTCCAGCGGGTTGGAATGAGTGCTACCAGGCAGAGGCTGGGTCGGGCTGCGTGGGATTGGGGTTGAAGCTTCTTGGGCTTTGGGGCTTAGCTAAGTCCTGGTTCTGGCCACTGAGCCTGGGCACCTTCCCATCTGGACTTCGTCGCCTGGCAAGACTCAAGCCCCTCTGCTCTCCTGTCACACAGGAACGCGGCAGGCAAAGATGGCAAAGAGCGCCTGGTTGGCTCAGTGTTGGAGCAGATCCCCTTCCTGCAGAACTGTGAGGACGAGGACAGCGATGAGGATGATGAGCTGGACAGCGTGCAGCACAAGAAGCAGCGTGTGAAGGTGAGCCTCCCCTCCCCCACTGCTGCCTGTTGCCTGGCCCAGCTGTAGCCTGGTCATGTCCCTTCTTAGAGCCTGTGTTCTGCAGCAAGGCCCTGGGATCTGCAGCTGGAGCCTTCACCTGTGTCCCCACTTCCACCTCCTACCTCCTTTGGGATGGCTTGTCTAGTCAGGTTGTTTTTGCTGCAACCATTACTCTGTCCCTTCCAGCAGATTGGGAGCACCACCAGGCAGGGACTTTGTTGCTCTGTCCCTGTGCCGTGAACAGGTTGTGGAGCACGTATTTTTGGTAAATGTTTATAAATAGAGTTTGTGTAGCTGGGCCTGGGGCTCAGCCTGGTGGGACTGCAGGATGTGCCCCACATCCTGGAGGATGTGGTTATCCAATTTACCATTGGGTTAGGGCTCCAGGATGCCCAGGGGGTCCAGATTGCTCAGTGTGGCCTCCATCTCTAGTGGAGCTTTGAGCTGGCTGCAGGTACAAGACACACAGGTTAGGTCCCTGAGATAGAGCAGCTGCTGGCTGGTGGTGGCCCTGTACATAGTCACGTACAGCAAGACGTGCCATAGTGGAGGCAGGGACATGTATCTAGAGAGCAGGGGCTTGTGGGCTATGTCTTGGGGGCTTTCCCTGAGCCTGGATCCCCTTCCTCCTCCTTCACACTTAGCTCAGACACCCCCTCCTCCTGAAGCCTCTGACTTGATCCTTCCTCTTTCCCACAGTGTCGAGGAGACCTTCCTGTCAGCCCTTGGGCTCTCCTCTCCTGACCCTGACCATGCTAATGTTAGCTCTGTGTCCCTGTAGGGGCTAGGTCTCAGCTGCCACTGTAGGAGGGCCAGGGCCACCCAGGAGGTCTGCAGGACAGCAGGGCATCTCTGGATGCTTGCCCCGCCTCCACTCAATTTTTACTCTTCCTTCAGCTGGGATATGTTGCTTTCTCTGGGCCACTGTCACCATCCCTCTCTGCTCCCCCCAGCAGAAGCGATTGCTGATGTTCATACACTTGTCCCTTGTGTCCTGTGGACTGACTTGTGTTGGGGCCAGGTGGTGGTGAGTCTGTTTCCACACAGCAGACCTCCAGTGAGGCTTAGCTACAACCCCGGCCTGTGACCCAAAAGACCTCCTATGACTCCCAGATCAGCCATTGGCCTGGCTGCATGGCTTGGGGCATCTGCTTCTCCTTGTCTTAACTTCTCTGTACCCATAAATTGGAACTGAGCCCCTTCTCTGGGTGGAGAATTTGATGCAAACGAGCTCATACCTAGCAGCCCTGAGCTGTGGTGCCTGTTCTCCCAAGCCCAGCCTGTGTCTGGAAGCAGTGGACGGGCCGCTCGCGTGCACCCTGCAAAGTGCTGTGGTGTCTGCTCTTCACATCCTGTCTCTAGCCACGAGCCCTTTGAGTGTGCTACCTGAACCTTGACCCTGGCCTTTCCTATCCTGCCCTTCTGGTTTCCCTTGCTGGCCAGAGGCTGACCCTCACAGATGCCAGAGGGGGCATTGCTTCCAGGTTCAGACTCTTCAGCTCTGACTGGACCACCCGGGGGAGGAGGAAGGTCAGCACGCCCTGGGCAGTCTAGCTTGGACTTGGCAGCCTGGGGCAAGTGGCTTTGCTCCACTCAGCCTGTTTCCTCTCTTTCAAGAGGGGACTTAGTACAGAAGTCAGCTGGTCATGGGGTTGCGAGGGTTAAGTGAGGCCATGTGCGAGTTTCCCTTAGGGAGAGTCTTCCCTCAAGGGCAGTCAAGGGCTCTTGCCTGAGTGTGGTGTCTGGGCAGGGTGGGGTGAGCGGCTACTGTTAACCATGTTCTGTCCCCTCAGACTTAAAACAGGGGGCTCTGATCTCATTCCCTCATTGTGTATCTCCATGCACTCACCATGCAGACACAGCTCATTGTCCGGTCTGCTTGTCTTCCTGGGAGGCACTGCTGGTGGGGGATGGCACAAGGTGGAGGACCACTGCTGAGGGGTCTCCAAAGTCAGGCGTTGGGCCACCCTGCCTAGCCCCTAGAGATGAGCAGCACTGAAGGCCCCCATAAGGGGGCGCTACAGTCCCACTCAGCTCCAGGGCAGAGCTGGTGGCCAGGTGGGCTGGTCTCAGAGGGCTGGAAGCTCCTACCTGTCCATTCCTGGAGACTGGGTGGGCTTAATCCCTGGACACAAGCCCCTGACCCATCTGGTTTCCTCGTGTTCCAGCTGCCATCCAAGGCCCTGGTGCCTGAAATGGAGGACGAGGATGAGGAGGATGACTCAGAGGATGCTATCAATGAGTTTGACTTCCTGGGCTCAGGAGAGGATGGAGAGGGGACTCCGAACCCCCGGCGTTGTGCTGGCGAGGGGACCCCTCATGAGCTGGGTGAGTTGAGGACTGTGTGGCTGGCCTCTGCCACACAGTCTTCCTCACTGAGTGGGGTGGACCCTGGATCCTGCCCCTGGCAGACATCCCTGCTTGCAGCTGCTTCCTGCCCAGAACGGATACACTTCCGGGAGGAGAGGGCTAAGGGGATTGGGAGGCCCCACCCCGTTCCCTGGAAAGTCCCTATGTGGCTGCAAGGGGGTGTTCCAGCCCTCCAAGTGGGTGTCCAGTCCTGGCCAAGCATAGGGAACAGGATGAGGGCCTGGTTGGGGAGGCACTGGAGCAGGGCTGTGTCCTCCTGCCCTCTGCCTCCTGGTGGGGGGCGGTGGGGGGTGTCCTGGGGGAGGGGGAGTGTTGGGGGGGTTCACAGGGGAGAATGGTTACAGACTGAAGCCCAGGGCAGGGACTTGCCTACTGCCCCTCGGAGGGTCTCCATCACACTCACTCTCCTCCACTTATCCCCTGAGGGCTGGAGCTTTGCAGCCCCACAGTCGCAGGAGGGCCCGGGTGGGGGCATCCTGGGGGCTGGGCTGGAACTGGTGGGTGACTCCTTCCAGTGCCTCGTCCCTGCAGAAAGCCGCCGGGTCAAGCTCCAGGGAATTCTGGCCGACCTTCGGGATGTGGACGGGCTGCCCCCCAAAGTGACAGGCCCACCTCCTGGCACTCCTCAGCCCCGGCCCCATGAAGGTAACCCCCAACTCACCCCCTGACCCCCAGGGTCCCTAGCAGAGGGAGGCTGCAGAGCTAAGCCCAGGGCTGCCATGTCCACAGGGGCGAGGCCCAGCCTCCAGTCTGCAGCCTCCCTGTCCCAAAAGTTCGTCTGTCTGTCTCTGTTTCCCTCTCTTTTTGTCCAGCCTGCCCTGTCTGTCTATCTGTCTCTGTCTCTACCTTTCTAGCTGTGATTCTTGATCTTGTCCTCCCGTCTGTCTTTCTCGCTTCTCATCTCTCTCTGCCTCTCTCTGTCCTCTCTTTCCCTGCCCCTCTCTGCCCCACCCTCCCCTCCCCCTACCAGGTTCCTTTGGCTTCTCCTCAGACGTTTTCATCATGGACACTATCGGGGGCGGGGAGGTGAGCCTGGGGGACTTGGCAGATCTCACCGTCACCAATGACAACGATCTCAGTTGTGACGTAAGTCTGGGGGTGGGGGCTACTTTCGTTGGGTCTCATGCACACTGCCAGCCCCTGCCAAGCTCAGTCACATGCAGGTTGTGTGAGATCATCCCCTCCTTGCAAGGTGGCTGTGTGCGCTCACTCTGTCTTACTGAGGAGTGCAAGGCAGAAGGTGGCAGGACTCGACTGTGGTCACTGAGGTGCAGAGTCTGCAAGAATTGGGAGCTTGTGTCTCAGTCATGTGCTGGGTGCCTCCAGCCTGTGACCCTCCCATCCTGGCAATTTGGGATGTGGGAAGATGGCTTCAATCCAGAAATCCCACTCAGTTCAGTCTGCTGGAAATGGGGCATTTGAGCTAGAGGGAAGGGACCCTCGCTGCTAGTGTCTGAGCCTGCACGCTGTGGATAGGCCTCTGGCAGTTGGGAACCTTAGGGCTGAGCGTGTGTGTGTTTTTCTGGGTCAGAAGTGGATTTGCTGATTTCCAGCAAGACTGGGGACAGATGTGGAAGACACCTGCCCCATGTTTGTTCTGGAGAATTGGGGGTGCCACATGGCCACAGATCCTCAGACTACAAAGAATTATGACAGAAATGACCTCTGAGGCAGGGACCATCATGGACCAAGCCCAGATGAAAGGGCCCATCCAGCATCAGCTACATTTTGGGCAGGTGCTGTCGCTTGCCTGACAGCCTGCTCATGGGCTCTTCCGAGCCTGGCCCTCCCAGCATCACTCACAGGGGCCAATGGTTCTGCTCCCGAACTCCTCAGCTCTTGTGCTCACCTCCATCTCTGCCATCAAGTGTCTGGTCTAAACGCCCTCATCGTTCCCTGAGGCTGCGTGGCCTCAGAACCCACATCTGCTCCCACTCTTACCTACTCCAAGTCTAAGCCTGGGGCGGGGGGCTGTCAGGACAAGTCCGGCCATCCCTGCTCTGAATCCTGTAGGGTTCTGAATGTGGTTCACCATTCTGGCTCCTGTCACAACCTTTTTGGCCTTACTCCTGACTCTCACCCCTGTCCTTGGATTGTGTATCCTAGCTACACTGGGCTCTAAGACTGCCGGCCTCAGGGTCTTTGCACTGTGTAGTTCCTTCTCCTGTCCCCCTCCCTTACCTCGTTCTGGTTAAGTCCAGCTCACTTGTCACTGCCTCAGAAAAGCCTATTGGTCCCTGCAGAGATGGCCAGGCCGCCTGGTGTCCCCTTCATGCATTTTTGATCTATAGAACTACGACACCCCAAGGGTTTGGGCCCACCTTTGCTTCCCCAGAACCTAGCACACTGTGAAAACTCACGAGCAGGTACAGGGACCTGCAGGTGCAGAGAAGGGGCAATGTCCGGCTGGGTGTCAGTGTCTGTGTGACTGCTTGGATGGCTGAGGGCCACTGAGGCAACTCCCCCACCCCTAGCTGTCTGACAGCAAAGATGCCTTCAAGAAGACCTGGAATCCCAAGTTCACACTGCGCTCACACTATGATGGCATCCGCTCCCTGGCTTTCCACCACAGCCAGTCAGCACTGCTCACTGCCTCCGAGGATGGCACGCTCAAGCTGTGGAACCTGCAGAAGGCAGCCACAGCCAAAAAGTGAGGGTGGCACCTGGGCAGGGGTGGGCTTCAGGGCCTCCGGGGACTCTGTGCCATTGGCTTCTCTCTGTCCCCACAGGAACGCTGCGTTGGATGTGGAGCCTATCCATGCTTTCCGGGCTCATAGGTAGGTGAAGAGGGAGGCCCTGGAGCCTGCTGGAAGCTTATCTCCAGACAGTGTGATTTGGCTGCCCCAGGGTCCTGCAGCAGGGGCTCCCAGTCCGTGCAGCAAGGCCTCTACACACCCCTCGCTCCTGGGCTCTGGGCTCCTGTGGTCTCAAGCGACGGGGTTCTGCCCACCCTTCCCAGTCAGAACTGAAAGCGGGGTGGGAGACAGGCAGCTCACTGGGTGGCACAGCCCGGACCCAGTACTGATTGCTTTAGCTCATCCTTGAAAGACACTAGTAGGGAATTTTAGGTTCCGTGACAGGGCGGGTTTTGAACTTCTTGTCCACCTACCTTCCCTACCTTTGCACCCTAGGGGTCCAGTGTTAGCAGTAGCCATGGGCAGCAACAGTGAGCACTGTTACAGTGGCGGGGCAGATGCCCGCATCCACAGCTGGAAGATTCCAGACCTCAACATGGACCCCTATGATGGTTATGGTGAGGACAGCCTCCGGCTTCCCTTCCTCACCTAGGGAGGGGTCCTACAGGGCTCGCACTTGGGCTAGCCAGGGACAGCATGGTTCAGTGTGGGCCTGGGGATGGATGAGAGTAGGTAGGAACAGTGGTGGTAGGTGAGGGTCAGGTTATTGGGAAGGCAGAGGCCAGAGCACCCAAGGTAGGGGGCCAGAAAGTGCCAAGGCTTGGTTGGCCTGGTAGTTGCTGCCCCCAGGCCCAGCCAGGGTGTTTTCCTGGTTGAGTAAGATGGTGATGAGAGGCATTAGTGGGCCAGGTGGGGAGGAATTTGGCCTTTATCCTGGGACCCCTGTAAGAGATGAGTGGATAGGTGACCAGACTCACTTCTGTTCAGTGTCTGTCCCCTGCTGCTGATGCTCCCTTGCTCATTCATGTGGCCCTGTGCTAAATCTCGTTCATGGCAGAGTAAAGAGCTCAGAGCTCTGACTTCCCTCAGGGAACACATGCTACAGTTAGAAAGCAGTCACCCTTGGTCCTGGCCAAGTGAATGCACACATAGGGTGTCAGCAGGGGTTGTCTGGGGGCACCTGAATGGAGTCCAGTGGCTGGGGAGGCAGTGACCAGCACTTGAGCAGCAGAGGGCTGTGGGGAGACCAGGCAGAAAGGACTGCAGGGCTGGAGGTGCCGATCACAGGCTGTAGAGGCTGGGGGGCCATTCCCAGGGTCAGGCTGTAAAGCCTGTAGGGGTCACAGAGCCAGCATTTATGCCTCCTCCCTTTGCTGGGTCTTCACAGTGATGCATCAGACAGCAGATTTCTGGGTCCTGGGTAGATAGCCGTGACCAGGGACATCCTCACCCTCCGGACCTTGTGAAGTGGCTTCAGAGCCCCAGAATCTGCTTGGGGCTCAGGGTTCCAGTGGGAAGCTGGATGATGGGATGGCTTTTCCTGGGCTGTCCAGTGAGGTGACATCCCTGACATAGCCCATTTTCTCCCTGGACCCTCTCAGACCCAAGTGTGCTGAGCCACGTGCTAGAGGGCCATGGTGATGCCGTGTGGGGCTTGGCTTTCAGTCCCGCTTCCCAGCGCCTGGCCTCCTGCTCCGCTGATGGCACTGTCCGCATCTGGGACCCCAGCAGCAGCCCAACCTGCCTCTGTTCTTTCCCCACAGCCAGCGGTGAGTGGGGCTCTGGTGCCTCACACAGGCTCCGTTTAGTCAGAGTGGGGTTGGGGAGGTGGCTTCTGAGGAAGCCCCAGGGCAGGGCCAACCCATAGGCATCTTTTTGTCCTCTCTCCCCTCAGAGCACGGGGTCCCCACTTCAGTGGCCTTCACCAGCATCGAGCCCGCCCACATTGTGGCCTCCTTCCGCTCTGGCGACACCGTCCTTTATGATCTGGAGGCTGGCAGTGCTGTCCTCACACTGGAGTCCCGGGGGAGCAGTGGTAAGGGAGCCCCCAGTCCTCATGGCTAGGCCATGGGGACGGGGGTCTGGTTACCCACAGGGCCCAAGTTCCTTCTGTGTCTTTGGGGCCCTAGTTGCCCTCAGGACTCTGAGCAGGAAGGAGATGAGGCTCAGTGGAAGTGCTCCACCCAGGCGCACAGTATAGGGCTCTGGGAAGGCTGGGAGAGCCATGGATGCATGGTGGTGTCTAGTCCTGAGGCAGGGTCCAGGTACTCCTCTTGTAAAAGCAGTACTGCACCTCCTGGCAGGGTGGTGGGTGCTCAGTGCCCCCTTTTGTGTCTGTCTTGGTCTCCCTGATTTGCCCTTTGCCCTTTTCTGCCCTTCCCTCTCCCCCCGTTCCAGTCCCAACCCAGATCAACCAGGTGGTGAGTCACCCAAACCAGCCCCTCACCATCACCGCCCATGATGACAGAGGCATCCGCTTTCTGGACAATCGGACAGGTGAGGCCCATCCTCCCACCTGCCCCCACCTGTGCTCATGGGGTGTTGCAGATCCGACTCAGTCCACTGAGTCCTGGTGTCCACTTTGGAGGCTCTTGGGGTACCTTCCTTAATTCCCTTGTCTTCCCACGAAGGCCCACGGTGGGAAGGGAACCTGCCACCATCCCTCTCTCCCTTCAGGTAAATCTGTGCACTCTATGGTCGCCCACCTGGATGCTGTAACCTGCCTAGCCGTGGACCCCAATGGCGTGTTCCTCTTGTCAGGAAGTAAGTGGGACCCTTTCGGCTGCCCCTTCCTCAGTAGGGTAGGAGATGAGGAGGCTTGGCACCTGTGCAGGCCTAGAGGTTCCACAGGGATAGAGTCCCAGCAGGGTGGGAACCCATCAGTGAGTGTCAGGAGTAGGGGCAGGATGGTGGGCTCAGCACCAGATACTGCTGGGGGCGCCTCAGTTACTCTTCTGAGTAACCCTGCACAGTGGGTGGTTTGGTGCCCACATTACAGATGTGGGACTAGGGCTCAGAAGTCTTGTATCGTGACTGTGGCACAGTGGGTTTAGGGATTGGAGCCCTTTGCTTCCACCTTGCTCTCTGGGGGCTCTGCTGGAAGGGCAGGCAGGTCTTCCTCAGAGGGACAAGGGACTGGAGCTCCCCAGGGGCTGAGAAGGGTCAGGCCTGAGCACGTGTGGGTATGCATGCACTTGAGTGTTTACACAGGGGTGCAAGCAGTGGTAGAGGCTGTGAGTGGTTTAGGGTAGACCATAGGTGGTACTCCCTAATTTCAGCATGTACTGACAGCTCCACCTAGGCTTGTTCTCTGCCTACCTAGTGACAGTGGCAGTGGTAGTGGCAGCAGCCAGTTGTGGAAAGCATGAGGGGACAGTTGGTAACATAAGTGTGGTTCAAAGGAGCTTTAGTGTTGGGCCCAGACCTTGCAGAAAGGGTTGCATTCTGGGAGCACTGGGCTGCAGCAGAGGGGCTGAGCCCTCAGGCCAGCCATGCCTGAGTCAGGGGCCACCTGCCCAGGCTGCTTTCCTCAGGACCCTCCTGGCTGTGCCCTGCATGGGAGGCTCCTCATCCCTCCTTGGACTGTCACACTGTCCTCTTGGTTGGGGCTAGTCTGCTCAACTTTGTTTGTTTGTTTGTTTGTTTTTGCCAGCCCCAGGAGTGCTGGGGCTTGAACTCAGGGCCTCAAGCTTACTAGGCAGGTGCTCTACCTTTTGAGCCACTCTGCCAGCCCTGTTTTGTGTTTCTCGTTTTTGTGTTGGGTTTTATTAAGATAGGGTCTTGTGAACTATTTGCCTGGGATGGCTTTGAATTGTGATCGTCTTGATCTCTGCCTCCTGAGTAGGTAGTATTACAGGCGTGAGCCACCAGCGCCCAGCTGGGTTTTGTTTTTTTGTTTTTGTTTTGATTGTGGTGCTAGGGAGTGCTCTCCCATTGAGCTCTGCCCCTCTTGCTGTTTTCTTGTCCACTATTTCATCCTGCAGTGTCCACAGGTCAGGAAGATTGGCCTTTTTTTTTTTCAGTGAACCTCCAGGGTCTGGTTCAGTCAGTAAACCTTGGTGACTAGTTGGATGGTTGACAGGGTGGAGACAAAAGGGCTGTCCTTTGGTCAGAGTGATGGGAGGAAGAGGACTGAGCCCTGCAACCCTGAGGCCTTTGGTAGAGTCCAGGCGAGGGGTCCAAGGGTAGGATCTGGCAAGGAGCTCTGTGCTAGCCCTGCTGTTCCCACCCTTCGCAGGCCATGACTGCTCCCTGCGCCTGTGGAGTCTGGACAACAAGACCTGTGTGCAGGAGATCACGGCCCACCGCAAGAAGCATGAGGAGGCCATCCATGCCGTGGCCTGTCACCCCAGCAAGGCTCTTATCGCCAGTGCCGGCGCTGATGCCCTGGCCAAGGTCTTCGTATGATGCCCACCTGGCCTCGCCCTTGCCGCCACGCTGGCTGGGGAGCGGGGCCAGGCAGGTGAGGCTAAGGTGAGGAGCAGGGGCCATTTGTGCTCTGGACGGGAGGGCAGAACTCCACACCCTTGCCCCTTACACCCCCTTTGGCATGTCACGTTGTGCCAAGTCCCATGATTCTGGGAGAATGACTGAGGTGTTCCTTGAAATGCAGGGTGGGGGAGCATCGAGAATGGCTTTGGTACCCCTGGGAGAGGGCTGAGGCCTAGAAATGGGGCTCTAATGGTCCAGCCTCCCTTCTCTCTGTCTTCCCAGGAGGCTCCCAGCTCACTGCGGAGGCTCAGAGGCCCATCCTCTTCCCACCTGCCGTGGAGCCTGGTGGTGCTAATGGCCCTTTCTCCAAGAATGCCCTCCACCCTCTGGCTCCCCTTCCCCACACACCCACCTTCCCACGCTGCCTCTTGAGGTGGCGTATGGGCCTTTTGCCAGTCCCTACTCCTGGCATCTGCTGCCTTCCCTCAAGCAGCACAGCTAGGGCCTGGAGTCTTTGGGGATCTGTTTTTCCAAGATATCAGAGGTGCCAGGTTCTCCCCTTAAGCCCCTCACCCTCCAGCCCACGTGGGAGCCATGCTGGGAGGGGTCTCCAGATGCCCCTCCTGCACAACCCCAGGCTGTCCTGGGGTGTAGGGGGAGGGTGGCAATCCCTTCCACTTGCTTCCCAACACTAATCAAGCCTCCAGGGCTAGGAGCTGCCTGGGGAGGCCACGCTCCAGCCCTGGCTCCATTCCTCCACGGGTGGCCCTCAGGCCTCCCCTTGTGCGGTGTGGAGCCAGCCCTGGGCCCCCTAACTCCCTGTATATCTGTATAAATGAACGGGATTTTACTGGCGCCCGCCCCTGTTATCACTGTGTGATAGTCTGTCAGTCTCCTCGTGCTCCACACTTGCCTCTATTTATTTCACTCTGTCTGGGTTCCACCCTGTACCCTCAGTCCCCATCAGATCCTGTTTAAAAGCCCTCCCCTCTGCCCTGACCTTGTATGTGAAAACTTGCCGCAATAAACCCTTTGGAGTAAGATGGGTGCTATACTGGCTGCTGAGGGGGCTGGGGGTTTTGGGGGAGAAGCACTGCCTTCGTCACGGTTGGGCGGGGTTTGAGGAGAGGGATATGGTGGGTTGGGGTTTTGTGGTAGGGCAGCTTGGGCGGGGTGCGAGTGGAAGGGCGGAAGTGAGGGCACGGGACCGAATCTCCGTGCGCCCCTCCTTGCTGTTCCTAAGTGCATCCTCCCTAGGGGCAGGTGCTGTGACTGTAGTTCAGCTGAAGACCCCTCACCTGCCCAGGCATGCGTGACAGTTGGTGCTCAGGACAACAGGGAAGGGATGGTGTTAGACCCACCAGCCATGCTGGGAGGATCCCTGGGGGACACCCAGGAACTCAGCAAGGTAGCCAGGCCTACTTGAGCTCAGCCCCTTACCTGTCATTTCACTGTCCTCAGGACCTCGGAAAGAGCCTGTGTCCCCGTGCTATGGGATGGGGGTGGGAGGGCTTGCTCTAGGGCTCTGGAACATTGCAGCTTTTCTGTCCAGTCCTGTACCCCTCTGCTTGTTCTGAAGCTTCCACCTCCTCCAAGCCAGGTGTCCTAGGCAGGCCTGGCCCCTCTAAAGGTCTATAACGCCCATGCCCGTCCTGGGGAGTAAAGGTTTGCACCCCTGGTGCCCAGAGCTAGGACCAGGAGCCCTTAAGGAAGGTGAAAGCTTGTGGAACCGCGTGCTGGGGACTGGCTAGCATCTTCACTGATGCTTATCTGTCCACCTGGAAAAATGTGCAGGTGGACAAATGGTCTTCAGGTAACATGCGCAGGCTCAGGGCTCCACGTGGCCTTGCTCCCCCACTCTCCCAGCTCTGTACAGCCTCCCCAGGTGGTGGTTTGGGTTTTCACTCCAGCCTCAGACTTCCTTCCCTAGCCCCAGCCCCCCGGATGTGGTGACAGAGGCGACATTGTACAACCTCAACTGCCCCCAGCAGCCCTGTGCCAGGAAGGGAGCTCTTCCTGCGGCCCCCATCCTCACCAGTCCTGCCCACCTGGGATTCTAGCGAGCCAGGCAGCCATCTCTGCTCAGGGGCCTTTAGAGTTTAAACCTAGACCATGACTTCCAGTGGGTTGGGGGGAGGGGAGATGATGAGGTTGGACAAGTGATTGCTCTCCGAGACTTCAGCTTCCTGGATGTGAACTAAATGATAACCACTATTCTGTTACTAGCTGGGGAGGAGAATCAAGTCAGAATTGCTCCAGAAGAGGCTGAAGGTGTGCCTGGCCAGGGCCTGGCACACAGTAGACCTCCAGTAGATGCTTGCTGGATGACTCACTGAGCAAACCCCCCTCACAAACCCCTGAGCCCTGAGGTGCCACCTTTTCTCTCTACAAATGAGTAGCCACGGCCACCATTCACCAAACTTTTGCTGTGTTCCGGGCACGTGAAAAGACCCTCTGTGGTCAGTTGTGTTACAGCCCCATTGAACAACAGGGAGACAGGCTCCCAGAGAGGAAGCCCCCTGGAGAGGGGTGGAAGTGGTAGTGAGACGCATGTGCACACGGCCCCAGGATATTGCCAGTTGTCCATCTATGAAGTGGTGTGGGTGAGATGTCCCTTCCAGGCTTACCCCCAGCCCTTGGTCATTGGAGGGTCGGCGGAAGGAAACTACATCCCCCCACCCCCACCCTTGCACCTTTCCCAAGGTCTCTGGAGACAGACCTGCTTCTAGGCCTCCATCTTCTCACCTAGGGAATGAGTGGGGTGCTCCGCAGTATCCCCTCCCCTGCACTGGGGCGTGGCGGGGCAGGGGCGACGTTCTGGGAGGAGGGAGGCCCGAGCTCGGGAAGCAGACCGGACTTGACACCCTATTTCCGACCCTTTCCCCAGCGGTGGGCGCCGGATGCAGGCCAGCCAAGACAGCTTTTCTTAAAGGACCAAGCTAGTCCGGGTACCCCGCGACCTGAGGTGGGGTGACAGTGCCTCGACCTTCCCTGAAGCTCGAAAAAATGTTAACTTCCCAGATTTGGGTGTCCTGGAAGGAAGAATCAGCACCTCCTCTCCCTTGCCCTCCACCTCCCAACCTGGGCCCCTGATCCCCCAACTCCGAGGAGCCGGCCCGCCCTCCCCTTCCGCCCGCGGCCCCTCGGCAGGCTCCGCCCATTCGTGACGTCACCGAGGCCCGAGCCGATTGGCTGACGGTGCCGTCGCTCCTGATACTTCCTCCTGGGCCGCTGCTGCCGACTTAAACTTTGGAGGGGGAAAAAAGAGCCACCCGCGCCGTGCGACCCTCCCTTGACCCCCACCCCTCCCCGCCTCCGGTAACGCCCCCTTCCCCGCGGCCCCCGACCGAACTTTTCTCCAACTCCACGTCCCGTGAGATTCCCTCCTTTCTATCCCGGCCCTGGGGACCCCTCTGCCCATCCCTGGGCCGGTCGGTGGGATCCCTAAGATCCCCTCGATCCTCAACTTTGAGGCTTCTGCTCTTTACTCCAAGGTAGTGAATCCCTGGGGTCCCTTCTTAGTGAGATCCTGGCCTTAGAGCCACTGGATCCGGAGATTCCCTCCTACTCCCCTCTCTACCTCTTCTTTCTCCAAGGAGGCGTTGGATGGCGGAATCTCTTGATCCGCCCTGACCGATTAGATTTTCCTCTCTGATTTCTTGGAACCTTTCAATCTCTGGGTCCCGCAAACCACCCCTTTTCTTCTTTCTCATTTTCTGCGATCCCTTGATTCCAAGCGAGTGATCCACCGAGTGTTTTTTTCCTCTCATTTCCCAGGATCCCGCCATCCTCGGCTCCCTCACTCTGACAGTTACCCCCTCCGGGATCCCTGCGCTTCCACCAGCTCACTAGATCCCTCAGATCTAGGACTTGGGGTCCCCGGGCTCCCCCGGCCGGATCCCGGGTGGGCGCCGGGCGGCGGGTCCGGGCCTGTCCCCATGGCCGCCGCCCCCTCCCATCCCTCCTCTCCTGGGCCGGGGTCTCCTCCGCCCCCCGGCTGCTTGGAGCTTCAGTCGCCGCCACCGCTGCTGCCCCAGGCTCCGGCCCCGGGTTCGGGGGTCTCCTTCCACATTCAGATCGGTCTGACCCGCGAGTTCGTGTTGTTGCCCGCCGCCTCCGAGTTGGCCCATGTGAAGCAGCTGGCGTGTTCAATCGTGGACCAGAAGGTGAGGCATGGGCCTCCCCGATCCAGCTTGGGAGGGGCCTGACAAGGGGCGGGGGGCGCTGGCAAAAGGCACCGGGCAAAGAGGGAGAGGATCTGAGTAACTGGAGGGGGGCATTGCTTCTCCAAATTGATTCCTCCTCACTCCATCACCGATTTGAGGAAGGCCTGGGAAGGGGTGGGGTGCCCCAGAGGTCTCCCCAAATTGCGTGTCCCTGCATGTTGTTGTTTTCTGCCGCCACCAAGGAGGAAGGGAGGTGCCCTCCAGGTGTAGAGTGAGGAGGAAGATCCAGGTGGGAACAGCAGATGTAGGGGGCCTCCCCATCCAGCCCCATCCTGTCCCTGCCTCCCATTTGATGGAAACAGTAGAAACTGAAGCCGGCCTGTCCATGGCGATCAGGTGACGTGTGGGTGTAGGTATCTTAGGTAGGCCACCAGAGCAAGTGAAGTCTCAGGGCCTAATCTCTATCCTTCCCCAGGCCTGAGATGAGTATGGAGAGGCAGACACCCCCTGTGTACCCCCAGAGGCCCTGGAGACTCTATCTCCTGTCCTAATCACAGTGCCTCGTCCTTCCCTTAGCTTCAGGTACAGGGTCCCCAGGATGGGGACCGTGGGATTATGGCAAGAAGGAATCAAGTGAAACTGGATGCCCAAATCCTAGGATGTTAAAAGAATAGTGATTTTTCTCAGTTGTTCAAGAGATGGTAAACGCATTAGATTTGCTGAACCATAAGAAGTTGGAATATGCACCATAGGTAATTGAATTCCTCTGACATTAAAATGATCAAATATTCTAAAACTTTCACTCAAACATTAAAACTTCAGAATTTTAGAATCCTAGGATGTAGGAATCCTAGAGTTTTGGAGTGGATTTTGGAAATCCCTTAATGCTAATCCAAATGGTAGATTCTAGTTTTGCCAGACTCTTAGGACATAAAAATATTTGATTACCACTAATGTAGGTCATTGAAAGCCTGAAATGTGTAAGAATAGTTGAAATTCACTGTGTATAATTCTACAATGTGAGCACATTAGGCTTGCCCAAACATCCAAATTCCAGGATCTTCTCAGCCCACCTAGAAATGAATCCTTTGGGCTTCAGAAAAATGTGAAGGACCTGGCTACCTCCCCCCTCACTGAAACCCAAGTTTAGAAAAAACTGCTGGTCAAGGCCAAGGCAATCCTGGTTTTCTGTGGATGGAGAGAGAACTTTCAGGGGTTCGCCCACCAACCCCCCTAAGTCCATCATGCCCAACTCCCACCCCTAAACTCAAACTTCCCCAATAGGAACCCAGGCTGGGGCAGGGGCAGACTGTGCCCTGGGTGAAATATTTTGTCCTCTGGCCCAAATCCCCCAGCCAGCCCCGTTTATTTTTCTGCGCTGCCGTCCAGGTGCGGTAGGGCCTCTTCCGTCCTTCCTTCCCGAAGCCCCACCTGGCCGGTTTCACTTTCTGTTCCGCCAGGTTTCATTTCCTGCCCCCCCACCACGCTGGGACCCGGACACCTGGGTCCTCTCAGCACTGGTGAGGGACAACCTCCCTTACCTCCAGCTCTCTTGATGCCCAGCACCCCCCCTTCCCGCAGCCTGAGCTCCCCTCCTCCCAGCTCCCTCCGCCCCAGTGCTGGCCTGGAGCCAGGTAACAGGGACAATAGGTCCAGGAAGGAAGCTGGGTTTGGGGGCGGGGGGGGGGGGAGGGCGGATAGAAGAGGGGGTGCGCACTCAGGCACATCCCCCTCCATCCAGCTCTGGAAAATTCGAGGTGTCCACGCAGGTCCTAGAGCCACTAAACCCTCCCACTCTTGGCTCTGCAGTCCAGTCGCCAGATTCAGGCCCGCGTCCCCTCCCAGCACACCTGGGGCCCTGGCATCCTGCCCGCCTCCAGCTGGGGTTCGGTTGGGAGGGGACAGGCAGGAAGCAGTGGGCTGCAGGGTCTGAGTTTCCGGGGGAAGCAGCCGGCCCTGCCCCTGGAGGGTTCCAGTCCGCTGCTCTGAGCTTTTCTGTCGCCACCTCCTTCTGACCCTCAGTTCCCAGAGTGTGGCTTCTACGGCCTGTATGACAAGATCCTGTTGTTCAAACATGACCCCACGTCCGCCAACCTCCTGCAGCTGGTGCGCTCAGCAGCGGACATCCAGGAGGGCGACCTGGTGGAGGTGGTGCTGTCAGGTGAGAGCCTGTGGTCAGCCTGGGGGCGGGGCCTCTGACAGGGGGCGGGGTTTCCATAGAAGTGGCCTGGAGGGGGGATTTGACTCCAGCCCTGCTTCCAGCCCTGTGATTCTTGCCCTGAGGTCTTTCACAGTCCGCCTTTCCAGATTGGTCAGATGGGTCATGGTGAATGCACCCAGCTCTGAGCATGATCAAGATGATGCTGAGAGGGGAGTTGGCACCAGGCCACCTGCTGTCTGATTGCACTCGTGAAGCACAAAGGCAGATGCAATTAGAGCGGGCCCACTTGGCAAAGGTGGAGACCCAGGAAGGACGTGGTGGTGCACACCTGTAATCCCAGCTATGCAGGAGGTGGGGGTAGAGGATTCAGGTTTGAGGCCAGTCCCGGGCAAGAACGCTAGACTCTATTGGAAAAATAACTAAAGCAAAAAGGGCTGGGAGAGTGCCTGCCTAGCAAGTGCAAAGTTATGAGTTCAAACCCCAGTAACGACAGAAAAGAAGAAAGGTGGAGACTGGGTGGGGAGCCCAAGAGAACATCTGGGAGACCAATTTATATATGTGCTGTTTTCAGGACTTATATCTGTTATATTTGGGTGTAATATAGCTTACCAGTCTCCTCGCATGGTGGTACACACTGAGGTCAGTCTCCCCAGGGTGAGATAAGACCATTAAAAACTCCCCAGGCGATTTTTTTGTTTTGTTTTGTTGTTTTCAAGACAGGGTGTCACTGTGTAGCCCAGGCTGACCTCGAACTCATGATCCTCCTACTTCAGCCTCTCGAGTGCTGGGATTACAGACATGCCCCACCACGCCCATCTTCCCCAGAAGATGTACAGCCAGAATCCAGCTACCTGCCACACCCACTTAACAGATGGGCACCCTTTCAGCATCTTAGAGGAGTCCTTCCTAAGGGTGGGATGTCTGTCTGAATTCCTGGTCCCTCTGACAGATTGCAGTGCTCACTGCCATGAGTTTAGTGGATGGACTGAAGTTGAAATTTATACCTTTGTGGACTTCGTTCACACTTCACATACCCTCTTAGAAGCTGAAACACTTCAATATTTATCTTGTAATTGTTTTTGTTTTTTGGGGTGGCACTGGGATTTGAACTTGGCCTCATGCTTGCTAGGCTGGTGCTCTACCACTTGAGCTACTCCTCCAGCCAAAAAAAGTGGTTTTTTTGGTGGTATGGGATTTGAACTCAGGCATGCTAGGCAGGTGCTCTAAGACTTGAGCCACTCTGCCAGTCCCCGCCTCCCTTCTTTTTTTTTTTCCAGTACTGGGGCTTGAACTCAGGGCCGTCACCTTGAGCCACTCCACCATCCTCCTGATCTCTTGCCTCCTGAGTAGCTAGGATTACAGGCGGTAGCCACCTGTGCCTTGCTCAGGGTGTATCTTTTTCTTTTTTTTCTCAGCGATTATAGAAAGTTCATCTTTTGTTACTATGACATTCTTGTTTAAATTCTTTCAAGTATAATAACAGAGTATTTATTTTAAAAAAATGTTTATTTTGTTAGCATATAATAGTTGTACAGGGGGATATATTGTGATATTTATATATGTGCTTACAATGTATCTTAGTTAGATTTACCCCCTGCATCTTCTCCCTCATCTCTCACCCCCTTGGAGTGTATCTTGTTTACAGTTTTAACCTGACATGTAGAAAAAGGTCCACTCCCTGTTGCAAAATAGTAATAGAAATAGCTAATATTAGACTGAAACAAAAATGAATAAAACCACTATCCTCCTGATCTCCATCTTCCTAGTATCTTGGATTACAGGCATCAGCCACTACACCCAACTCAAAAATGAAACTTTTAAAATAAGAACATGGGATTAGGAGTGTAGCTCAGTGGTAGAGTACTTGCCTAGCAATCAGGAGACCCTGAACTTAATCCCCAGCACTAAAAAAAAAGGGGGGGGGGAGATTCATCACAAGATGATCCCAGACTCCCTAAAAATCTAGGCTCCCAGAACTTCACACAGACAAGTTCTAGGGCTCTTGGGAGAGCTACAGTAATTAGCATTTTAAATTACAGCAGTGCATGGCACAGAGTAAAATTGCTAGACTGTGTTATTGTTAAAAAGCAATGTCTATTTTGTCTGTCTGTCTGCCTCTCTCTATGATATTCCTAGTGCCTAAATAGTGCCTAATATATTTTTGTTAGCATTCCTTTTTTTCTTTCTTTCTTTTAATTTTTCATTCATTTATTCACATGTGCATATATTATTTGGGCTATTTCTCTCCCCTCCTCCTTTTTTCTTTCTTTCTTTTTTTTTTTTTTTTTTGTTTCTTGGTGCTGGGGTTTTGAACCCAGAGCTTTGTGCTTGCTTAGGCAAGCACTCTACCATTTGGGCCACACCTCCAGTCTGCCCCTTGAGCAGCTGGGATTACAGATGTGCACCACCACACCTGACCCATCAATATTCTTTTTTTTTGCAGTACTAGTGTTTGACTTCAGGGCCTCCCACTTGCTAGATGGGTGTTCTATCACTGGAGCCACTCCACCAGTCCTGTTTTGTATTGGGGATTTTTAAGATAGGGTCTTGTAAACTGTTTCCTTGGACTGGCTTTAAACCTCAATCCTCCTTATCTCTGCCTCCCAAGTAGCTAGGATTATAGGTGTGAATCACTGGTGCCCGGCCTCAATGTTACTTCTTAAGGATGGAAAGTTGAGACACAAAGGTGTTTTATTTATTTACAGTGCTGGGAATGGAGCCCAAGGCCTTGCAAATGGTAAGCAAGCACTGTACCACTGAGCTACACTCCTCCACCCCAGCCTTCTTCTTTTTTTTTTTTTTCTTTTTTGAGATGCTTTCCCTAAATACCCCTGGCTGACCTCCAACTCCCAATCTTTCTGTCTCAGCCTCCAAAATAGCTGGGATTACAGGTGTGTATCACCACTCCTGGCTTAAATTTTTTTTTTTGTCTTTTCTTTTTTGGTGCTGGGATCGAACCCAGGGCCTCATGCATGCTAGGCAAGCGCTGTACCACTGAGCTACATCCCAGCCCCTGGCTTAAATTTTTAGTGTAGTAAAATATACAGAACGTAAAATTTACTATCTTAACCCTTTTTGAGGGTTCAGTTCGAAGTGTTAGGTATGATCACAACACAGTACAACCAATTTCTGAGAGCTAGGCAAGCATTGTACCACGGAGCCAAAACCCCAGGTCTCACATCTGTTTTCATCTTGCAGAAATGAAGCTTACAGCTAGACTTAGTGGTCCATGCCTGTAAGCTCATTACGTGGGAGGATGAAGAGGGAGGATGAAGAATTTGAGGCGAGCCTGGGCTATATAGAGTGCGACCCTGTCTCAAAAGCCAAGCCAACCTAGCATGCATGAGGCTATAGGTTTGATCCCCAGTATAGAAAAGAAAAGAAAAGAAAAAAGCCAGACTGGTGGTCCCAGCTACTTGGGAGATGGAGATAGGAGAATCTCCTGTTTGAGGCCGCCTGGCACCTGAAAAGCAAACTAAGAGCCAAAGGACTGCGGGGCTCAAGCGGTAGAACTCTTGCCTAGCAAGCTGGAGGCTCTGATTTCAATCTCCAGTACTGTCAAAGAAGAGGAGGGAGGGGAGAGCAGAGGAGGGGAGGAGAGGAAACTCTACGCATGAAACAACTCCCCATTCCCCCTCTGCCCCAGCCCTGGCGTAGGCAAGTAGGTGTTAGGTGTTTTTGCCTAGTGGGAGCACTGGGGCTGTGAACTCAGGCAGACCTAGTGTGGGAAGGAAGGAAGGAAGAGAGAGAGGGAAACCTGGGAAGGCGGGGCCGGCACACCCTCAGCCCGCTCCTGCTCCAGCCTCTGCCCATCTCTGCCTCCTGCAGCCTCAGCTACCTTCGAGGACTTCCAGATCCGCCCGCACGCGCTCACCGTGCACTCCTACCGCGCGCCGGCCTTCTGCGACCACTGCGGGGAGATGCTCTTCGGCCTGGTGCGCCAGGGCCTCAAGTGCGATGGTGAGGGGCTGGGGGCGGAGCCTAGGCGGTGGGCGTGGCAAGGGCTCGGGGAGACGGGGCGGGACTAAGGCCTGGGTGAAGGCCTAGGCGGTGGGCGTGGCAAGGACTGGGACAGAGATTGCGAGGAGGGGCGGGGCTGCAGGTAGGAACGGGCGGGGTTATGGTCTGGGGGCGGAGCCTAGGAGGTTTTTGCTGGGGGTGGGGAGTGGGGACCCAGAGAGAGAGCTTGGGGAAGTGATGGGACTCTGGGAAGAGAGAGGGCTGTGTCAGTCAGGGATCAAGCAGAGAAACAACCAGTAGGAGATAAATCCTAGGAGAGAAATTCCAAGAGAAGGAATTGGCTTAGAAATTTGCCTGCAGGCCAGGCAGCTCCAAAATTTGCCAGGCATCCTGGCAAGAAGGGCAGGTCGGAACTCTTAGGTTCAACCTGAAGCTGCTGTCCACAGAGAGAATTCCTTCGGTTGGGACGCCTCAGATCTTTAAACCTTTTGGTCGATTTAATCAGACCCATCAGGCTAATCACCACTGATTGCAGACTTTAATCCCATCTACAATTACCTTCCTAGATTAGTGGTGAGGTAACTGTGGGCGCTGGCCTAGCCAAGTTGGCACATAAAGCTGACCATCAGAGCTGGGGGCGTGGCTTATGGGGTAGAGCACCTGCCTAGCAAGCACAAGGCCTCGAGTTCAAATCCCAGTATTGCCAAAATAATAACAATTGACCATCAGAGTCAACTCTTTGTCAGTCTCGTACCTGACTTGGCCCCCAGGCTAGGTGGCCTAAAGGCGCGAAATGGGGAAGGGGCCTCAGAAAACTGAGGAGCAGGCCTGAGAGCAGGAGCAGGTATGAGGAGTGTTTAAGGAGAGGGGCGGGGCTGGGTGGAGCTCTGGAGGTGACCTGAGAAGTGTCCCTTGGTGGAGTAGGAAGGGAAGGGGTGTGGGAAGTGTGGTGTGGGACCTGTAAGGGGGGAGGGGTTGGACATGGGGTAGAGGTGGACTGTAAGTTGACATTAAGGACTGGGCCAGGGGACTGTGACTTTAGGGGTATAGTGCCTTTTTCTGGTGGATGGATTGTGAGAGAAAGGGCAGGTCCAGGTGGGGACTGGGTTCAGAGGTCAGAGCTTCTCAAGAAGAGAAGCTGGTGGTCCACATGTGTAATCCCAACATTTGGGAAGCAGGAGAATCATGAGTTCCAGGCCAGGCTGGACTGTTTAGTGAGATCTTGCCTCAAAATCAAAAACAAAAACAAAACAACCAAAAAAGGAAGGAGTGACAGGCCTAAGAGGGGTGCGGGGTGTGTCTCTGACCATCTTGCGCCCCCTGCAGGCTGCGGGCTGAACTACCACAAGCGCTGCGCCTTCAACATCCCCAACAACTGCAGCGGGGCCCGCAAGCGACGCCTGTCATCCACGTCTCTGGCCAGTGGCCACTCGGTGCGCCTGGGCAGCTCCGAGTCCCTGCCCTGCACGGCTGAAGAGTTGGTGAGGGGCTGGGAAATGGGGCCGGCTGGGTGCTGATGGGGTCAGGACGCAGGAGCAAGGCACTGATAACGTCCCTTCCACCCTTGCTGACCCGTAGAGCCGTAGCACCACCGACCTCCTGCCTCGCCGCCCGCCCTCGTCTTCTTCCTCCTCATCTTCTGCCTCATTCTACACCGGCCGCCCCATCGAGCTGGACAAGATGCTGCTCTCCAAGGTCAAGGTGCCGCACACCTTTCTCATCCACAGCTACACGCGGCCCACCGTTTGCCAGGCTTGCAAGAAACTTCTCAAGGGTCTTTTCCGCCAAGGTCTGCAGTGCAAAGGTTAGTGAGCCCCAGCTGGGAGGACAGAGCCCCAAGTCCCACCCCACACCCCGGAACTGGGGGGGACTGGAAACCTCAGTATTCTGACACTTAGAAGCATGGGGCTTCAGGAAGAGGGTGCTCACCTGCAATCCCAGCTACTAGGGAGGTGGAAATTGAGAGTATTGCAGTTCTAGGCCAGCCTGGACAAAAAGGTAGTGAGACCCCATCTCAACCAAAAAACTGGGCATGTGGTGCACTTTTGTCATTCCAGATACAGGGGAGGCATAAGTAGGAATATTCAGTGTCTGCCAGCCTGGGGAAAACCCAGGGAAACCAACCAAGGGTCAGGAGTGTGACTCAAGTGGTAGAGTGCCTGCCTAGCAAGCAAAAGGCCCTGAGCTCTTTAGTTTAAAACCCAGTATCTTAAAAAACGGGTTGGGGTGGGGCAACTGCTCTGAATCCTGGTATTCTAGAACTTTGGAAATGAAGATTCTTAAGACACTTAACCATAGAATTTCTACAGTACATAACCTGAGAGTTCTCTAGAATTAGAGAATCTAGAAACTCAAAAACTCTAGAATCAGGCCGGGCACAGTAGCTTATGTCTGTAATCCCATCTTCTCAGAAGGTGGAGATTAGGAGGATGATGTTTCAAAGTCAGCCTGGGCAAAACAACGTAAGCGAGAGCCCCATCTCAATAAAAAAAAAAAATCTAGAGATGGTGGCACATGCCTGTCTTCCTATCTACCTGGGAGACATAAGTAGGAGGGTCATAAACCAGGCTGGCCTGGGAAAAACACAAGATCCTGTCTCAAAAATAACATAAACAAAATGGCTGGGGGTGTGGCTCAAGTGGTAGAGCACCTGTCTAGCAAGTGTGAGGCCCTGAGTTCAAACCCCAGTGCCACAAAAAAAGAAGTAAAATTCTAAAAGCCTAGACATTCAGAGTCTTAAGTCTAAAATCATTAAAGTGTAGAATCGTAGATCTACAGAGTTCTAGAAATTTGGATATTAAACTCTGGAACCGTGTAAGCCTAGAATCAAAGAATCTTTTTAGGTCTGATGGAGTGGCTCAAATGGTAGAGCACCTGCCTAATAAGTGTGAAGCCCTGAGTTCAAGCCCCAGTGCTGACAGAAAAAAACACCATTAGGTTTTTAACAAACTCTAGAATCTGTAATATATAACACTCTAGAACCTGGATTCATCAAACTCTAGAGCAGTGGTTGTCAACCAGGGGCATTTTGCCCTCGGGACATTTGGCAGTGGTTGGAGACTTTGTCACACTGGGATGATGTCACTGTCACCTGGGGTAGGGGTCAAGGATGCTGCTGAACCTCCCAGATTGCACAGGACAGCCCCACCCCTCGAAAGGAATTCTTCAGACCAAAATGTAAATAGTGCCAAAGGTTGAGAAGCCCAGCCCTTGGTGCTCAGAGCCTAGAGTCATAGAACGTCAGAACGTGACACATTCTAGAATTTTCGGAGTCTACCTTAATGGGAAACCTACTTCTGTAGAACCTTGTATCAGTTTTGTTTTAGTTTTTAGTTTTTATTTTCACTGTTGCAAAACAAGGTCTGACTGTGTAGTTCAGGCTGGCCTGGAACTGGAGATCTTCCTGTCTCTGACTCTCAGGTGCTGGGATTACAGCTGTGCACCACCATGCCCAGTCTCATTGAGCTTTTGAGTCCCTCCCCTTAATCTAGTCTCCCCATAGTTGGAGAGACTGTGGCCCAGGGTGGGGGAACGATAAAGAAAGGGGAAGACCAGTTTTGTGACCCAGAAAGCAAGAGCAGACTTTTCTGTGGGTGCAGGGTCAGAGTTCAATCCTTTAAGCAATCTCTCTTCCTCCTCCTCATGCCCTTGTTCCCTGTCCTCCTACCAGACTGCAAGTTTAACTGTCATAAACGCTGTGCCACCCGTGTCCCTAATGACTGTCTGGGGGAGGCACTCATCAATGGAGGTGAGAAACTGGTGGGCCTGAGAGGGAAGGGGCAGGTGAGACCAGGTGGAGGCCCGTCTGATGCTCCTGTGTCCCCAGATGTGCCAATGGAGGAGGCCACAGATTTCAGCGAGGCTGACAAGAGCGCCCTCATGGACGAGTCTGATGACTCTGGTGTCATCCCAGGCTCCCACTCCGAGAATGCCCTCCACCCCAGCGAGGAGGAGGAAGGCGAGGGAGGCAAGGCACAGAGGTACCATGGGCCCCTCTGAGAGGCCCTTCCCTATAGCATGTCTCTACTTCTCCATCTCTGTAATGGGCTGATATTGTGCATATTCCCAGTTCCTGAGGCAAATATTTTAAAGCACCAAAATTTAAAATTCAATCTTTTTTTTTTTCCTGATGGATGTTTTTAAAAAGTTATAATAGGAGTCCAGGCATGGTGGTGCATGCCTGTAATCCCAGAACTCAGGAGGCTCATTCTTTATCTTTCAGCTGCCCAGCTCCTCTTCCTGGAGGACACCATGGGGTCAGTTTCTTGTGGATTCCTCCAGAAACACTCTAAACAGCTAGGATATAGCTCAGTAGTAGAGTGCTTGCCTAGCATGTACAAGGCCCTGGGTTCTTTTTCTTTTTTTTTTTTTAGTGTCACTGGGGCTTGAACTCAGGGCCTCACACTTGCTAGGCAGGCACTTGAACCAGTCTGCCAGCCCTGTTTTGTGTTGGATATTTTTGAGATAGGGTTTTGTGAACTATTTGCCTGGGGCAGGCTTCAAAGCACCATCCTCCTGCAGTTCAGTAGCTAGGATTACAGGCGCCAGCCACCAGCACCCTGGGTTCTTTAAAGAAAAAAAAAAAAGGAGCTGGTGGAGTAGCTCAAGTGGTAGAGCAACTGCCTAACAAACGTGAGGCCCTGCATTCAAACCCCAGTACTACAAAAACAAAACAACAACAACAAAACAGAAGAAAAAAAAAAAGTAAGAACTCTGGAACCAGGCTGCTGTGTGGCCTAAATTAAGAGATTAACCTCTCTTGGCCTCTGTTTCTTCAATGAAATGTGGAAAAAGGATATAAAATGGCATTGTAGGGCTGATGGTGAAGCTCAGTGGTAGATCATGTGCCTCGAGATCCTCCTGCCTCAGCCTCGGGAGTGCTGGGATTACAGGCATGTGCCCCCATGCCTAACTTCGTACATAATTTTTTTTTTAAAAAGCGTGGAGTCCATTGATTAAATTAGAGCCTCCCTTACAGGGTCATTTTCCTCATTTCTAGGTTGAAAAATTGAAGCTTGGGGGCTTCAGCCAATGATTGCTAAGGGAGGAGCAGCATAAACAAGGGGAATGTGGATGGGCCACCTACAGGTGCCTTAGTAGCTATTTAATGAGGCCCTGCTGGGTCCTGACTTCAGGCACCCAGCTGTGACTGAACAGATAGACCTTTGCCCTCCTGGGCTGGGAGACAGCTAACAAACACACCTGAGCACTGGGTATCAGAGACTGCTATGCAGAGAAATAAAGGCATGATGGGCTGGAGATGTGGCTAGGTACAGAGCCTGCCCAGCAGGCTCAAGGCCCTGGGTTCAACCTAGGGAGGAGGGAGGAGTATGGGGGCTTGAGATGGGAGTGGAGGTGGTGGGGGAAGCAGTTTTTTTTCACAGAGGAGGAAACTGGGCCTCAGAGAAACAAAGGGAAGAGGCCAAGGCCATGGGTTCTGGAACTGTGAAGTCAGGTCATCTTTCTAGCCCTTCCCCTCCTCACTATAATAATGGCGGCTCCCCATAATCACTGGGCTAAATACTAAGTACATTTAGTAGTGGGGTTCATCCTCTTGTGCCAGGCACTGTGCCAAGTTCCCTAGAAAGCTTTACACGCCTCACAACAGCCCTTTTGGGTGGAGAGACTGAGGCTTGAAGAGGTAGAGCTGCTGGGATGGAACCCAGGGCCTCCTGCATGCTAAGCAAGTGCTCTACCTCTGAGGCACACCCCAGCCTCGAACTGGCCTTGAACTCGTGATCCTCCGCCTCATTTCCAGTGTTGGGATTATAGGCGTAGGCCACTCGCGGAGCTGCATCCAGCCTCTTAACCTGGCCTTTTTAAGAATCTCCTTCCCCACTATGGGAAATTAGAAGGTGGCAGCCCCTTGCCACTCCCTAACTGCCCCTTTGTGGCTCCAGGCACCGCATAAATTTCTTCATGTGACACGTGACGTCTCACCCCTTCCTCTGTCACCTGCAGCTCTTTGGGGTACATCCCTCTGATGAGGGTGGTGCAGTCTGTGCGACACACGACGCGGAAATCCAGCACCACGCTGCGCGAGGGTTGGGTGGTTCATTACAGCAACAAGGACACTCTGGTGAGTGGGCGGGGCCAGCGCTAGGGGAGGGCTGAATAGCCGGGGTGGGCGGGGCAGTGGGCGGAGCTAGACTTAGGGGCGGGGCCAAGTAGGCTGAGTAGTGGGGATCTGGGTGCAGGTGTGGGCTGCAAGGGTGGACAAGGAGCCGGGCGGGGCTCAGGGCAAGGTGAGGGAGGGGCGAGACCATGGAGAGAAGCAGGAGTTAGGGGACTGAAGCTACAGTGGACGGGGTCAGGTAGTGCCGGGCCACGTCCAGATTAATAAACTATACTGAAAGATTCTTAGGTAAGAATCTAAGGCGGGTAGGGGGGGATTGCAGTTGCAGTGGGGGGGCTGGGTCTGCACAGCAGGAGACAAATGTGCAGCTGGGTTCCAGCGGTGAGAGGGCAGAGTAGGGCCAGGCTGGAGGTTGACCTAAAGTTAGAGAGAGGGGTTCTGGGCGGGAGGAATCAGAGCTAGGAGGGGCGGGGTTCCTCTAAGAAGGGACCCAGTGTGGCTGAGGCTGGTTTTAGGGATGGGGGTGGGGGGCGCGGCACGATGGAGGGGGCTCTAGAATAATCTGAGGGGTGGATCAGAGGGATGGAAGAGGACCCGGCAGGACAGAAAGTGAAGCAGGACTAAGGGCAAGGGCAGGGTGGGCGGGGCTAGAGCTAGGGGGGAGCTTGGCTGCAGGACCTGACAGCCTCCCATCCTTCTGTCCCATCAGAGAAAGCGGCACTATTGGCGCCTGGACTGCAAGTGCATCACGCTGTTCCAGAACAACACGACCAATAGATACTACAAGGTGGGCCTCCGCCCCCAGCTTCCCTGCTCCTCCTTGCCCACCTCCTTCCCCTCTCCTGCTCAATCCTGAGAATCACCTCCTCTCCCTACATCTAGCCTCCCCCTCCCAACCATCAGCCGTGGTCACCCATTTGATTGTGGCCCTACAGATCTCCAGCTGGGGGATCTAGGGCAGGTTCTTTATCCTCTCTGTGCCTCACATTTCTCACCTATAAAACGGCTCAAATAATAGTACTTACCTCAGGGCTGATGCAAGAATGCGAAGAGAAAATCCACAGGAAGCAATCACCTTAGGGCCTAACACGTGGGAAGCTCCCAGTAACAACCAACCTGCCAGTTAGGTTCAAATTAATTTACTGCATTTTTGTTTGCATTCATCACAGCCTCCTATCCGGCACTGTGTTCCAGCCACTGTCTTTGCCTGGCTGGTTGCGGTAGTCTCTGAAGTGGGTCTTTGCTTCTGCCTGGTAATCACAGTCTTTCCCATGGGGCAGCCTGAGGAGTCTTAATTAAAACTGTCAAAACCTCCAAAGGCTCCCGTTTATACAATAAAGACAGACCAGGCTCCCTGTGGGTACCTGCCTTTGAGTAGTTTCCCTGGACTGCTGCTTTCTCCTCCTCCCACATCTGTCTCAACATCTGGCTTATTGCCTACCTTGGTCTTTCTTTCCTCTCTTCTTCCATTCTCTCTCTCTCTCTCTCTTATATTTGTGTGTTTGAGACAGGAGCTTGCTATGTAGCCCAGGCTATCTTCGAATTTGTGATCCTCCTACCTCTGCTTTACAAATAGCTGGGATTACAGGCATGCACCATGTTCTCTTTGTCTATCGATGTTTTTCCCAGCCCATGGTCCCCACATCTTTTCTCCCACCAAGCCTCCTTCCTGGACTCCTATCTTGATTTCAGCCTACCTCCAATACCCTTCACTCAGCCACAGGGTGCCCTTCCTCTGCTCAAAGCCCTTCAGTGGCTCCCTAGGGCCCTTGGACAAAGTCCAGGCTTCTCCCTGTGGCCCACAAGGCCCTGCCTGGCCTCATTTCTTTCATTTACTCATCAAACATTTATCAAACACCTACAGTGTGCCAGGCACTGTCCCATCTGATGGTGATATGGCACACCCTTTTAGCACAGCAAGCGTGCCTCCAGGTCTTGGTGCGTGCTGTTCCTTCCGCCCCTTGCTAGCTGGCCTCTTCTTATTTTTTTTTTTTCCTTTTTTAGTGAGACTGGGGTTTGAACTCAGGGCTTCGCACTTGCAAGGCAGGTGCTCTCCTGCTTGAGCCACACCTCCAGTCCGTTTTGTCTGGTTATTTTGGAGATGGGGGCTCCTGAACTATTTGCCTGGGCTGACCTGGAACCTCGATCCTCTGGATCTCAGCTTCCCAAGTAGCTGGGATTACAGGCATGACCTGACTTCTTCAGAGCTTTTGAGTCTGTACTTCAGCATCACTTTTGCCTGGAGGTCTTTCCTGACCACTCCATGCAAACCAAGCCTGTGCTCATTGACACTGGCTCCTGGGTGCCCCCCTGAGGAAGAACAGGAGACTCAGGGTCAGCCTGGCATCCTCACCACGCTGGTTCTGTGCCCTGCCAGGAAATCCCACTGTCTGAAATCCTTACAGTGGAGCCCGCCCAGAATTTCAGCCTTGTGCCACCAGGCACCAACCCGCACTGCTTCGAGATCATCACAGCCAGTACTACCTACTTTGTGGGCGAGACACCTGGCGATGCCCCGGGTGGGCCAAGTGGGCAGGGGGCCGAGGCCGCCCGGGGCTGGGAGACAGCCATCCGGCAAGCTCTGATGCCAGTCATCCTCCAGGATGCACCCAGCGCCCCTGGCCATGCACCCCACAGTGAGTCCTGCTCTGGGCCCCTGAGAGGTGGGTCTGGAGGGGCTTGGGCAGGATCTCAAGAGAAAGAAGAGCCTGGAAGGAAGATGGGCGGTGGCAGGGTTGGGGAGTTGGCTTCTGTATTCAGCAGGCCTGGGTTCAAGTCTCTCTTAAGCCCCTCCTGATCTGATGTGTGGCCTTGGGGACATTACTTCCCCTCTCTGAGCCCATCTCAGGTGGCGATGGTTCTTCATTTATTTACTGAATGCATCTCTGTGCCAGACAGTGGTGACCCAGCATGGGCACGTAGAACCCAGAGGGGCTGCCTAACCCAGTGTGGGTGTCCAGGAGGACTTCCTGGAGGAGAAACGATTACCTTGAGAGCTGGAGGCTCAGCAGGGGTTCAGTGGGGGAAAAGCAGAGGGGAATGACTTGAGGTGAACCAAAGAATGACCAGAGTGCACCAGGTTCCCCCCCACCCCCACCCCAAACTCCAACTCATGGTGACAGATAGCAGTCACCATCCCATACAAACAAATGTGATGCAGAACATCTGCTAGAGTGATCAAACACCACCCCTGGAGTGATATTGGAGATGAGACTGAAGCTAAGTCCAGAATGTGGGAGACAGCATGGGCAAAGGCCAGGAGGTAGGAGAGAGATTTCCGTATTTAAGGTCCAGCAAGTATGTTGTGAACGCACAACTTGGTAGAGGGTAAATGAGAGGGTAGACCAAGCTTGTAGGCCACTAAAGGGCCTGGGCTTCTCTGAGGGCTCTCAGGAGCCATAGCAGGTTGTGAACAGGTTGCACTCTAGCAAGAGTTCGGGCTACCCTTTGGGTGGAGAAGGTTTGACCAGAAAGGGCCAGGATTGAGCCAGGTATGGTGGTGCACATCTGTAATCCCAGCACTTGAGAAGCAGGGGTAGGAACATCACCAGTTTGAGGTCTGGGTGTGGCTATATAATGAGACTGTAGCTCAAAACACCTTAAAAGAAAGCAGGGGAGGCGGGATTAGGGGACAGAGGAAGGTAGTGTCCTGGGGGGTAGTCAGCAGCAGTCTAGAGTGGGCTGTGAGGAGGTGGAGGAAAAGAGGCTTTCAAATGGTACAAGAATCAGGACTTGAGGAATGTCTGACTGTGGTTGGGTTTGGCCCAGGGCAAGTTCAAGGGGAGTTGCTAGAATTAGTTTTGCCTTCTCCGAGCCTCAGTTTCCTTCTCTGTAAAGTGGGCTCGGTAGACCACCTTCCCTCAGTGCTGAAATCACAGATACAGAATAAGATGCTCAGTTATCATTGTGGCGTTGGTTCTTGAGCCCCTCGGTACGCCATTTGCTCCTCTCAGTGGCCCTTTTGTCATTTCCATTTTGTTTGAGGAAAGCAAGGTTGTAACGGACAAGCCACTTTCCTGTGCAAAGTTGTACATGTGTATCACTTGGTTCCTGTCTGGGTGGTCTGGTTCTGGAGGCAGCCTTTGCAGGTGTGGGTGAAATCATCCCGAGCCTGGGGTCTCCTCACTTCTGTCTCTCTCCTCACCCCAGGGCAAGCTTCTTTGAGCATCTCTGTGTCCAACAGTCAGATCCAAGAGAATGTGGTAAGCTCGTGCCCACACCTCCCGTATCACTTCCCCAGTCTCCTGTCTCCTTGACCCTCCATCTTCATTTGGACCCCTAACCCTCCTGTCCTCACCCTGCAGGACATTGCCACTGTGTACCAGATCTTCCCAGATGAGGTGTTGGGCTCAGGACAGTTTGGAGTGGTCTATGGAGGTAAGGATGCCCTAAGCGGACCCAGAGGCTGGGTGGAGCCTTGGTGGTGCCACACCTCCCTTTCTGATTGGCCACAATCAGAGCTTGCCTCCTTTGATTGGCTTAAGCTAGATCGTGGCTACAGGTGGTTGGTTGCAGGCTCTTCTTTTTTCATTGGGAAAACCAATGAGATCAGGGGGCTTTCCCTCTGTTTTTACTAATGTAACTTCTGCATTCTGATTGGCCACAGCGCTATAGCTTGGCTTCTGATTGGATATAAATCAAATTTCCTGGGCTGGGGGTGTGGCTCAAGTGGCAGAGTGCCTACTTTGCAAACATGAAGCCTTGAGTTCAAACCCCAGTCCCACCAAAACAAAAACAAAGAAAAAAAACCCCAGTACCGCAAAAAAATAAATAAATCTAATTTCCCACATTATCTAGTTCCCTCTTCAAAACTCCGTCTTCTCCCTTTCTGTGTTCCACTTTGACGCCCACCTCCTCCATCCCACCCCTCACATATTGGGAGACCTCACAGAACCACCTTGAGGGACTTCTGGCACTTTTGCTCCTTGTGGGGGTGGGTAGGCAACAGAGGCAAGGCTCCTCAGGCTAGCATTGCGAGGTCTTCCTCCCTCATCCCTTACCTTTCCTACCTCCGCCCCAGGAAAACACCGGAAGACAGGCAGGGATGTAGCAGTAAAAGTCATTGACAAACTGCGGTTCCCCACCAAGCAGGAGAGCCAACTCCGGAATGAAGTGGCCATTCTTCAGGTGACCACTGGGTAGGGACCTGGGCAGGGGAATTGGGTTTAGGTCAGTACAGGCCTGGAGGAAGGGGGTGGGGGACACAGATTTAAAAGGTACAGACATACAGAAATAAAAAGACAATAAACAAAAACCACCGGGCGAGGTGGTGCACGTCTGTAATCCGAGGTAGGCAGGAAATGGACGTAGGAGGATCTCCTCCCACGCTACCTGGGGAAAAATCACCAGACCCTATCTGAAAAATAACTAAAGCAAAAAGGGCTGGGGGCGGGGCTCAAGTGGTAGAGCATCAGCCTAGCAAGCACAAGGCCCTGAGTTCAAACCCCAGTTCAGCCAAAGCCGCAACCAAGCAAAATTCCTTTCTGTTTCCCCACCTCCCTCCTCCAGCCCCCTGCCTCCAGGGACCTTCCCTTAAATTCATCTTGCTTCTGTCCACCTGGCAGGTGGGGGTGGGGCATCTTGTCTTGGCCTGTGGAAGTCCCCTGTAGTCCCCCAATGCCAGCCCAAGGGAACATTCATCTTTGTGGGCCTCATGTTCCCATGCTGATCCTCTGGGGTTTGGGTTCATGGGTGACCTGGGCCCTAACCCCTTTTGCTTCCATCCCCGCCCCCCCCCCCCAGAGTCTGCGGCACCCCGGGATCGTGAACCTGGAGTGCATGTTCGAGACGCCCGAGAAGGTGTTTGTGGTGATGGAGAAGCTGCACGGGGACATGCTGGAGATGATCCTGTCCAGCGAGAAGGGCCGGCTGCCCGAGCGCCTCACCAAATTCCTCATCACGCAGGTGCGCGCCCCCTAGGGGAGGCCCTGGGCGCCTGCACGCCAGGCGGTGGGAGCCGGACAGCTGAGAACAGAAAAAGAATGGTAGAACAGTAGTGAGACATTCTAAGTATTCTAAAACTAAACAGAGTAATAAATAATAATACTAGAAAAATATTAGACTAAGAACTGGCATTATTATTAAAAGATGAAGAGACAGGCTCCCCGGGCCTCACTTTACTCACCTAGAAAATAAGGGTGGAAATGCCTAATGCTGGTGGCTCACGCCTGTAATCCAAGCTACTTGGGAGGCTGGGATCGAGAGGATTAAGGTTTGAGGCCAGCCCGGGCAAATAACCCCCCTCCAAATAACCAGAGCAAAATGGACTGGAGGCGCGGCTCAAGTGGTAGAGCGCTGCCTTGCAAGTGCAAAGTCCTGAGTTCAAACTCCAGCCCCACAAAAAGAAAAAAAAGGGAGGTAAAGAGGCATTTTTTTTCCTCTGTGTTTTATTCACTCCTTTTAGAAATTCTTCAACAAACACTCCCTGAACTCCTGCCCCATGCCTGGTCCCATGCTGGGCAGAGTTGGGAACACAGAGTGATCAAGATCCCCCCAGCCCTAGAAAGCGTCTCCCAGAGTGACAGGGCTGGCACAGGCGAGGGTGGTTGTGGCGATAAGCGGCGTTTATCGAGCTTGCCTGCCAGGCACTCTTCAAGCCCGTCTAACTTCCATAGTGAAGGGTTCGGAGGTACTGCTGATCTCGTGATTCCCCTTCAGTAGTTGAAAACAACCGAGGCTCAGAGACCTCAGGTAATATTCCCGGTGTTACCCAGCTAGAGGATTTGAACCTAGGACCTGTGCTTTTAACTAGTAGTGTCAAAGTAATTTGCTTGATATTCAAACAGATTGTGTGTGTTTTTTTTTTTTTTTTTTTTTGAGAAGGTGGTGAGACTGGAGTTTGAACTCAGGGTTTCACGCTTGCAAAGCAGGTGCTCTACTGCTTGAGCCACCCATGGCTCTGGTAATTTTGGAGATGGAGGTCTCACAAACAATTTGCTGGACAGACCTCGCACTATGATCCTCCCAATTTCAGCCTCCCCAGGAAGCTAGGATGACAGGCATGAGCCTCTGTCATCTGTGCATGTTTTATTTATTTATTTGATTTATTTTGCAGAGAGGGGGAGCAGTACTGGGGTTTGAACTCAGGGCCTCACCCTTGCTAGGCAGGAGCTTTTACCTCTAGAGCCACTCCACCAGCTTTGTGTGTGTGTTTTAACTTGTCATCATACGTGTCATTGTTCGCTGTTCGCCCTTCACTACCTTCACTCTTACCAAGAGTTGAATGTGCAGTGATGTCTTACACCAAAGTCCCTGACTGCTGAGCACGTAGGTTCCTCCCACTTCTGCACGGCTGCAAAGCACATTCGGGGAACATCTATCCACAAATGCCACTGGGCTCTGGTGGGGATTGCAATGAACACGTTTCAAATACTAGATGTCTTTGAATCTGGGTGCATGTGTTTTGAATTTTTTTTTTTTTTTGTCTTTTTCTTTTTTGGTGCTGAGATCGAACCCAGGGCCTCGAGAATGCTAGGCAAGCGCTGTACCACTGAGCTACATCCCAGCCCCGTGTTTTGAAATTTTTAAAAGATGTTCAGTTATTCTCTAAAACCTTTTGCAGTCTCTCCTCCCACCGACAGAATAACAATGCCTATTTTCTTAGTTTTTATCAATACTGGATAAAAATCATTGCTAGCTTTTGTTTTCTTTTTGTGATACTGGGATTTGAACTCAGGGCCTACACCTTAAACCACTCCACCAGCCCTTTTTTGTGATGGGTATTTTCGAGATAGGGATTTATGAACTATTTTCCTGGGCTGGCTTCAAACCACAATCCTCCTGATCTCTGCCTCCTGAGTAGTTAGGATGACAGGCACTTTTTTTTTGACAGTTCTCACTTTTTTGTTTGTTTGCTCTGAGACAGGGTGTCCCTGTGTAGCCCAGGCACTCTACCACTTGAGCTACCTTATTGAGTTGTAAGAGCTGTTTATATATAGGGGACTTTAGATCTTGGTCACTTTTTCTTCTTGATTCTTTTATCCCAGGATTGGCCTCTTTATTTTGCTTATGGTTTCTATTTGCCATCACGAGTTTTAAATTTTAGTGTAAAATGTTCCCTGCTGTGCTTTGTGGGTTTCACCCCTTTCTGGGAAGGCCCGCCCACCTTGTTCTACCACATCTTCTCTGTTGGTTGCAAAGTGTCCTGTGCTGCGCTTCCTTAATCCTGCCCTGTACCCTCACTGTCAGGTCAGTGTTTATCAGGCCGGCCTGTGGGTGGGGACAGAGACCCCGTGAATTGGGGAGAGGGATCAGACTGCCAGTTTCTCTTTCTGGCCTTCCATGTCTTCCTCTCTTTTTGCCTGTTTTCTCTTCTTTCTCTCTGCAGATTTTACCCTCTGGCTCTTAACCTGCTCTGCCTTAAGTTTTGTGTCCACTCCTTTATCTCATGAGTTTATTTAAGCCTCACCACCACTACCTTTGAGGTAGGTATTATCAACTCTACTTTAGAGATGAAGAAACTGAGGTTCATGGAGGTTCCAGTCTCACTCACGGACACATACCTGGGTAGCTGCCTGGCCAGGCTTTAAACCTGGATCTCTCTAGCTTTCAATCTGCTCTCTTTGTTCCCTATGTTAACTGGAAGAAAATCAAATCAATTACCAGAAAATCTGGAGGTGACAAATGAATACCTCTTCCCACCTCAGTCTCGGTGGGGGAAAGTGAGTCTGTAGAATGAGGAGGTTGGATCACAAGGCCAGCTTTCAAATAATATTTCCAACCTTGAAAGTCATCTAGCAAAGGTTGGGTATGGGGGTGCATGCCTGTAATCCCAGCATTTGGAATCATGGGTTCTAGGCCAACCTGGGCAACATGGTGAGACCATCTCCAACAAATAAAAAATAAATTCACGTAGCAAGATAGGATGGCATAGATTACAGCAGTACACTTACAGCCAAGGAAAGTCACAGTGCCTACAGATGAGTGGTTACAAATGGTATCAGATTACTGTTTGTGTGGTTTTGTGGTGCTGGGGATGAATGCTTGGCAACTACTTTACCACTTGAGCCCTTTTGTTTGTGTTCTTTTTGAGGCAGAACCTCACACTGCCTTTGTCTAGGCTGATCTCAAACTTGTGATTCTCCTGCTTCTGCCTTCCAAGTGCTGGGATTACAGGCATGCTGCACCACGCTCAGCTTTATTACAGACTTTTAACGGATTAAAAACTTAAAAACAAATTGAGCACGAACAGAACCTTCTTGAAAGCCCCTGCTCTATTAACACCTCTGAAGGGTTTACCACCCACCAGAGGGTCTTAGATTTTTCCCAAGCCCTCCATGCAAGCCCAGCCTTTCTAGAATTCTGCGTCCAACTCTTAGCTCTTGGGCATCAGTGGCTGTGGCTTCTGAAATTCCTCAGGGTTCCCAAGGCCTCCTCTGACCCAGGGGGCATCCTTAGGGGTATAGAGAAAGGCGTGGATTGGTTTTGGTGTGTTGACGGACTGCGGGTGGACATGGGGCCCAGTCCTTTCTGTCTTTCTCACTGGCCCCATCTCCTTTTCCTCAGATCTTGGTGGCTTTGAGACACCTTCACTTCAAGAACATCGTGCACTGTGACTTGAAACCAGAAAATGTATTGCTGGCATCAGCAGACCCGTTTCCCCAGGTCAGTTATGTCCTCTCCTGGTATAGGGAAGTCCAGCCAACATTGGTGGCTGCTGTGTGATCTGGATGATCTTGACACCCCAGGTGACAATGACTTCATGACACAAGCTGTATGTCCCCCCTGCAGAGTTTGGTATAAGCATTCTGGGGCTGAAAAAGCAGTTGCATAGTGTTGGAGACTGGTTTCTTGCTGTATTGTTGCCTGTCTGTGGCAGTGCTGCTGGCTGTCATGGTCCATGGTGGCTTCACCACTTCTATGTTGCAGCCAGGAAAAAAAGAGAAAAGGTAGAAGAAATGGATGTACCCTTCTCCTTCACTAATGGGGTACTTGAGAGTGGCAAGCCTCACTTCTCACATCCCACTGGTTACAACTTGATCACATGGTTCTCACTGGCTGCTAAGGAGGCTGGGAAATGTAGTCTTTATTCTGGGTGGCCATGTGGCCCATCAAATTCAGGATTTAACGAAGGGAGAAGCAGAGGACCAATGTTAGGGGGCAGCTCGTGGGCCTTATGGGGAAACGCGCATGGCCAGATGTATGAACTCACACAACCAGAAGTTGTATAGCCTGTTGGAAAGTCAGAGAAACCTCTCTGAAGAAGCAGTAGCAGTTAGGTATTGTTTTCCTTGGGTGGGAGTAGTGGTGACAAGAGAACAGCCTGTGCAAAGGCCCTGTGGGGGAAGAGCTGTACTTTCAAACAGGTTTATCGTCGTATAATTCACAAACTATACAATTTACCCATCTTGTGTATTCGATTCGAATTGCTCAGTAGCATGTGTTTAGTATACACGAGGCCTAGTTGTGATTGCTAGAACCAAAAAAAAAAGTTTTGTGTGTGTTACTGGGGATCGAACTTTGAACTCAGGGCCTCTCAGTCACTAGGCAAGTGCTCTACCACTTGAGCAACGCCCCCAGTTCTTTTGCCTTTTTTTTTTTTTTTTATCTAGTTTGTTTTTCAGACAGGGTCTTACGCTTTCCCCCCAGCTAACCTGGAATTGTGATCCTCCTACCCCCACCTCCCAAGTAGCTGGGACCACAGGTGTGCTTACCATGCCAGCAAATTTAGAATTTGGTTTTTTTGGTGGTGATTTGGGTTGAGCTCAGGGCTTTGCACTTGCTGGGCAGGTGCTTTGCACTTGAGCCACTTGGCCAGTACTTTTACATTGGTTATTTTATGTATTTAGTTAGTTAGTTTGGTGGGACTGGGGTTTGAACACAGGGCTTCTTGCTCACAAAACAGGTGCTCTGCTGCTTGAGCCACACTCCCAGTCCAAGTTGGTTGTTTTTGAGATAATGGCCTCCCATGATGCTGTGCAGCTCTCGACCTCAAGCCTCCTTTTTGTGCTTCTCCTGGTACCTGGGGATGAAAGGCACTTGTCGCCGTGTGCAGCTTATTAGAGTATTTTTATCACTCCAAAAGAAACGTCATTAAGAGCACCTGCTTTGCAAGCATGAGGACCTGAGTTCAAATCCCAGTACTGCCAAAAAAAAAAAAAAGATACAACTTCATTTATGGGGTGCCAGTGGCTCCCACCTGTAATCCTAGCTACTTAGGAAGCAGAGATCAGGAGGATCTCTGCAAATAGTTCATGAGACCCTATCCCAAAACAACCCATCACAAAAAAGGGCTGGTGGAGTCGCTCAAGTTGTAGGCTCTGAGTTTAAGTCCCAGTACCAAAAAAAAAGAAACCTTATGTCCCTTAGCCATCCTCCTCTGGTCTCAACCCTCCCACACACAGACATGTACCCACAACACACTAATCGTCTCTGAGGAGCTCCCTGTTCTAGAATTATGCGAGACTGTGACCTGTGGTCTTTTGTGACTGGCATCTTTTACTTAACATAAGCGTTTAAGGTTCCTCCAAGTTATAGCACGTAGCATACTTCATTTCTTCTTATTGCAGCACTGGGATTTGAACTCAGGACCTCACACTTGCTGGGTAGGCACTCTACCACTTGAACCACTTCACTGGCCCGGTAGTACTGCATTTCTTTTATTGCCAGATAATACTTCATTGTAAGATCTGTAGAAAAGGCTGGGTCTTACACAAAGAAAGGATCAGTCTAGGGACGTGACTCAAGTGGTAGAGAGCCTGCCTAGCAAGCACAAAGCCCTGAGTTCAAACCCCAGTACCACAAAAAAAAAAAAAGACTAAGAAAGAAAAGATCCATAAATCTTTAGAAAAGGAAAAGGAAAGGCTGATGCATTGCTCAAATGACAACACACCTACCTAGCAATGCAAGGACCTGAGTTCAAACCCCAGTACAGCCAAAAAAAAAAAAAAAGTAGAAAAAGACCTGAGTTCAGGTAGTATGGCTGTCACAAGGAGCAGCAGTGCAGGGGCTAGGGTGTGGGCTCATTGTGAAAGTGGTGGGAGACTTCAGGCCTCAAGGATGTGATATGGGTCTGTCATCAAAGCAACAGTGAACTGGGGAAGCCTTTCAGCAGCGAAGGGACCAGAGGTGGCAGCAAGGTTCAGCCTGGCAGGCAGCAGAGCAAGATTTTGAACCCAGCCCAGGTCTTACAGGTTCCAAAGCCTGACCATGACCTGAGGCTGCTGCTATTAACCCAGAGAAAGGCACACCCTGTGATGGTCTGTGGGATACAGTGGGTGGCACTTCACATGCCTGGTCCTCTTTAATCCCCAGAGTCCAGAGGAGGCTGTTAGGACATCCCCAGTGTGGACAACAAACCCAGGCCTGGAGGAGTTAGGGCATTCCCGGAGATCGTGGAGGCCCATTCTGTGCTAGACACTGCTTCTAAAGTGTTCCCTCTTGCTCCATACTCAGCCTCTGTGGCTCAGATGGTAGACTGCCTTCCTAGCAAGTGCAAGGCCCTGGTTCAAATTCCAGTACCACCAGAAAAAGAAAAACCTCAGCGGGTGCTGTGGCTCATGCCCATAATCCTAGTTACTCAGGAGGCAGAGATCAGGAAGATCGCAGTTCTAACCCAGTCCAGGCAAATACTGCATGACACCCTATCTCAAAAAGAAAACCATCACAAAAAAGGGCTGGTGGAGCGGCTCAAGGTGTAGGCCCTGAGTCCAAACCTCAGTATTGAAAAAAAAAAAAAAAAAACCTCCATGGTGCAGAAAAGGACATAAAGGCATGAGAAGGCTAGGAGACAAAACAGATCTGCAAAGAGCATTTATTGAGCACTTACTGCAAGCTGGTCCTTGTCCTGTTACTGTTAGGTGGACTAACCCATGGAATCCCCATGACAGCCCTTTGAGATGGGCACTGTGGCGGTGGGGTGAGGACACACTGGTGCAGGTGTGCTTCGTCACCCCTCACACCCTCCACCTCCCCCCCTCGGCAGGTGAAGCTGTGTGACTTCGGCTTTGCACGCATCATTGGTGAGAAGTCCTTTCGGCGCTCAGTGGTGGGCACGCCCGCCTACCTGGCGCCCGAGGTGCTGCTCAACCAGGGCTATAACCGCTCGCTGGACATGTGGTCGGTGGGTGTGATCATGTATGTTAGCCTCAGTGGTACGTTCCCCTTCAACGAGGACGAGGACATCAACGACCAGATCCAGAATGCCGCCTTCATGTACCCGGCCAGCCCCTGGAGCCATATCTCTGCTGGTGGTGAGCAGCTGTGGACAGCCGGGGGGAGGGGGGGGGGCTTAAGTGGGTGGAACCCAGTGGAGGGAGGGGGCAGTGGAGGCTGGGCAGGGCTATAAGGGGTGGAGTGCAGCGAGGGGCGGAGCTGGTGGGGGTGGGTGCAAGCATGGGAGGGGCTTTAAGGGTAGGGAGTATTGAGGGGCGGGGCCTGTGGAGGCATGGTGAAGGCATGGGCGTGGCTGTAAGAGGGTGGGACCCAGTGAGGGGCGGAGTTGGGAGGGTGGGTGGGGCCACACGAGGGTGGACCCTGCAACTGTAGGTGCCTTGAAGGTGGAGCCTAGTGAGGGGGCGTAGCCATGGGAGGGGTGGTCCTATAAATGGTGGGTCAGATGCCCCAGCTTGTATAGACCCAGGGACCTGGAGTCAGGCTTAGACTAGTTATGTGGGCTGGGAATGAAGTGGCACAGAAATGTCCAGACAAGACACCTGGAGCTTTGCTGAGATTTGGCCTGTCTAGGGTAGGACCCTGAGAGCAACTGGACCTGAGCAAGCCAAAAGACTAGGGTGGCCTAGACCAGCCTCAGATTCTCTCAAAGGGAGAATGGGGCCATGGATGGAGTAGACATGGGCCTAGAGCTAGGGGCAGTTTCCAGTGACAGAGGCGTTCAGGCTAGGGGCGTGGCCATGGAGGGTGTCCGAAGAGGCCCTGGAAAACGACAAATCCTGAGATCTGGAACCTGGATGAGGGTAGGAGGAGAAGGGAGCCAGGAGTGAAGCAGACACTGGGATTATTGTACCAGAGGCTTTGGTATCATGGCCAAATAGTCACTCTGGGTTTCATGACTTGAGTCTGTTGCCTTGAGGATCGGCCTAGAAAACTTAAGTTCTTTGAGTCCAGGTGTGGGAATGGACAGTTAGAGAATCAGAGAAAGGGACAGGATTGAAATACGTGTGTGTGTCAAGAAGCCCTAATAGGACAGAGATAGGGAGGATCACTGTTTGAGGCCACCTGTGCAAAAAGATTAGCGAGACCCCCATCTCAGTCAGTACACTGGGGGTGTGGTGGCATGTGCTTGTGGCCCCAGCTACTCGGGAGGGTCGAGATAGGAGGAATGGTGGTCAGAGGCCAGCCCCAGAAAAAACTTGAGAACCTATCTGAAAAATAACTGAAGCAAAACAGGGGTGGGGTGTAAAGCCCATTTGTTCAAACCCCATGCTGCCAAAAAAGAAAGGGGAAGAGGCCCTAAGGGAAGCTGGCTGTGGTGGAGCACATCTGTAATCCTAACACTCAGGAGGCGGAGGCAGGAAGATCAAGGGTTCTAGGCTGCATAGTGAGACCTTGTCTAAAAAGAGGAAAAAAAAAAAAAAAAAACCACAAGGACAAGGTGGCGGGAACTCGGGGACAGATGGACAATGGGGATCTAAGGAAACAATCAGTTATTTATTTAGACCTTGTGCCTTGCATGAACTGCCCTAGTTCTGGGAATGCTGTGACGAGCTGGATGGAGGGAGCGTGTGGGCAGAAGCTCGTGGAGTGGTCTGTGGAGTGTGGGAGGGGCAGGGTTCTGAGGGCCGTGGCCTCATGGAGCAGGTACAGGGTGGGTGGTGTGGCTCTTATTGCAGGGAAAGGTCTGGGTGGGGATCTTGGCCTAAGAGATGAGCACTATGTAATGAGAATGTGGTGGACTCAAGTCCTGGGGCGATATTGGGGCTCCTTGGGCTTGTCTTTTGGGACCCATCACAAGTCAGTGAAAGTGCACTGAGTGTGAACTTGAGTGTAGGTGGATGTGGGGAAGAGCCTATGGTGTTGACTGGGACCTGTCCCAGGCCTACTTACACCATTGGCCCTGTGCATTTAAGAATCCAAATACAGAGGGACAAAAGGTCGTATCTGTGTTGAACAGCTGTTTTTTTTTTTAATTATTCTCTGAAAAAGACAGCAAAGCAACAATTGACATGGCATTCGCACTATTAATATTACAAGCCATCTGAAGAAGATCTAAAGTATATTGGAGAATGTGTGTAGGCTATAGGCAAAAACTCTACCATTTCGTATAGAATTTTAAGGATCCTTGGATTTTAGTACCTATGGGAGTCGTGGAATCAATCCCCTGCAAATATCGCAGGGTGACTAGGCTCACTCGGGCTCACACAGTGAGCTTACCAAGGAGAAAGCCTCAGGAGACACTGGGTTTTCTTGAACAGGTGACACTCAATAATCTTCTCTTTCACAAAGAGTGGCCTCAGTGTCTGAGTCTTCTACAGGCAACAGTGACTAGCCAGCATGCGATAACATGGTTTTATTTTAATTTTCCTTGTGGCTATGGCAAGGGATGGTTAGTTAGACCAGGGGATGTAAAATTTCCATTTAAAGTTCTAAAAATTGATTTAAAATGAAATTTTGTGGGTTTTAAAAACATAGGTTAACTACATGGTTTATTAATTTATCATATGGTACTGGGGATTGAACTCAAGGTCTTCACCTGAGCCATTTCACCAGCCCTTTTTTTGTAATGGGTATTTTCTTTCTTTTTTTTGAGATAAGATCTCTCAAACTATTTGCCTGGGCTGGCTTCGAACCGTGATCCTCCTGATCTCTGCCTTGAGTAGCAAGGGTTACAGGCATGAGCCACCCTACTAATTATGTCATTTTTTTTTTAGTGTGCGTTACTGGGGTTTGAACTTGGGCTCATTCCACCATCCCTCTTTTGTGATGGGTATTTTCAAGATAGGGTCTCATGAACTATTTGGCCAGTCTGGTTTTGTACCATGATCCTCCTGATCTCTGCCTCCTGAGTAGCTAGGATTATAGGCATGAGCCACAGGCACACGGTCACATATTTATTTAGTGTATGCTAGGCAAGTGCTCTACCATTGAGCTACACCCCAGCCCTTGTTCACTTATTTTGAGATGGAGTCTCACTGTGTTGCCCATGTTGCTCTTTAACTCCTGTGCACAAGCAGTCCTCTCACTTCATCCTCCCAGGTAGTTGGGACTGCACAGTTGCGTGCCACTGTGCCCAGTGCATTTTAAATATACAAATGGGGACTGGAGCACCTGCTTTGCAAGTGCAAAGACCTGAATTCAAACCCTAGTCATAACCTCCTCCTCCCCCAAAAATTTGTATACACACACACACACACACACACACACACACAAATGTGTATTCAGTGCCTTTCTTTCCAAAGGCAGTGACTTTAGGAGTCTCCCATTTCTCCTCCCAGAGACAGCTTATTACATTCTTTATATATAGCCTATATATTCTATAAAATATATTCTGTATATTCTTTTGTTCTCACTATGTAACCCCAGTTGGCCTGGAACTCGCTATGTAGCCCAAGGTGGCTTTGAACTCGCGATCTTCCTGCTTATATTCCTTTATTTCTCCTTTACACAGAAGGCAGCATTCTAGGGCACCGGTGGCTCACACCTGTAATCCTAACTACTCAGGAGGCAGAAATCAGAATGATCGTGGTTTGAAGCCGGCTCGGGCAAATGGCTCGCGAGACCCTATCTCTAAAATACCCCTCACAAAAAAGGGCTGGTGGAGTGGTTCGAGTTTAAACCCCAGTACCACCAAAATAATAATAGCCAATATTAAGTGTGTTTTGAAAAAGGCCGCCTACTGTTCCTCAGCTTGCTTTGTCCACTAACCAGTAATCTTGGTTGTAAGTGACTTGTCATAAAGAAAACCTTAAAGAGAAGTGAAGGTGTACCTATATATGCCTCTGTGCGGTAAGAATTGTAAAGGTGACATAGAAATGTGGACACTGAGGTGGAGAATTGGTGGCGTATCGGAAGTAATGTGGGCACGTGGAGGAGACACATTTGCAATTTATGGAGGAAATCAATAGGCAGGGGTTTGGGGCAGGCGAGACTCCAGAGCCTCTGGGCCAGAATGCACGTTGATGGCAGGCAGCTGACTGGGGTGGCCTAGGGTGAAAAGGCCACTCCTACCCGCAGGACTGACCTGGCTCTCCTTTCCGCACAGCTGTGGACCTCATCAACAACCTGCTGCAGGTGAAGATGCGCAAGCGCTACAGCGTGGACAAGTCCCTCAGCCACTCCTGGCTTCAGGTGATGCAGGGGGCGGGGCTGTCGCGCTGGCTGTGTGAGAGGAAGGGGTGGAGCTAGATCTTTGATTGGTCGGTCCATTTTCCTTGGCGGCTGTGGCTGCCCCTCCCACTGGCTGAGCTTTGGAAGGGGTGGGACTAAATTGCTATTGGCTGGGCAAGTTGCGAAGGGCGTGGCCTCACCTGCATTGGTACCCAGCGGGCACACCGCCCACGCGGCTCTGGCAGCCATTGGCTTCAGCTGGTTGGTGCGGCTCCACGCTAACCTAGTGCTTCCGGACCCAGGAGTACCAGACGTGGCTGGACCTCCGAGAGCTGGAGAATAAGATGGGCGAGCGGTACATCACGCACGAGAGTGACGACGCGCGCTGGGAGCAGTTCGTGGCGGAACGCCTGCTGCCCGGGACTGGGATGCGCGTGGATGCGGAGCTCAGTGGAGCTCGATTGCCGCAGGACAACGACATGCAGGGCCTGGCGGAGCGCATCAGCATCCTCTGAGGCCCGCGCCCCGCCCAGCTGCTGCCCTGGGGGCGACCCTCCACACCACGCCAGCCGGGAACTGTGTACGGGAAGCGGCTTCCCGCTCTGACTGCGCGGGGCGTGCGGGGGCTGCAGTGCCCCCCCTGCCTGACTCCCCAGCTATTAAAACGGACTCGTCTCTGGCCCATGGCCTTCTTTGACCACGACACACTCTTTGGTCATTCGTGGGATGTTCACAAGGTGTTCGTCATCTAGAAGGGCTGTTAGGAAAGAGGGCACGGGACAAGAGGGGGACGGGGGGGGGGCGGGCAGGAGTTTGGAAGCGGAGGCTAGGGATGAACAGGGCTGGTGGTGCAAGGCTCGGAAAAAAGCCAGTGCAGCTGTTCCTCCCCTTAGGATGGGGTAATATCCTCCTACATCTGTCTTTTTTGGGGGGTGGGGCTGGAGTTTGAACTCAGGACTTTGGGGCTTGCAAAGCAGGCGCTCTACCACTTGAGCCATACCTCCAGTTTATTTTGCTCTGGTTCTTTTGGAGATGAGGTCTAGAGAAGTATTTGACAGGGCTGGCCTCAAACCTCAATCCTGATCTCAGCCTCCCAAGTAGTTAGAACTACAGGCGTGAGCCACTGGTGCCTAGCTCTGATACACCAATCTTAAATCAAAGATGGATTTATTTAGAGTTGGGCATGATGGTACACACTGTAATCCCAGCACTGGGGAGGCAGAGGTAGGATGATTTCCAGTTCAAGGCCAGGTTTGGCTACATAGCAAGAATCTGTCTTAAAAAGAAAAATGTAAAGCTGAGCATTGGTGGCTCACACCTGTAATCCTAGCAACTCAGGAGGCAGAGATCAGTAGGATCAAGGTTCAAAGCCAGCCCAAGCAAATAGTTTGTGAGACCCACAAAACCCACCACAAAAAAAGGGCTGGTGGAGTGGGTCAAGGTATAGGCCCTGAGTTCAAACCCCAGTACCGAAAAAAAAAGAAAAATATATTTAATACACTTCACCCTGAAAAGCATCACTGTGTAAGAGCACAGTAAGCGATGGAGTTTTGTTGTCTCCCTCCCAAACGCAAAGCTCACTGAGCCACTACCCAGCGTCACAGACAGTATTAGACTTATTATCATTAGCCTGGGGATATAAAAAAGACTCAAATTTTGAGGGGCTGGCGGAGTGGCTCAAGCAGTAAGCACCTGCCTTGCAAGAGTGAGGCCCTGAGTTCAAATCTCAGTGCCACAAAAAAAAAATCAAATTTTGAAGTCGGGTTTCTACTGAATTTGTATCACTTTTGCACCAAGGCAATGTTGAAAAATCATGAGCCAAACCATCAAAAGTTGAGGACCATCTATAATTTCATGGTTTGTGATGATTACTTTTTTGGTTTTAGTGGACCAGGATTTGAACTCAGAACCTTAAACTTGCTAGGCAGGCACTCTACCACCTGAGCCACCCCCAGCCCTTTTAGTTGTTTTGCTAATAGGGTTTGTGCCCAGGTCAGCCTGGACTGGAGTCCTCCTATTTACATTTCCCACATAGCTGGGATGACAGGTGTGCACCATCACACCTAGCTTTTATTTCTTGAGATGGGGTCTCCCTAACTTTTTCAAATGCTGGCCTTGAACTTTGATCCACCTGATCTCCGACTCTCTAGTTGCTAGGATTATGGGAGCCACTCGCTTGTGCTCCGGCCCAGTTTTTTCTTTTGTATTGACTTAATGACGTCTCTCCACACCATTATGTGCTCACTCTTTATCCGTGCATCTCACCATGCTGGATGATGCTGAGGACACAGTGGTGACCATGACAGCCCAGCCCTGCCCTCATGGGCTCTCTTGGGTGGAGAGACAGACCTGGGGAGGATTGGAATGGGGGGTCTAAGAGGTGGGGCAGTCAGGGCCCAGGGAGGAGTTGTCTGAGCTGACTGCTTAAGCTTCACCTTGGCCCTGAGGTTGTGGGTAGAAGAATGACCTAGAAGGCACATGTGTCCACCTCCTGTACTTTTGTCCCTTGCCCTCTAGTTCCCCGATATCCCATAGTCACCCTGACTTGGCCCTCCACCCTCCACAGCTGAGACTGAGTGAACTAAGCAGGTGTCTGACACATTCTCTTTAAATCTTGGTCATGTTCAGATTTATATTCAGTGATTCAAGAATTACCTGTAGAAAACAGCACGTACACGTTGGCCACCTGCTGATGGGTTCTGGAACTGCAGCGCCTTAATTTGAAAAGCTAGGTAAGCCTCAGTAGTAAATGGGCCAGAACACCTCTGAGACACGGTTACAGCCTCTACATCCATTCTAAAATGGGCTGGTCAGTGCTGGGCGGTTCCACCTGTAATACCAGTTGCTCGGGAGGCAGAGGTAGGAGGATCAATGTCTGAAGCCAGTCCCAGGACTCTGAAAACTAAAACAAAAAGGGCTGGTGGAGTGGCTCAAGTGGTAGAGTGCCTGCCTAGCAAGTGCAAAGCCCTGAGTTCAAATCTCTGAAAAAATAAAATGGTTGATATAAGATGAAGAAATGTAGACATCACAGGAATGGCATGGAAAAAGTACTCGGCCAGGACCCTGGGCAATCACCCTACCTTGGCCACTAGTGTTTGATTTTGAGACAGGGTCTTGCTGTGTAGCCCAGGCTGGCCTTGAACTCACGGTCCTTCTGCCTCAGCCTCCTGAGTGCTGGGATTGTAGATATGTCCCACCACCTGGCTTTGACCACTAGTTTTGTTAACCAAGACCAAGAATTAGAGGTCTGACTCAAAGACAATGATAACTGGAAAAAAATCCCTTGGCTAGAGAACTTCAGTATCATGGGGAGATCATGCCAGAGAAAAATCAAATCTACACCACGTAATCCAGGGCCCTACAACTTAAGCCATTAGAGACGAAACGTCGATCCTATCAGGACCATCAAATACCACAAAACCTATATATATATATATTTTTTGTGTGTGTGTTGTGGTGGGACTGGGGTTTGAATTCAAGGCTTCACACTTGCAAAGAGGTGCTCTAGCACTTGAGCCACTCCTCCAGTTCATCACAAAACCTAATTTTGATAGGAACACAAAGAAAAGGACATTGAACCAAAGTGTCCTTTTTCTGTGTGGTACTTGGGTTTGAACTCAGGGCCTCATGCGTGCTAGGAAAGCACTCTACCACTTGAGCCACTCTGCCAACCCTTTATGCATCAGTTATTTTTTGGATAAGGTATGGAGCTTTTCCCTGGGATGGGCCTGGATTGCAGCCTTCCTACCTACACCTCCTGCACTGTTGGGATCACAGACGTGCACCGCCATACCCAACTTGTTGGTTGAGATAGGGGTCTTGCTAGCTTTTTTCTCTAGGCTGACCTCAAGACCTTAAATTGTGATCCTCCAGCTCTCCACCTCCCTAGTAGCTGGGACCACAGGCATGAGCCACTGTGCCCATCTCTGAGAGCTCTGATTTCCTCTTGAATCCAACTCTTATCCACTCTGCGCTGCTGTCCTCATCAGTTCAGGTCACTTCAACAGCCCACTCAGGGACACTCCATTTTGCCCAGCCTCTCGCTTGCAAAAAGCACAAGTTGCCCACATACTCTGGGCCTGTCACGGGTTAAATTTTGCCCCTTCTCCCCAAGAAAAGGATATGTTGAAGTCCTCAGATGTGATCTTATTTGGAAATCCAGTCTTTGCAGATGCATTAGTTGAGATGAGGTCCTAGTGGAGTAGGGCCGGCCCCTGATCCAGGAACTGGTGTCAGTGAGGCAGACACCCAGGAGAAAGGTCACATGATAAGTGGAGAGACCGAAGACTTCCCCGTGGGTTTCAGAGATGGCGTGTCCTGGCTGACACCTCCTTTTCAGACTTTTAGCCTGCATGTTCTTTTTTTTTCTTCCCCCCCAGTACAGGGGAATAAACTCGGCCTGGTGCATGCCAGGCAAGCGCTCTACCACTTGAGCCATGTTCTCAGCCCTTTTGTTTGTACTTTGCTTTTGCCATAGAGTCCCAATAATTTTGCCCAGACTGTCCTCAAACTCAAAATCTTTGTTGGGAGTAGCTGGGATTATAGATGGGTACCACCTTACCCCATTGTCAGTTTTTCTGTGCTGGAGATGACATACAGGATAAACCAATTTGAAATCACTCCATTTGCAGTACTTTGAAACAGACCTCAGAAATGAATACAGGGTCTGTTTAGATGTTGCTGAACTTGTTTCCAAATTTCTCACCCCCTCCTGTAAATGACCTAAGGAGTCTATACCAGAAACTAGATTTTTTTTTTTTTTGGTGGTATTAGGGTTCGAACTTAGGGCCTCACACTTGTTAAGCAGGCACTCTACCACTTGAGCCACTCCACCAGCCTTTGTGTGTGTGTGTGTTGTGTTTTTTCAAGATAGGGTCTCCTGAACTATTTGGCTGGGGCTGGCTTTGAACTATGATCCTCCTAGCTCAGTTTCCCAAGTAGCTGGGATTACCAGGTGAACCACCACACATAGTCCCCCCTTTTTTTTGTTTTGTTTTATTTGTTTTTGTTTATTTTTGAGATAGCTTCTCTTGAACTCACAATTCTCCTGCCTCAGCTTCCAAGTGCTAGCATTACAGGTGTACACCACCACGCCTGGCTAGAAGAATCTATAATTTGGGAACCCCCTTCTCTCTCTTCATTTGTGTGTCCTAAATCTTCTTTCTCCTCCTCCAGCCTTAGGAGAACTGGGGGGCCCCTAGCTTTGGCTTTGCCTCTCCTCATGCTTAGTCATGCCCAGAGGTTCTTGGTGGTATTTGTTTGTTTGTTGTACCGGCACTGGTGCTTGCTAGGCAGGCACTCTTACCACTTGAGCCACTCCACCGACCCTTTTCTGTGGTAGGGTCCTACAACGTCAACCATTACAGACAACATCCATTCTGTCAGCACCATCAAACAACACAAAACCTATTTATTTATTTATTTTGCAGTATTGGGGCTTGAACTCAGAGCCTACACATTGAGCCACTCCACCAGCCCTTTTTTTGTGATGCTTTTTTTCGAGATAGGGCCTCATGAACTATTTGCTCAGGTTGGCCTCCAACCATGATCCTCCTGTTCTCTGTCTCCTCAGTAGCTGGGATTACAGGCGTGAGCCAGCAGTGCCTGGCCTTCAGACTTACTTCTGTTGACATCCTCTACCTTCTACCATCTTTCTCCCACATCACAATATGTGGCCAGGCCATCCACCCCTGACCTGACACCTTCCTTTTCCTCCCACGGAGGGGCACAACCCCATGAATGCGGTTCCACTGCCCCAAACCTTTCCCTTCCTTGTCCTGACCTTGCCATATGGATGGATCTGACCTTAAATATCCAGAAAAAAGGTTTTGGAGCGTGGCTCAGTGGCAGAGGCATTGCCTAGCAAGCATGGGGCCCTGAGTTCAAATCCCAGTATGTCAAGGGGAACAAAGTGGCTGGAGATACAGCTTAGTGGTAGAGGATGTGCTTTGCATAGGTGAGTTGCTGAGTTAAGATTTCCAGCAAAACAAATAATTAAAAATCCAAAAGAAAAGAAAAGGACTGATGGAGTGGCTTAAGTGGTAGAGCGCCTGCCTAGCAAGCAGAAGCCCTAAGTTCAAATCCCAGTACTGCCAAAAACAAACAAAACAGAAAACACCTGGTGCTCACATTAGTCTGAGATAAGACTAGAGTGAGAGCAGGCTGCTTCTGGGTGGTCCATGGCTCTTTGGAGACAAGGAGGAGTCCTTCTGCTGTGAGAATGCCAATTAAAAATGGTACTCAGAGCCGGGTGCCGGTGGCTCACACCTGTAATCCCAGCTACTCAGGAGGCAGAGATCAGGAGGATCAAGGTTCGAAGCCAGCCCAGGCAAATAGTTTCACAAGACCCTATCTCAAAAACCCTTCACAAAAATAAGGCTGGTGGAGTGGCTCAAGGTGAAGGCCCTGAGTTCAAGCCCCAGTACCACAAAAAAAAGAAAAAAAAAACTGTACTCAGGACTGGTGGCATGACTCAGTGACAGGGCAGTTGCCTGGAGCTCAACACCCTGGTTCCATCCCCAGCATCAGAAAACAAAGTTCTAGCAGGGCATGGCGCTTCACGTCTGTAATCCCAGCACTCAGGAGGCTGAGACAGGAGGATGGAAAGTTCTAGGCCAATCTGGACTACATAGCAAGATCCTGACTCAAAAAAAAAAAATGTAGCTAGGCACCAGTGGCTCACGTCTGTAATCCCAACTACTTGGGAGACTGAGCTTGGTAGGATCAAGATTTGAGGCCAGCCCGGGCAAACAGTTTGCAAGACTCTATCTCTAAAACAACCAAAGCAAAATGGACTGGAGGTGTGGTTCAAGTGGTAGAGCGCCTGCTTTACCAATATGAATCCCTGAGTTCAAAACCCAGTCCCACCAAAAAAAAAAAAAATTCTAGTCAGGCTTGACTTCGGTCTACACAAATCACGGTCCTTCAAACCGAGGTGTGTACTAACAGCCAGACGCAGTAGCTAAAGGATGACACCAGTGAAAGAGGCAAACACAGAAAGACTTTTTAACGAATAATGCTATTGCCTGGACTGGTGGGGTATACCTGTAATCTCAGCTGCTCAGGAGGCAGAAGGAGGAGGATTGCCATCTGATGCTGGCCCAGGCAAAACAGTAGCAAGACCCTGTCTCAAAACAAAAACAAAACAAAAAAACCCCAAAGGGGCTGGGGGCATAGTTCAAGTAGTAGAGCCTTTCGATTCCACCAACGAAGAATGTGTCTTCACTTCTTTGGGATCCTTGTCAGGCTCGAACCATGGCTGTAAGTCCTTTGTTCTATTTATTTCTCATCCTTGGAATGTCCACCTTTAAATGAACCCTAAATCAGTAGGTCAACATTCTATGAGGGGTGGGGGCGTGGCTCAAGTGGTAGAGCACCTGCCGAGCAAGCACAAGGCCCCGAGTTCAAATCCCAGTACCGCCAAAAAAAAAATTGTATGAGAAAATTCTTCCATTGTCTTTAGACAAACAGCAGGGAGGAAAATCCAGTTCTAGCTTCACCCCAGACACCAAGTACTAAGAAAATTTTGGGTCAAGCTCTTCGTACCTGTTATCAATTGTTGGAAAATTATTTTTTGAAATGTTGCTGATCAAACCCAGGGCCTTGCAACACTAGTTTTGTTTTTTTTCTTGGTGGGACTGGAGTTTGAACTCAGGGCTTTGTGTTTGCAAAGCAGGTGCTGTACCACTTGAGCCACACCTCCAGTCCATTTTGCTCAGTTTATTTTGGAGATGAGGTCTCTCAAACTACTTGCCCTGACAGGTCTTTGAACCTTGATCCTCCCAATCTCAGACTCCCAAGTAGGTAGGATTACAGGCGTGAGCCACTGGAGTCTGGCATGCCCTTCGTGTTGTTGTTTTGTTTTGTTTTGTTCTGTCTTTTTTAGATAGGGTCTTACTATGTAGCTCAGACTGGCTTTGAACTCATTCATTACCCACCCAGCCTGGCCTCAACTCTCCATCCTCCTGACTCAGCCTCCATAGTGCCAGAATTACAGGCAGAAGCTACCATGTCCTGATTAGGTCTGTCTTGAACAAGAGGAGGACTGAATAAAATTTGTCTCTGCTAAAGTCCCAAATCATTTTTCTCCTAGTTATTTATTTTTTTGCTTATCAAACCCTTCCATGGGTCTTTATACGTGGAAGACACTGCTTCAAGAACTTGACAAATCTATCATTCAGTCTTCACAACAACTCTATGAAGTACCGATGAAGAAAATGTGGCACAGAGAGGTCAAGTACATTTTCCGAGGTCACACAGCTGGAAAATGGCAGAGCTGTGACTCACCCACAGTCTCTAGCTTCAGAGTCTTTGTTCTCAGCTACTTACCGCTCCATCTTACCACCAGAAGATCGCTTAGTGCACGAGCTTTTAAGACGTCAGGATCTGTCTGAGAAATGGGTGTGAAAACTGGAGTTAGATCAAGAGGAAGGAAGGTTGTAGGGAGGCACATGCAGCGTAGTGACACAAGCCGACCGCCTGAGGGGGCTCTAGCCCAGCTTGACGGGCATAGGGAGGCAGGAGGAAGCCTTGGAAACCAGCCTGGCTCTTAGGACCAGAGGATGCTGAGAACAGAGCATCTTAGAAGGCTGAGAACAAAGCCTCTTAGAACGTGGAACAAAGGCCCTGGGATCGCAGGCTGGTCGAGCACACAGTCCACAGCACCTGGGAGACAAAAGACGCTTAGATTCTGCTCTGGTCAGATCATAGCATCTTCCATCCAGAATCTTCTATTTCCAGAATTTGGGACACAACCCATCTTAGAAGCAAAGATCGGTCCCATAATGCACCTTGCATAAAGCTCAATGCACCTTGCTAAAAAAATAACTTCAATGCAGCAAGAGCAGAACATTGAGCCAAGCACCGGGGGTCGTTCTAAGCGAGTTCCACACCAGTGGAGCCAGCCCTGTTTAGAAGCTTAATTTTATCCGAGGATGTCGGGTCAGTTTACAGCCGAGTGCTGGGAAAGCTTCCTGGAAGAGGAGGCGAAATCAGGGCTGGACCCTCGAAAGCCATCCTCTCTCTGCGCAGCCGCAGACACTGAAAGTTAGGAAGGGGAGGTAGGAGCAGCTGCCAAACTGTCACGTGGATCCATTCTATATTTATAGCCCACCCTTCCCCTCTTGCGGGACAGTCCAATGGTAGCCAGCGCTCGCCCGCAAGTGGGCGGAGCTAGCAGCAGAACTGGGAGGCACGCACCAATGGCGTTGGAGCAAGGGCGGGCTTATTTCATTGTGACGCGAAAGGGGGCGTGACCAGGTCCCAGAGGCCGGCGCACGGGGGTGGGGTGGGGTGGAGGGTGGAGGGGGGCGTGGCAAGACTGCCTGGAAGCCGAATGAGTAGGTAACTACGAGCATGCGTCGTGCTGGGCGGCGCGGGTGCTCCGCTGAGCATCTTCGTAAAGGAGAGCATCGACCAATAGGAGGCAGTTGCTGTGCCGCTGGGGGCGTGCCCATGTAGATAAGGCGCGGGTGGGCGGCCCAATGGGCGGGCGTCTATGCAGATTAGACGGTGACAGCCCGGCCAGCGGGCGGGCGGGCAGGAGGGTTGCTGGGGCGGGGAGGTGGGACCGGGAGAGGGGTGGCCGTGGGGCCCGGCCGGGCTGGGGCGGGGGGCCGCAGCCATGATCCGGGCCTTCTCGTTCCCGGTGAGCCCCGAGCGGGGCCGGCTCAGGGGCTGGCTGGAGGGCAGCCTGGCCGGGCTCTGCGAGTTGCATTGGCTCCGAGAGAGACAGGAGTACCGCGTGCAGCAGGCGCTGCGGCTGGCCCAGCCCGGAATGGGGGGCGCCGAGGCCGAGGACGAGGAGGACGCCGACGAGGACGAAGATGCTGCGGCCGCGCGCCGGGCCGCAGCGGCCCTGGAGGAGCAGCTGGTGAGGGGCCGCCTGTCCGTCCGTCCGTCCGTCCCTCCACCCCCGTCTGTGTGTCTCGGTTGGATGCTCAGACACCGGTCTCGGGGGGAGGGCAGGGATGAGGAAAGGATAAGGGGATGGCATTGGAGACCCCGGAGTCCCAGCCGTGGGTGAGACCTGGGGAGAGGGGAACTGCATGGCCTCCCTGGGGCCGCGGGAGGTAGATGGGCCCTCCACCCTACTCCCCCTCCCCAGGGACAATACTGGTCGCCAAGTATGTGTCAATCCCGGGTCCAAGTACTTTGCACGGGGTGACATCTTGCAGCCTGGGAGATAGAGGATGATAGTCCCCATTTTACAGAGAAAGAAACTGAGGCTCAGACAGGAAGCGACTCACCCAAGGTCACACTGCCGGGATCCAAACATGCCTCCCTCTGGGCCCCGCCACCAGGGCTCCATCTTCCCTAAGTCCCGGTGTGCTTGGAGATCTCTGGGGGAGGGGGCGGGGGGAGGGGATCCTAGGGCCTCTGGAGGAAGGGATCCCTGCTGGGAAGGAGCTCACAGTCCGTGAGGACCCTATAGGCATCCTGATGGCCTGGGGACACTTCCTCTTTCCTACCTGGCCCCAGCCCTCCTTAACCCAAGAGGAGGCCAATGAAGTCTAGCAGGGTGGTCTGACTTCTGGTCACCCTGGGTGCTCTGATGGTGGAAGATGGGCAGAGGGGCTGCAAATCAAAGGAGTCTCCAAGTCTCCAAGACCCCTTTCTGGGTTTCCCTCTGTCCCTACTGCATTTCTGTCACTTTCCGACTGCTTCTCTTTTTCAACCCAGTCTCTGTCACCGTCTACCGGCTCTCTCTGTCTCTCTCTCTCTCCTCCTCTCTCTTCCTGTCCCTGTCTCAGTCTCAGTGTCTCTCTTCCCCTCCCCCCAGCCCACAGACCCTGGCTCCTCTGGCAGATCCCGTCCCCAAGCCTGTGTGTGGCCAGAGCTTCCCGTTTGGGGAAACCTGAGCCGAGGTTGGGAGTTGGGGGTGGGGAGGGGGCTGTCTCTGCTGCTGACCTCGACTGCCCCCTCCCCAGATGGGAAGTGGGGAGGGGGACTGCAGCCAGACGCCGGCGCGGCCGCCCAGCCCCTCCCCCGGCCGCGCCGGGAGTGGGACCCTGCACATTCTTCCCGCAAGCAGAAACAGCTGTGGGAGGCCCCACCCCCTCCCCAAGTTAGGGACGAGTGGTGGGGGCTGTGGGGGCTTTCACCAGCTCCCCCTGCCCAAGCCGCCCGGCCTGGGGAAGGCGCCTTCAGCCCTCCAGGAGAGGGAGAAGGGACCAGGATGGGTCCTCGGTCCCTCCACCCCACTCCGTCCGCATCTGTCTCCCTCTTTTCCACCCGTCTGTCTCCTCCCTCCACAGCCCTCAGCCCTCCAAGCGTGAAGTGGCCTGTCCCCTCCTAGTCATCAGTTAAAAGCTGGACCCAGCATCGGGGAGGAGGCGGTGGCAGGCGGGGGGAGGGAGACAGCGGCACGCAGGGAGGAGCGGAGCGGCGCTAAATATAAACGCCTCCAGTGGGGGGGGGGTTCCGGGTCCTTCTGAACAGGGTTGGGGCCGCTTCTGATCCCTGCACCCCGTCTTAGAGGACTTAGCCACGTCCCCAGCTCCTAAGACTGAAGCCAGACTTGGTGAGTTTCTGATAGGAATGCTCAGGCTACCCGGTAAAGACTATGACTGTTGCAGAAAACAGGCATGAATCCTGGGAGTGGGGTGGGGGGTTCCCTGGGTCCTGTTTACTCCCAGGAAGGAAACCGGTTCCTTGCAGCAAGGAGGACTTAAGTTAGACTTGCAGAAGGACTTCCTAACAGAGCTAACAGGGCACTGGACACTGCTAGGGAAATGGAAGGAGAGGAACACACGTGTGGCAAACTTGGGATAAAGGGGTGTCCAGGGGTTCTTAACCATGCTCTTGTGAAGCCTGCCTGAGCCAGATGGCCTGCTTGTAGAAGGGCTTGCAAATTGAAAAAAAAAAAAAGTTGAGGATATTGTGCAGAGGCAGGGAACAGTACTCAGTTCCCTAGTTTTAAAAAGAGTTGTACAGGCTTGGGGGTGTGGCTCTAGTGGTACAGTGCCGGCAAGTGCAGGCCTTGAGTTCAAACCCCAGTACCACCAAAAAATTAAAAAGCTGGAGGGAAGGAGGTTAGGTTTGCATAATGGGGGAAGGGGATTAGACTGGAGAAAATATTTACGGGGTCTAGATACGGGAAGGAGACCCCAGACTGTCCCCCAACTTCTGCTCTTCCCTGAAGTGGACAAATTTAAATGTGACCTGTAGAATTTACCAAAAAACTGTAATTTTGCAATATATTTTTAATTGTACAGGCAGTACTTTAAGGTATTCCTTATAGCTTTCATGTAATAATGCAAGCTAGCATTTATTAAGTGCTTAAAGGAAATGCTTTTTTTTATTTTCGATGGGACTGGGGTTTGAACTCAGAGCAAAGCAGGTACTGTACCTGCCTTGAGCCACACCTCCAGGCCATTTTGCTCTGGTTATTTTGGAGATGGGGGGGGTCTCAAAGTATTTGCCGGGACTGTCCTTGAACTGTAATCCTCCCGATCTCAGCCTCCCAAATAGCTAGGATTACAGGCATGAGCTACTCTGCCTGGCAGGAAATTCTCTTTTAACTCATTTAATCCTCATAACAACCTGTAAGAGGCTGAGTCACATGAGGCGCGTGTTACAGATGAGGAAACTGAGGCTCTGAGAGGTTCAGTCACCCATCCAAGGTCTCTCAGCTGTGCAATGGCAGAGCTGAATTTGAACCTTACCCATGTGGCGCTAAGTCATACCTCATTCTACCATCCAGTCCCTTCATCCTTCCATGACTCCTGAATTCACCTGTCCCCTGAGGTCACCACTGCTGTCACCTTGGCTTGAGTCCTAGAACTCTTCCAATGCTCTATAGAGAAACAGTTTACATACCAGGAAAGAAGTGGAGGGCTTTTTTTTTTTTTTAACAAATTCTAGTTTCTTGGGGGACACCCAGAGATGTGCCTCTCAGCCAGCAGCACCCCAACCAGAAGTCCTGGAAGTAAGACTTGGTAACTTGTTTTTTGTTTTGCAATACTGGGATTTGAACCCAGGGCCTCTTGCTTGCTAGGCTGGTGTGCTACCACTTGAGCCACACCCCCCAGCCCTTTTGCTTACTTACTTTTCAGATAGGGTCTTGTGCTTTTGCCCCCGGGGCCAGCCTCAGACCATGAGTTTCCTACCTCTGACTCCCAAGTTGCTGGGATTAAAGGTGTGTGTCACCACCCTGGGTCCAGTAGTATGAGTTTTAACAAGCCCTTCAGGTGCAGTCATACTTAATGACATCTCAGTGAACAATGCACTGGATATAGGAGTCTCATAAGATTGTATTGCGTAGTGACATTGGAGCTGTCTCAGTTTAAGTACATGCTGTAATGTTCCCAGTAGGATGAAATCACTTAATGATGCATTTCTTAGCATGTGTCCCCATCACGAAGTGACAGGTAGCTATGATTCTGATTCACTTGCTCTCATGCTATGCATTCTGCCCTCCTGCTCAGTGCTGAATCTTCGTGACAGCTCTATCTCCATGACATCTGCCTTACTTCCTCTTATCAGCTGTGTAGTATTTCACTGCATCAACTATATCCAGAACTGTCCTTTGTGCCAGCTACTGTCCTAGGTTCTGGGAGGAGGGAGCAGGAATCTCTACCCCAGTGAGAAATCACGTCCCAGTGAGAGAGCCAATAAACAAGTGAACGCCCCAATGTATAATTTTAAGGCATGAAGACTTCGTTACTGCTATGTAGAAAAAAAAAAGGCAACAAGATCCAGAATGACAGGGGAGCTAATTTGGAAAGCTGTCGGAGAAAGGATCAGAGGTGCTGGGGATAAGAGTTTGCCAGGCTACATTCCAGGAACAGTGAGGAGGTTAAAGTGGCTGAGGCAGTAAGCCAGCCAGTGATTTGGAGGTGGGGTGCGGGGGCATGGCATGGTCCATGACTTTTTTAGCTACCCCTAATGCGCAAATCGGTTGTTTTTTGGGGATTCTGCTCAAAGTTGATTCTGCCAGGGGCATTTCTGCCTTCTCAGGGCAGTCTCTGTAGGAATGACTGTCGCATACACGGGCTCAGAGGGAGGCTTCTGTTCTGGGGAGGGGAGGAGGCAGGGCCCAGGAGTCACCGGAATCAGAAGCTGGGGTGGGGGGGTTGTGCCTGCGGGAGCTGGCCAGTCTTTCTGCCCTAAATAGGCAGGGCTGGGTGGCTGCCCTCCCGGCCCCTCCTCCCTCCTCCCGCCCTCTGCTGGCCAGACAAGCCGCTTTTGTCTGAGGGTCAACCGTCAACCCCAGGCTGCTGCTAGCTCAGGCCCTGTGCTGTGTTCCCTGACTGACCCACCTTCTCTCTTCCAATAGGAGGTTAAGTCCCGGTGTCTTGGAGACCTGTCTGTGTTGTTTCAGCTCTTACCCCCCCAACCCTCTAAAAGGTCAAGGTCACTCCCTTGGAAGGGTCTTCACTTTCATTGATATATGGGAATGAGGAGCTGTGGACAGACACTGGGGGCTTCTGGATGGGAATGGAGCCAGGGCAGGAGGAGAACCAGGGACAGAAATTGCTGGTGATTACTGGTGCAGTACCAGTAAGTCTAGACTCATAGGAGGACTTCCAGGAGACACAGGGGGTGGAGTTTTTTCTGGGGGGAGTACATGGATTGTGGTCAGTCTATTTTATCTATATGAGGGAGTCTGTCTGCAGCAGGAAGTTGTTACAGACATTTCACAAGAGTCTTCCTCTGGTAATAAGGGGTCGTGGTGCAAGATGGAAGCCCCTGAAAAAGATGGTCAAAGCCTAGGAGAAGGCAGACCCATGGCCAAGGTATCTGCTGTCTCCTGGACACCACCTTTTAGCAGTGATCTGTTCATACAGCAAGAAGACCTGAAGTTTGATTCCAAGAGGGACTTTATTTAGGACAAAGATTTATTTTGGCTTGTGTCAAAGAGGGATGTTCTAACAGGGTGCTGTGAGCAAAGATGGTGGAAGGAATGATGGAGAGGGGACTTTTGAGGCCTCATTGCACCTAAGAGCAAATGAGATGGAGCTGCAGCATGAAGGACAGGAGTTAGACAGGGAGAAGGACTTTCTAATGGTGATAAGAGATTTTGATCTTGAGGAGGTCCTGGGGCTCAAGTACTGATTTTATCCTTAGGAAGTTGAAGCCTGTCAAAATGAAGCTCTGTTATGAAGTCACGAAATGGGGATGGGGGGAAGGTGGCAGGGATTCTGGGGACGTTCTGACCATCCCACTCTCCCCATGCCCTCAGGAGGCCCTGCCTGGGCTCATCTGGGACTTGGGCCAGCAGCTGGGAGACCTGAGCCTGGAGTCTGGGGGCCTGGAACAGGAGAGCGGGCGCAGCTCTGGTGAGCATGGGTGGAGGGGATCGGGGCTGCCTGGGACACCCCAATCTTTCCCACTGCCTCCTATCTCTCAGGCTCGCCCTGTCTCTCCCCTTCTTACCTCCTGATTGTCTCTTGGCTTCTCCCTGGAATCCAGGCTTCTATGAAGACCCCAACTGTACGGGAGGCCCCGATTCACCCCCCTCCACCTTCTGCGGGGACAGTGGCTTTTCTGGATCTGGCTCCTATGGACGCCTGGGTCCCTCTGAACCCCGGGGCATCTATGCCAGTGAGAGGCCCAAGTCTTTAGGTAAGGTGGGTGGGATGTGGGCCGTAAGGTCTAGGAAAGGACAGTGGTTTTGAGCACAGACTTCTGAGTCAGACCTGGACTCCAGTTCTGCCTGTCACCTTCACTCTTGGTTTGATTCTCAGCATCTCTCTTCCTTCTGGGCCTCAGTGTGTCCATCTGTTAAGATGGGGTAATAAAATTGTCTATCTCATGGGGATTGTTTGAGTACGCAGAGAGCCTTTACCTAGGCATTGGGCTTGTCTGATGTAGCTGCTTGGCAAACAGGAATTGTTACTTACTCTCACAAAGAAGTTTTTGTTTGTTTGGTTTTTGGTGGGACTGGGGTTTGAACTCAGGGTGTAGCTTGCAAAGCAGGAGCTCTACTGCTTGAACCACACCTCCAGTCCATTTTGCTCTGGTTATTTCCGAGGTGGGGTCTCAAGACCTATTTGCCCAGGCTGGACTTGATTGAGCCTTCCTCTGATCTCAGCCTCCCATGTAACTATGATATAGGCGTGAGCTACCAGCACCTGGCTTTTTTTTTTTGGTAGTACTGGGGTTTGAACTCAGGGCCTTGGACTCACTAGGCAGGTGCTCTACCCATGTGAGCCACACCCCAAACCCTTTTTGCTCTGATTGTTTTCAAAATAGGTGTCATTGTGACTGCCTGGACCTTGATCCTATTTGTTCTTCCAGCATAGCTGGGATGACAGGCACCAGCCACCACACCCACTCATTGGTTGCAATAGGGTCTGAGAAACTTTTTGCCGGGGCTGGCCTCAAACTGCGATCCTCCCGATCTCAGACTCCTGAGGCATGAGCCACTGTGCCCTGTGACACAGGAAATTGTTGAGTCCCTATTATGTGTCATGCTAGTGCTATGGAAGGCGGGAGGGCTACAACACATCAATTAACAAGACAGACAGATGCCTGCTCTCATGGAATGGATATTCTTGTTGGAGAAAATATACAAGATAAGTAAGTAAAATACACAGGGTACTAAATACTGGTACGTACTAGGGCCATGACAAAATATACACCAAGGAAAGGGATGAAGAAGTGTCCCTTTGAGTTTGGAGAAGGAACTGTCATATTAGAAAACCTATCTTGGGGTCTCATGTAGAGACCCTATCCCAAGATAGGTCAGGGAGCCCTCTTCAGAGTGGCTCCCTGAAGTGACATGGTGGGCCAAGCAGATATCCCGGGAGAAGAGCTTCCCAGGAAGCAGGGATAGCAAGTGCAAAGGCCCGGAGGCCAGAGCGAGGCTGTCCTGTGTATCCAGGAGGCCAGTGTGGCTGGAGCTGTATGCACATGGAGGAGAGGGGTAGGAGGTGAGGGTGAGAAGGCAGGGTGTGTGACGGCTTTGTTTTACAAGGGAAGGAGTGAGCAGATGAGGGGGGGGTCAGCCTGGCATCCCAGGCTGGATGAGACAGCACTTTGAGCGCCCCCCTCTCTCCCTTTTTTCTGCCTCTCTCCCCTAGGAGACGCCAGTCCCAGCGCTCCGGAGTCGGTGGGCGCTCGGGCGGCGGTGCCGCGGTCCTTCTCGGCGCCCTACCCGACGGCGGCGGGGTCCGCGGGCCCGGAGGCCTGCTCGTCGGCGGAGCGGCGGGCGCGCGCGGGGCCCTTCCTCACGCCCAGCCCCCTGCACGCGGTGGCGCTGCGCAGCCCGCGACCCTGCGGCCGCGCACCCGCCAACTCGCCCGACGCGGCGGCGGGCGGGCGCGGCCCCTGGACGGCTACATCTCGGAGCTTCTGCGCAGGCGCCGCCGCCGGGGGGCGGGCCAGCCCCGACCAGTCCCGGGGCGCGGACGGGGTCCGCGGCGCCAGAACAGCGTGCGCCAGCGGCCGCCAGACGCGTCCCCGCCCCCCGGGGGCGCGCGACCCGCGCGGGAGCCCTCGGTGGAGCGCGCCGGGGGGTCGCGCCGCCAGCCCGGCCGCCTTGAGCCGCGCCTGGGCCTCGCAGTGGGAGGCGGAGGCGGCGGCCGAGCCCCCGCGCCGCCCGCGGCCCCCGAGCCCCCGACAGCCCGGCCGAGGGCCGCCTGGTGAAGGCGCAGTACATCCCGGGCGCGCAGGCCGCCACCCGCGGCCTCCCGGGCGCGCCGCGCGCCGCAAAGCGCCCCCCGCTGACCCGCGGCCGCAGCGTGGAGCAGTCGCCACCCCGGGAGCGGGAACGCGAGCGGGATCGGGACCGTCCCCGGGCCGCCGGCCGCCGCGGACGCCTGACCGAGGCCTCGGGCCGCCGGGGCTCGCCCAGGGCTCGCAAGGCTGCGCGCTCCCAGTCCGAGACCAGCCTGCTGGGCCGCGCCGCCGCCGCCGCTCCTCCCGGGCCCCCCAAGTACCCCACGGCCGAACGGGAAGAGCCGCGGCCGCCGCGGCCCCGCCGAGGCCCGGCGCCCACGCTCGCGGCCCAAGCCGCCGGCTCCTGCCGCCGATGGCGCTCCACCGCCGAGATCGACGCCGCCGATGGCCGCCGCGCCCGGCCCCGCGCCCCCGCCACCCGCGGTCCGGGCCGGGCCGTCCCCGTCCGCCCCGCAGCGCCGGCTGCTCTACGCGGGCTGCGCGGGCAGCGACTCCGAGTGCTCGGCGGGGCGCCTGGGGCCGCTCGGCCGCCGCGGGCCCCCCGGTGGTGGTGGCGGCGTGGCTGGCGGCTATGGCGAGAGCGAGTCCAGCGCCAGCGAGGGCGAGTCGCCCGCCTTCAGCTCCGCCTCCAGCGACTCGGACGGCAGCGGTGGCCTCGTGTGGCCGCAGCAGCTGGTGGCGGCCACCGCGGCCTCCGGGGCTGGGGCGGGGGGAGGGGCCCCCGCGGGCCCCGCCAAAGTCTTCGTGAAGATCAAGGCTTCCCACGCGCTGAAGAAGAAGATCCTGCGTTTCCGCTCGGGTTCTCTCAAGGTCATGACCACAGTGTGAGTTGGGGATTCGCTGGGCTCCCCCTCCATGGCCTCTGCACCTCCGCACGCCCGATCTGATCACTGACCCGACAGCACCCACCTTCCAAAGACCACCTTTTTTTTTTTTTTTTTTTCCCCTACTTCCAAAGACCCTCACTCCTGCATCCGTAGCAGTCTTGGTTGGAAAGGTTCCCCCCGCCCCACAGGAAGGAATGGGGAGGAGCCCCGACTGCCCACTTCGGCTCCTGGCTTCAAAGTCTAGGGTCACGGAAGTTTCCCTTCTGTGGGCCTCACTTTCCTCATCCGTACAATGGTGTCCATGTATGCAAGGGGGTAATTCAGTTTGAATTTCCCCATTTTAGTTTAGAAGCTTACTCAGTCTGTTACCTTTCACTTCTTTAATTGAGCCTTCTCGTTCCTCCTTTCCCGTGCCCCTTCTCGTTCACAAAGTGCCCCTTCCATGTCCCCGGCCCCTTAAGATATCCCCTTAGCACCCGGATCACAGACTCTGCGTCTGACTGGGTGCCTGCAGAGTGCCCTGGGAAGGGAAAGACCACCGACTTGGGGGTTTTGAGGGTCAAGTAGGAGTTGCCAACACCTGGAAAGGACTCTTTCATCTCTCTTTCTGGACATTTATGGAGGATTGAGAGGAAGGACGATGGTTTCTATCTCATCCCTCTCCCCAGGAGGAGTGAGGGAAGCTGGATGACCCTCAGCTATTCCGATTCAGTTTTTTTCTTTTTTGAAATTACTGTATTTATTATGACGATGGTAACTCCCCGGTGCACAGGGGACCTGATTCTGCGTTTCTCTAACCTCTTTGTAAATAAATGCACAGCGTTACATACTTGGACTCTTGCTCTGCTTTGAAATGGGAGAAGTGCCCCTTTTCCTTTGCACTGACACTTAGTGCCGTCTGTCTGCTTGGGTGTGGCAGGTACTAACTTGGGGTTCAACACCATCTTCTTACCGTTGGCTCTTACTTCAGTGACTCTGGCTTCTGATTGAATTACATTCGCACTTCAACGTGCCTCAGAAGAATAGGAATATGCTTAGCAAGTGTGAAGCCCTGCGATCTAACCCAGGGTCACAAAAAGGGGGGTGTACAGTACAAGAAAGGGACAGCCCCACATGTCTATTTCATCACTGTCCTATGGGTGGAACCCTGGACCTGAGCCATGCCTCCTGCCCTTCTAGGTTTTTTCTTTGCTTTTGGCAGTACTGGGGTTTGAACTCAGGGCTTCACACTTGCAAAGCAGGCGCTCTGCCGCTTGCCACACCTCCAGCTGTGTTTTACTTTTGAGTCAGTCTCCTAACTTTGCCTCATCTGGCCTTGAACTTGAGATCTGCCTGCCTTTGCCTCTCCAGTAACGGATTTGCCACCATGCCTGACTCTTCCACCTTCTTCATGTATTTGCACACACATATGAAGCAAAGTAACTACACGAATACCTGTAACTGTATGCCTGTACATGTGCACAACACTGTGTGGATTTATGTAATTGTACATACAGTTAAGTATATGTGTGTGTATACGCAATCACTCAATAGATAATATGAACATTTTTACAGAAATTGGACTATATGAATGAAGAGTTTATCTTTTTAATTTTTTTTTGGTGAAATTCATGCCTGGAAATTTTTTTTTTTTTTTTTGGTACTGGGGCTTGAACTCAGGGCCTTCACTTTGAGTCACTCCACCAGCCCTTTTTTTGTGATGAGTTTTTTCGAGATAGGGTCTCATGAACTATTTGGCCGGGCTGGCTTTGAACCATGATCCTTCTGATCATTCCTCCTGAGTAGCTAGGATTACAGGTGCGAACCACTGCCCCTGACTGGAAATTTCTTTATGGAGAGGATTTAATTTTTTTTTTTTGGTGGTGGAACTGGGGCCTGACACTTGCAAGGCAGGTGCTCTACCACTTGAGCCACTCTACCAGCCCGAAAGGATTTCAATTAAGGATTGAATTTCTTTGATGGTTACAGTACCTTTTAGCTTTTCTACTTTCTCTTGTGTCAGTTTTGCCAAGTTACATTCATCTCAGAACTTGTTCATCCATTGACATGGAGGTGACATTGCCCCATCATCTGTTATTGTCCAGGGCTGTATGGATGATTCTGTCATGGGGAGTCCCACATCACCTTACTCTCAGCTCTACCATTCTTTTGCTACTTCAAATCTTTCCACAGTCATGTTTGGTTGGTTTTTTTTGTTTGGTGTCATGGGATTTGAACTCAGGGCCTGGAGCTTGCTGGGCAAACACTACCACTTGAGCCACTCCGCCAGTCTTGCATTTGCTTCTTTGTGCATGTATGTGTGTGTTTCTCTAGGCTTCATTCCTGGAACTAGAATTGCTTGGTTGTTGTTATGGTATGCTCTTTTGGCGTGGGGGTGGCTCCAGTGGTAGAGCACTTGCCTAGAGAGGGCTAGGTCCTCAGTTCAATACCAAGTAGAGAGAGAGAGAGAGAGAGAGAGAGAGAACAGGGCTGAGTGGTGCAAGACCCTGAGTTCAATACCCAGTACTGCCACATAAACCCTTTTAAATTCATACTGCCACTGGCACCAGTGGCTTACGCCTGTAATCCCAGCTACTCAGGAGGCAGAGATCAAGAGGATAAAGGTTCAAAGCCAGCACGGACAAATAGTTTGCAAGACCCTATCTCAAAAAACACATCACTAAAAAGGGCTGGTAGAGAAGCTCAAGTGGTAGAGCACCTGCCTTGCAAGCATGAAGCCCTGAGTTTAAACCCCAGTACTACCAAAAAAATAAAAATAAAAATAAGGAAGTTCATACTGCCCCACTTTTATTAACACTGCCCCAGCTGACTTTTTTTTTTGGTGCTTGGACCCCCAGCCCTCCAACTGACATCGCTAACAGCAGTTTTTGAGACCGCCATTTTCCTACCCCTTCATCAAACAATAGATGTCATCAATAATTTCATCTCCTCCCTCTTCCTCTTCTATTTCCTCCTCCTCCGCCTCTTCTTTTTCTTGAGACAGGTCTTGCTATGTAGTCCTCAAACTCTCCATCCTCCTGCCTTTTTTAAAAAAATTTTTTTAAATTTTTTTGCAGTTCTGGAGTTTGAACTCAGGACTTCCATCTTGAACCCTTTTTTGTGATGTTTTTTTCGAGATAGGGTCTTTTGAACTATTTACCTGGGCTGGCTTCAAATCTCAGTCCTCCTGATCTCTACCTCCTGAGTAGCTAGGATGACAGGCGTGGGCCACCAGCACCCGGACATCCTCTGGTCTTTTGAGTGCTGGGACTACAGGCATGCACTTCTAGGCCTGACAATCCTGTTCATTTTAACAGTCTAGTTGTTTTAATTGGCATGTCTATTTCTTTGAGGTGGCACACAACTTTGGTGTACTTCTTGGCACTCGTATTTCCTTTTATGTGAATTGCCTGTTGACATTCTTCACCTATTTTCCTATTGGGTATGCCCAACAATTACACCATTTCCTGGATTTTTTTATTTTATTTTTTTTGGTGGCACTGGGGTTTAAACTCAGGGCCTCATGCTTGTGAAGCAGGCTCTCTACTACTTGAATCACTCTGCCAGCCCTCCTGGATGGGTAAATGGAGGCCCATTACTCTCCTGGTTACATGGCAAAGGGAAGGCAGGGCTGGAACCCAGCCCTCACCTGCTACAGCAATCAGAAGAATGGTATATGTTGCTTTCTTTGTCTCCCTTGGTGGTCTGTCCCCTTGTCCCTTTGAGCAGGAACCTGGCCTGTTGAGTTCTACTGTGTCCCCAGCACCCAGCCAGGCTGTGGGGAATACAGCAGGGGACAAATCAAAGAAAGTTCAAGCTACTTGGGAGTCTGAGATCAGGAGGATCAAGGAGATTTGAGGCCAGCCCAGGAAGTAGTTCACGAGACCCCATCTCAAGCAATAGCTGGGCAAAGTGGTGCATGCCTGTCATTCCAGCTATGTGGGAAGCTGAAAATAAGAGGATCATGGTTCAGGCTGACCTGGGCAAAAGAGAAGTGAGATCCTGTCTCCAAAAATGATCTAAGCAAACAGTGGTAGAATGCCTGCCTGCCTTGCAAGCACAAAGCCCCAATATGGCCAAAAAAAAACAAAAGGAGAAAAAGTCCCTGCCCCGTGGAGCTTCCATTCTAGTGGGGTTTGGAAGATAAGCACATTATTCTATTGTTGCCTCTTTTAGAGTAGTGTCCCCCTTTTTGTTGGTGGTGGTGGTACAGTGATTTGAACTCATCTGCCTGCCAGGCAGTCGCTCCGGGTTTGAGCCATGCCCCCATCTGTCAGCCTTAAAAAAGAAAAAAAAAAAAACAGAAAGAAAGGAAGTTTGTTTTTGTTTGTTTTGTGGTGCTGGGGATTGAATCCAGGATTTTTCGTCTGCTAGGCAAGCGTTGTACCACTGAGGTATGCCTCCAGCCATTTTGTCCCTTTTTTAAAAATTTTGTTTTTGCTTTTCTTTTTCTTTTTTTCTGTTTTTTGGCAAGGTCTCACCATGTAGCTCAAGCTGGCCTGGAGCCCACTATGTAGCCCTGGCTAACCTAGAACTCAGGATCCTCCTGCCTCAGCCTCCTGTGCCCATTTTATGAGAAACAGAGGTGCAGAGGTTTAAGTAACTTTTCCAAAACTCATAAGTGGTAAAGCCAGGATTTAAATTCAGGCAATGAAAAAAGTAAGTAAATTCAAGCACCAGGTATTATTGTCTCCAAAGTATGCTTTTTTCTTTGGTGGCACTGGTGTTTGAACTCAGGGCCTCATGCTTGCCAGGGAGGCCCTGTACCACTTGAGCCACTCCACCAGCCCTGCATTTTTTTTTTCTTTTTTTCCAGTGCTGGGGTTGGAATTCAGGGCCTCGCACGTGCTAGGCAAGCACCATACCACAGAACCACACTCCAGCCATTCCAGAACCCATATTCCTACAGTGGTTACCTGCAAATGTTTTATTTGCTATTTGCATTATCTCTAAAAAGGTACACAGGGAATTAGTCACAGGGGAGGAAGCTGGCAAATTAAATAAATTGTACAAGCCAGGCTG